CGCAGTCTGCTTACATTCGAATTTCTAGAGACTTACGAAGAGAATTCGATTATCCCTTTTGTATTTATACCGTATTCAACGTATATCTGCTAGCCACTTGACGGAAAGCCCTTTCTAAATTATAAGTAGCAATTTCGGTTGATGAATAATAAGCTAGCTTTCTACGGTGGTAAGCCGTATGGAAAATCGGATTTCCTCGCGATTATCGGGCTAATTCGCAAGAAGGCCTTTACGCAGCGAATTATTCGCGAATCCTTTAGAGATCGTGGTATCTATCCAGTTGACGGTAGTAAGATTATTGAGAATCTTGCGAATCAACTAGAGATTCCTGATCTATATACACCAGATCTTCGCTTATAGGGCTCGCATATACTATCACTACCACTAAATCTCTCGTCTTCTAGTATGGAAAATAGCCCTCTAAAATCTATTAAGGCACTAGAGAAGAACCAGGCGAAGATTATAAAGGAGCTTAGTGCCCTATCTGATAGGGCGTAGCGGAATCTTACCAAGATTTTCGCCTACCAGCGGGAGAAGCAGGAGGAGCTAGCGATGACGCAGGATACAATTCGGCGAATCAGGGCCGCGCAGGCGCCAGTAAAACGCAAATACACCAAGCGGCAGGTCAAATTGCTTAGTGCAACTGGTATATTGACTACTCGCGATGCAAATCGGTCAATTGTAGCCAGGAAGGAAGAAGAGATAGCGAAGGGGGAGAGGAAGCTAGCCAAGCAGTTCAAGAAGGTGTATGGCTACGAACCCACGCAGAGATCAGAGGATAGTATTCAACGGGCGATTGTACGCGAGAGAGAGGCTAGAGAGGCAGGAGAGCTATTTTTTATTGATAACCAGCTAGTTCGCTGATAAATTTGACGATTTCTTCAAAAAGCGACGGGGATTTCGGGATGACGGGGATTTAGGGCGCACCCACAAGCGAAAGCGGTGGGTGGGCAGAAAAGGCACGGATACTAATCATCCATTTTTAGCCTTCCGGGCTGACAGGGCGTTGAGCCACGTGACCATCCGCGCGTCCCGCATGCGCGGTTTTCGCTGTCACTGTACTTTTTCTGATGTGAATCACGCCTCCCAGCATCTGCTTGATCCCTGTATGCTTCTTTCCGCAGATGAATCTTGTTCAGTCTGGTTTGACGGAAAATAAGACCTGTTCTCGCTGCTTTCTGTTTATTACGTCACCGATAATCAGATAGCCTGAGGATATCATGCTCTCCTCGAAGGAAAATATCTCGGACTTCCTGGCTTTTGCTCCAGGCTGCAATGAGGGCATTGCCTTGAAGTTCCTTGAGGTATCTCTCGCCATGTCCCCAATGAGCGGAATGTTTTGTTCACTGACCTTATCCCAAAGAAGGCAAACACTCTCGATGAGGCCGTGGGCCAGTATTATGACAATCCTGACAAGTACTCACACGCCACAACTAAGCAGGATGAAAAGCCTCAAGCGCGTTACAACATGCCACTTCCGCCAGTGACTACAAATGGCACCGCGCGACGAGCTTATATGAATGTCTTGATTGAAGCGGAGAACATTCGAGCCCGAGATGAGCAACAAATGCAGAACTTGCTACAAACAGTCCAACTAAACTTTGGCATTTACAATCCGGAGATTGAGCCAGAGCACGATGCAGACCTATATTGTATGTGTGAAATTCACCAATATAAGAGAAGAAAAATGAATCGCCTTTATGTCCACGACATTTGGAACAAAGCGGTCATGTATCCAGGAGAAAAGGTCTATCACGATTGCTACCAGAACCCCATTTTTAGCAACAACCCTTATACTTATTCTGTTACATCTCCCTACGCATTCACTCGATCATCCTTTTTTGCAATTCCGAGACCTGATCCATACTACCACGCTAGGTCAGTCCATCAGACGATAGAGTTAAATGCGGCTTTGAATGCAAAGGCACAGGCTTTGATAAACTCTCAAGAATTGAAGGTCAATATCTGGAGGGGCGAGGAGCTAGAAACGGCAATGTCAAATGTAACAATCGCTGGCCCCTCGAAATTGTCTGGTTTGAAGAAGGTGCTTTCAATCAAATCGTCTGAGGAGAGGACTGCTATCAAGTTAAGGAAGCAGGCTGCCTATACATTGGATTTGCGTAACAGAATACTTGAGGAAGAGCATGGGAGGTGGCCCGACGAAAATGACCGACAAATTGTGGCTACTTACCAGGCAAAAGTCGGCATAACTTCAAAGATAGCAAATCTTCGGACCTATTACCCTATTCAGTATCTCCACCTACTACGAGCTGGTTACTTCGAACCAATCCCAGTCGCTTGGGCTAATTTGGCTTCAAACCCATTGAAGTTTACTATCGACGCCCCTGCTGGATGGAGAGGAATTACTCCAAGCTGGAGAGGATTTGAGGACACGGCTGAAGAGCGCCTGTATTGGGTCTTGAACCATAGAGAGGGGGATGGGGTCAGAATGAAACCGGATATGATCTCTGCGCTCAATATGGCTCGCGCCAGAATGGCCTCTGCTGTTGAACCTCCTCCGGCATACTACTCTGCCAACGACACTTGCCATATCCAACATACCTCGAAGGGATACTCAAGGCAGGTTATGCCCGCCCCTTTTCGACCATTTCACACTCCTGAAATACCTACCGACGACACGATGATTTTGTTGGATGTTTCTGGCTCTATGGATTTCGAGCCCATGCGGCCGAACTATATCCAATATCTCATAACTGGCTATTCACCGTCTACTCAGCCAAAGAATAAAGGTTAGCAATTTCAATTTCTTTCGATACAATAATAGCTCAAAGCAGGTGGGGATCAAAATATGGCAGGAATATTCACTCAACTATCCATCTTTGAATATGTTGTGGGAACAAAAAGTCGTGCGGGGCTGAGGGTGGATACCCCTCAATGGGGTGGGGTGGCTGTATAACCATACCCTACCGCCAGCATATGCATACTTGATCGATTCATTTACCGATAGCTAATTCTATATTATAGATGTTGCAAAGGCTATAATCCGCAGATTTACAGACGCAATGTCTAATCACCATCAAAACTGGCAAGGTTATCAGCTCACAACCTTTTCATCTTACGCCAACTATATCGGTGTCGTTAATCACTGGAATCTCGATCAAATGTGGGGGGGTGTTCGTTTTGGGGGAGGCACAAGAGTGATGACCGGTTGGCAGAAAGTTAAGGAGCTACATTTTCAGAAACATTCCGAATCGGCCACATATCATCCTGTTTTCGGATGGCAAGCTGGGCCACAAACTCCTATTCTAAGACTACTGCTTTTGCTTGACGGCGAGGCAACCGACATGGATGAGTTTGAACTGGACCTCCTCAGTTTGTCTTGGGTTCACGTCACCATTTTCTTGATTGGTGTCGATGGGTGTCCTCATCACCATCGCCATGCCAACGAGTTACAGCGAATCAGCGACGTCAATCATCATGTGTCTTTCGTTGATGCGCAAGGCAATGCCCCAGAAAGATTTATTACTCATGAACTTCTCAAGCGTCATCTAGGCTATGAAGTTTCTATGTCGGAGTTTGAAGAATTAGAGCAACCGCCTCCATATTCTTTATCGACATTGTGATAAGGTAATGAATCGGCTAGGAAAGGCATGACCATCCTCCTTTATCACGTTTCAGTCACATCCCGCGCATAGAGTCGACGTGATACGACGCGAGCTTCGCGTTCCTGTTTATGCAGGCGTCGAATGTTACTTTTGCTGGGTGGGGCAGAATGTTCCGAATTAGGCTTAGTTTGTCGTGCAATAAATTTGAATGTTCGTGCAATTAATAAAATCCTATATAAAAGGTTACTCTAATACTAATTAGTTAAGCGATATCGATAGTAGAAATTCTACTACTAGCTATATATTTAGCCTATCTAGAGATCTAGCCACTTAAGATCCCAGGAGCTTTTTCTGCCTTAGGCTCCCTTTCCAGTAGGGCCTAACCCACTATCTCCCCTTCCGGCCACTTCTAGTCACGTGAGGCCCTAGACGGCCAAGCATGTGTATATAGTCTCTCTTTCTACCATACTTAGAAGGATATGCCCTATCTACCCTTAGGATCTCATCTAGTAGCAAACCCTTTAAAAGGTAACCTTTTACGGCTACCTACTAGAGGAGTCTATTTATCGATATAATCTAATCCTCTCCTAACGCTACGAACGATCCCTTTTTGATCTAAGGGTACCTAGAAGCGCCCTTTTAACTCCTATACACTGCGAGAGGCGAAGAGATCTCGTATATAGAGCTCGCGAAAGTTCTTAGGAAACCTCTATAAGAAGTAGGAGATAGGTTTAACCCTAAGAAACTGCTATAGCTATCTCGCGATCTCGGAAGAGCGGAACCTTTTCTCTATTATATCTATACTTCGTGTCTATAGACCGAGATTATCCTATCTTCTTAGAGTCTAATAGGAAGACACCGATCGCCGACTCTCGTAGACTACTAATAAAGTAGTTAGACCCTTAGGGTATCTGTGAGCAAGCGATGTGCTGCGCAGGTATATAGGGAGGAAGAAGATTGAATAAGATAGATTGATCTTTCTTCCTCTGGTTGAATAGGAAGGATAAGTTTAATTCGGCTTAGGATCATAAAGATGAGAGAAAAGTGAGGTAGGACTGAAGCTTTGTTGATTGTATTGAAACTTTTTTGTTCATGAACATGATGATCAGATCTTAGTAGAGAAAAACAGGGCATATTTATAATCAATATTTTATGCAAACTTATCAAACTTGTTTATTGTATATGATCTATCTAGATAGATCTAGACGTATTCTAGATGCATAGTGATCTCATGCAATAGCCGTTTGATTGGTGGTTGCTTGATTGTACGATGTAATTGATCATAGTGATGATGTAGATCGCATGACTATTATATGCGTCTTTTTATGCCTGATTATCCGATTGGATAATAATGACCGTGGTATAGCATAAAGCTTATAGAGATTCAGCATGTAGTTCCTCCTATAGAGTAATTCTTGTATAGGCCTTACGAATCTAGCTTGATATGCTGCCTGACGGCTTAGGCATCGTGCCGGAGGAACCAGAGGAGCCTCCACAAACAGTAACAGTGGAGGAACCGCTGCTCTCGTAGCTCTTAGTGGAGAGAATCTGGTAGTTGAAAGTACCGAGATCCAATCCCAAGCTGGTCCAAGCATTGAAGCTGTTGGCGGTGGTAACGGTTGCGCTAGAACGGGTGATGGAACGGATAGACCAGTACTGCTGGAAGGTAGAGGTGCCTTCAATGGAGGGCTGATCGGTCTGGGTGTTCGTATATATGGTATAGCTGGATCCATCACTGGTGAGGGTTCCGACCTCGGTCATGGCCGAGCCAGGGTTATAGTCTCCATAATTCTCGAGGATGTAGTACTCGACCGGAGGGCTACTGGTCCAGCCATAAACAGAGAGATAAGCATTTCTGTCGTGGCTGAAGGTAGCGGAGTACGTAATATCCAAATAATGGGTGAAAATATGGGTTAGCATGATGTACTTTAGACAGATATGATCTAGGGGTCATTGAATCACTTACTGGGCGCTACTAGATTTCCTTCCCTTTCCAGCCGTGAAGTCACCACCATCGGAATTGGACTAGGTGACGCTGTACTCGCCACCATCGCCATTGGTGTAGTCGATAGTGCCACCACTATTGGTCTAGAAAGAGTAGTAGTAGCCATCGTTGGTACCAGTCTCGCTGGAAGTGATGGTTTGGCGCTTGTTGTAATCGCTAGGACGAGCTATAGAAACCTTTCCCGCTCAGTGGGCTCTTAGGCAATATGGAGGAGGGTGGGGAAATTCCCCTAGATTTTGCCAGAGGCTAATTCATAACAAACTCCAGCAGGTCTCAAGTAGCCCTAGTTCCGGGTCCAAAACCCCTCATTCTCTCCACTAGCAATAATCTGTAGAGGAATAATATCAATGCATGTATCCAGAGACCTTGACCTATAGGCTGAAAGCAAAACTGCCAAAGTGGAAAAAATAATTGAAGCCAGAAGTTGACTATGGTTCGGAATGACGCCTGAAAACCACCATGTACGGCTCGAGGATGCCAGCGAAATGCAGGGTCACTACGACCATCCCCAACCTACCAGAGAATTTTTTAGCCTATTGGTGCATTTAATTAGCCTATGTTTATGTAAGTACTAGTACTTCGTAGTCCCGAGTCTAATTATGTTGCTGAAGAAATCTATACCCCATGTGGGAATTTAGGCTCTTCCACCCCGCAATTGCGGGCGAAACTGCGGTAATATAGGCTAAAAATCCAAAATGGCCTTTCTTCACGGTTCGACCCCCTAAATCCCTCGAATACCCCGGATTCTGTTTTTCTTAGCATATTTTCTCACTCCGCGAATTTTCCTACATGAACCACTGAACTTGGCACCACCGAATCATGGAGCCGATCCGAGAACAACATGAAGAACGGGAAGCATTCCTTCCCAATGATCCCGAGGATAATTCGTTCCGTGAGAAAGATTCACGAGAAGCGCCGTCGGTTTGGAAACGGTATGGGCGGTTGATTTTGGAGATCGCGATGACATTCGTGATCGTTGCTTTATTCCTCAATTCCCTTTCTGATAGAACAACAGAAAAAGCATCTCCAATACCTAAATGTACGTTTGTATCACTTATCAAACAAAGACTAACTTTTTATTACGATTACTAAAAACAAATTCATAAAGTTCCAAGAAAGACCTATACATTTACCGGCAATCCAAGATACCTACACGACAACATGTTTTCCAGCAGAAATGAAACGATTCGTACACTTCATAACTGGATCGAGCTGAGCGCAAGTAAGTAAATAATCTCCTTGATTAGAAATGATAAATATATGTACAATAAAACTTATAACGACCCTCTGATATAGCTGGGAGAGGATATATAGGAGTAGACAATCCCGAGTCCTTTGACCTGCCTGAGCCGTACAGCGTGAATTTGCATTTTCAAGCCAAGCCAGCATATATGATGTCGGTTTTTCACCAGCTTCATTGCCTTGTACGTATCTTTGGAAAACTCATCCAATAAAACCATATGCTAATAATACTGTCCTAGTCATACCTTGTCCAGCAATATCAAACGGCATTTGACAGAGCAGAATTAACCCATGAGATAGCCCATCACTCCGCGCACTGTTTCGACTATCTTCGACAAGCAATCATGTGTGCTGCAGATACCTCTCTGGAGGGAAAAACGGAGGCTGGGCCTGGCTGGGGTTCAAATCATGAGTGTACGGATTATGATGCGTTGTTGGCATGGGCGGACAAAAACTCTATTAATTGGCTCCCAGGAACCCTGCCCGAAGAAACTGTACTTTAAGTGATGCTTGATCCTTGATGCTTTCCGACAATTTCACTACTAATATGTTGCATCACTGAAAGCAAATACTAGATCCATTCATAATTGTAACCTTACGTTCAACAATGAAGCAGAGAATTCATCCTAACCGGACGCCAGGCTGCTGTCGAAGCGATATGTTGAAAGGCTACATAGGGTTGGATAGTTCGCGTCCTGTGGAAGACTAGAAAGATTTTTCCCTGGCTAATGTTGATGATTGGTAATGGGAACAGTAATTCCTGGAACGTCAAAGGATCGGCAATCTAAAAAGAACGGTCCGTGGACGGCCAATCCGTCCCACCAAGAACCCACACGCAATTGTTCGTATTTGAATCATTTACTTCCCTTTAAATGTTCTTGAGAGCTGGATGGGGCTCCGTTATAACTGTTGGGGACCTTCTGAAGCGAAATCTGTACACCTTCTATATAGCAAATCATAGCATTTAGGTACCTCTAGAACTTTAATATTATACTATAGTTTTATTATAGCTAGATAGCCTAACTTCCCCGTATTCTAAAACATATCTTATCTTCTTTCTACGATTCCTATAGCATCGTAAATCAGGCGTTAAACTTCGGGCTTCTATACCTATTTTTAATATACGGGAGAAGGTACGCTAACCTAATCCGGCTGAATCTTGTACGTACTATAACTACCTAATTAGTCTAATAGCTATTAGCTATAAAAATTTGTTCGCTTCATATTAAATATAGCCGCGCGATTCGTTAATAAGATTAGCGAATAACGATTCGATTAAATAAGATTCGGTATCTCTACGAAGAGATTAAATACTAACCTAATTGGAAGAGGATTCGCTTGTTGATTAGATAATCTCTATGGATTTACGTGGAGCAGCGCCTAGGCCGGCTACTATGCGAGAAATGGCCGAAATTCTACTAGCTGCACGCGGTAGCTACCCTCCGCCTACTGTTAGCAAGAATTGGCCATCAACCTTTATAAATCGACGCGAAGAGATTCGATTACGCTTCTCTAGGCGATACGACTACTAGCGCGCACTAAATAAAGACCCAAAATCGCTACGAGAGTGGTTTATTACCGTATAACGCGTTATCGATGAGAACGGTATACAAGCAGAGGATATCTATAACTTTAACGAGACCGGATTTGCAATAGGTCTTATATCTACGTAGAAGGTAGTTACGCGAGCTAAATACTACGGTCGGCGATCGATACTATAGCCAGGAAATCGCGAATAGGTCTGCTATCGAAGCAATTTACGTAGATAGCTATTCGCTACTATGTTAGATATAGGGCAAGATGCCTAAGCCGTCAGGCAGCATATCAAGCCAGATTCATAAGGCCTATACAAGAATTACTCTATAGCTAGAACGATATTCTAAATCTCTATAAGCTTTATGCTATACCACGGTCATCATTATCTAAACGGATAATCAGGCATAAAAAGACGTATACAATAGAATACGATCTATATCATCATTACGATCAATTACATCGCACAATCAAGCAACCACCAATCAAACGGCTACTGCATAAGATCACTATATATCTAGAATATATCTAGATCTATCTAGATCGATTATATACAAGAAACAAGTTTAATAAGTTTATGTTGGAATTGCGTACGGTGCATAAGACCTTGGTAGAAATCGTTCGTGCGCACTAATCTTAGTGCCACGATTATGGAAGAGAGACGAATCAGGATAGGTCACAATCGACTGATCAGACAGAAGAATCAAGCAGTGGAAGGTTGATTCAGATGGTCTACTATATCCGGTGATTCTTCCTGGGATAAGAAAGATGTCAAACTTGTTCATTCTAACTAGGAAACAGAGTGCAATTTATAACATGAGGAACATAGCAAATATCACATAAGGAAATCAAGAACATTCGAGGTCATTTTGGAGTGTTGAACATTCCTTTGCCTAGTCGGGCAATGTTGACACGATCGTTGAAGATCAGAATCTAGGATCAGAATCTAGGGGTAAACAAGATTGGGTTTTCCTAGCGATAAGCAAGATAGGAATGATTAGTAAGCAGGCAGGATTCAAGATGCATATCTGGCCCATAGGCTATACATGCCGACAGTTTATATAAAATATTGATTATAAATATGCCCTGTTTTCTCTACCAAGATCATGATATTCATAAGTAATAAGACGATTTAATATAATCAACTAAGCTTCTGTCCTACCTCACTTTTCTCTTATCTTATCTTTATAATCCCAAGCCGAATTAAACTTATCCTTCCTATTTAACTAGAGGAAGAAAGATTAATTTATCTTATTTAATCTTCTTCCTCCTTACCTACCTACGTAGTATCGCTTACTTATAGGTTATAAGCCCGAATTAATTCTATTTTAATTCGGCTTATACTACTTCTCTGATCTTCTACCTTTAATAAAAAACTTCTTACTTTTAAGAGAAACTTCTTTCTCTTAAAGGAAAATAAAAAGCTCCTCCGACTTCCTGTTTTCAAAAATTTATACTTAATTTTTACTAGTCGCGTCTACTTTTCTATATAAAATACTAAGAAATCTCGACTTTCTTAATAAAAACAATTATTTTTTAATAATTTAATTAAGTCTCTTTAACTTAAGATAATTAATAACTATAATATCGATCCTCTTAAAGGAGAAGAAAATTATATTACCTAGTCTATCCGAGTCGAAGCTATTCTTAATTTAGAGAGATTAATTAATACTATTCGATTCGACTATACTAAGCTTCCTACTACTTAGTAAGGCTAGATTCCTAATTAATACTAGTCTTATAAAAAAGTAATTACTCTACTACCTAATTAACGATTACCTAATTATAGAAATACTATAATTTAGTTAGGAAGAAGAAGACCTAGAAGATTATCTAGCCCTACCATCTCTAAGATAGGCTAAAATAAGCTAGCTATCCTATCTAATCGATTTAAGACTATAGATTAGATAAATTAGGATACTCTATTATCTATTAAGCTATTATATAAAGATAGCCTGCTCTTTTAGCTAGAAGATACTAAATTAGCCTATTAAGTATAGGTAGCCTTAGCTACCTTATATCGACTAAAAGGATTTACTACTAAATTCCTACATATATATTTCCATTTGGGCCGGAGCTGCCAGAATTGGCGTCGTTTGACGCCGAAACTAGCGTCGTCGGCCCAGGGGCTTCATGCCACGGCCTCCAAAGCGACTCGCCCATGCACGCACTAATACGCTCGCACGGCCCACCTAACAGGCCGCCCTACCACTGCTAGCAACAACGTCTCGATTATGGTGGCAGCTTGAGCACAGAGCAAAGTGGACAGGCTAGGGTGTAGGCTGAAGGCTAGTGCCACCAAGAAAGGGAACAGCCAGAAAGGGACAGCCAGAAAGGGACAGCCAGAAAGGGACAGCCAGAAAGGGACAGCCAGAAAGGGACAGCCAGAAAGGGACAGCCAGAAAGGGACAGCCAGAAAGGGACAGCCAGAAAGGGACAGCCAGAAAGGGACAGCCAGAAAGGGACAGCCAGAAAGGGACAGCCAGAAAGGGACAGCCAGAAAGCCACTGCCAGAAAGCCACTAACGCATCAGCCAAATCCGGTTGCGCCAAAAAGCACCAACAAGAGGAAAGCCAAAGCCACTATCCACCGTTCCGAAAATCGCGCCAAAAAGATATAATGGGCCGAGGAGAAGAGGGGAAATAAAAATTGATAGACGAGCATCACCCTGACGAAACAGGCACAATACTAATGACACTCCCTCCAGCATATGGTAGCAAAAAGAAAAAGAAAATAGACGATGCAGAAATCATCAACCGATTGAGAGAGAAGACGCTAGTGAGGAAGTGGACGGGCAACCGTACGAAGGTGCCCCTCAGCATGACTTAAAACATGATCATAAAAGCAGAAGTTGACAGATGGTGGCAAAAATAGATGACCCGCAGGTGGTGTCACAATGGAGGCTGGAAAGGTTCACGCCACCAATATGCCAAAAAGAAATGAATGGACAAATGGAAGGATGTGGCTCTAGGCAATAGCAAGCACACACCCACTGGTCAAGAAGTTGACAAAAGCCGAAGTATCAGCAGCTTCTGCCGAAAAAGATTACCGAGGTCAAAAACGGATGGACCAAGTGGAAAGACGTGGTTCCAGGCAATGGTAAGCAAAAACACTTCACTCGACGGGCAAGAAGTGGACAGAAGCGTGTTAGTAACACCCCCCTTCTCACAATAATGCTAGCACCCTACGTTGAATGTGTGTTATTTTATTTGGTCTTATTCTATTGCATCAAATGAAACGCGCAAACGTCAGTCGAAAACGGATGACCTAAATCCCGTTTCAGTAGAAGGCTCACGCTCGCAGCAACGCAAAACAGGCGTTGCTGTTCAGCACTGTGAAAATCCGCCGGTTGCTCTTGGCTCGGTGTCACCACGATGCCAAGCAGTGCAGCCGGACTTTTTGATTGTAGCGGAGCAGTTGGGCTATGCTGGTGGTGGGCGTAGGGCAAGATGGAAGGTGCAGAGGAAGGGAAGCAATCCGAGGAGTATATAGTGCGTTTGGTAACATTGTGCGCACGTATTCACTGGCTGGTAACTGCTTTAGCGAATTTGAACCATGTTGAATTTTTCATGCTATCTCTTTATTTCTTGGCTGCACCTTACTCTATCTACTGATTCATCTTCGAGGCAGACATGCGATATGAGGGTTAATCGAGCTTCTCTTGGCACTCAGAGACATCTGACTGTTTCTCTGCGAGTTCCCAGTGGACACCACGTGGAGGTGGAAGCTCATCGTCCACCTACGCAAAAGTGATGAACGGAGCTGGCAATCTCCTGTTTTCTCACATCAAAAGGCTTCACCGAAAGGGAGTAACCTGAGTAGCCCGCGAGGCCGCTCAGCAAATGGCAGTCAGCAAAGCGAGTAACCTCTGTGGCCTGAGGCCGCTCAGTAAATGGACGTCTCCAAAGCGAGTAACCTGAGTGCAAGAGCAAGCTCCTGCACTGGGGAGAAAGGAAAATAGGAAAAACAACTGGCATCACCGTGGATATTTGTACTTTTCTGCCTCGTAGACCACCACCGCCCAAAATTGTGGCGTGTACCTTTCAAAATTTTTACAGCATGGGCTTTCCTGTGACGGTGCGGCCTAAATTGGACGTCTGGTAGACGTCAAGTGGACGCCGGCGCATCGACAAACGCAAGCGTTGGCCAGAAGTTGCCGACACACTGGTAGCGTCGTTTACACCCTAAAACGTGGATAGATGCAGCGTACATATCTTGCTGTAACCCAAGATATCCCTCAGGCCGAGACTCTATATTTAGAAACAGTCTTTAACACGGTAGACAAATCACTCAAACTGGTGGAGCATCCCATGAAATCGCTTCTACGCCATAACAACGACCCAAAAGTTCACAGCCTCCAAGTCCCTTGGCCATGACAGTCTGTTCATCGCCCGGTATTAAATCAAGCCCGTTATCATCAAACTTGACCGAGTCCACCTTGTCCACATATAGCCACAGGCCCTTTACTGGCACGTTGGCTTTTACATAAATCGCATCATTAATGACTTTGATCTGTAAAACTGGTCGAGGCATATCAAGGTACCGATACGGTTGTGGCCAGTTTGTGCGTCGGGCAACAACCTTGGACTTGTCGCAAGGGTCTAGCAGCCGTGCCGAAACAATCAAAGGCTCGTTGGACTTGCTCATCTTCTCCAAGTTTGATAGCTCCGTGACGAACAATTCCACGCTCGAGTTGGCTGGTAGCTCACATGGCTCTTCCTTGGACAGCACTTCCTTGCCGGTGGATAGCTCAAAAACCTGCAGAGAAAGCACCAACCTGACGCAACTGAGCGTTAGGTTTGTCGCCCATCCTTCAACAGTTGTTTTTTCATCCATGAATGCTCTGGTAACCTTGAACTTTGAGGTTTTGCAAGTTTTTCGCTTCATTCCAAGCGTAATTGGCGCCATATCTCGCTTTACAGTGAAATACGCCATCTTTGGGCGACTATAATAGTCGATAAGCGCCTTAGAGGTCACTTGCCACGTCGAATTCAGCTAGAGATTTGGTGAGATGGTCAGCCCATGAAAGCTTTTTGCTTGAGCTCAGAAAACACGTGTGTGCGTACCTGCCATATCAAAGCGCCGCCACAATACTCATTGCCGCTCCCTTTCCATTCTCGGTGCCAGTTCTCAAGAGCACAACTCAAAGCTTCAGCCTGATTAAGCTGCGAAACATATATGTAATCTTCTAGGGCATAGGTATATCTGTAGTTCTCGACAAGGTAAGTGGCCAACTTGCGTTCGTGCTGGTACTCTTTGTTATGCTCGTCGACGGTTCGCGAATGAGGATGGCGTTCAAAGTCTGGCGATTCGACAAGGTAAGACTCAACAGTTTTAACATGTGGCAAAGACGCCATGCCGAATTCGGATATGAACCGGCTCTTCAGACTGTCATAGCTCTGCCAGGGAAGCAGGAAATGCCAAACTAAGAGTGACAAATGGATTAGATCTGCTTTGGTAACCTGTGCAGGACATCAAAAAGGCATAAATATGTCTTTTATTACAAAAAAAGAACTGGCTCATACCTTCCCATCTATGAGTATCCCCAACCGTAGAGTCGTTGAAGCTTTCACCACCCCAGGGGGATCCCGGATGGTAGCTGGCGTCGGGGATTAATTTCCGGCAGAGATCTGGCAACACCACTTCATATATGTAGCGAGACGGAAACGTCGACTTCAACCAGTTTCCTGGATCAGTGTCTTTGATATCGTAGTTTGTTTTGAAGAGCTCCGCAAAGAGGTAATCTTCATTGTTTCCATTCCAGGCAACAATACAAGGATGGTGACGTAGACGCGTCACGTTGTCCACGACTTCCGCAGTAATATTTTGGATAAAGTCGTCGTGCGCCGGATACGCAGCACAAGCAAATAAAAAGTCTTGCCAAACAAGGATGCCGAGTTCATCACAAATGTCGTAGAAGATGTCTTCTTCGAATATACCACCGGCCCATACGCTGATCGGAACATTCAGTGTTAGAAATAGTTAAAATGTGAAAAAATGTGAGTCAACTGGCGCAAATTGGGCTCTACTTACCGCACGGCATTCTGGTTGCCTTCGGCGAGCAGATTAAGTTGAAGTCGGTATCGTTCTGGGCTGACTCTGGGAACAAAGTGGTCTGCAGGACACCAGTTGGATCCGTTGGAAAATATTGGAATCTGGTTGACTTGCATGAAGAATGATGTTCCGGGGGCATCCGTTAGTGGCCGTCTAACAATCTGAGCTTCTCGAAGTCCAATTCTTTTCGCGATTGAATGCACACAAGCACCCTAAGTCTCGCAATTAGCCGTCAGTTTTCAGTCTCGATATCTTCGAATAAATCACATCATGGGCATGCTTACTCGTGTAAACAAGTCACTCGAGACTGTGTATAAGGGCTGATGTCCATAGCCGATGGGCCACCAGAATTGTGCATCTTGAATCTCAATGTCCGCATAGGCATGATTACCGTTTATAGGCAAGTTGCAAACTTCATGTATCACGTCGCCCTTCGGATCCGTAATTGACACACTGATTGTGTCACCGGCAACACAACCCTCAGACTGGATTGCAATTTTCACGACCGCAGTTTTGGTATCCATGTCAACCTTGATCTGGCAAGATAGATCCGAGACCTTACTCGAGTACTCCTCCAACACAATCGGGCGCCAGGGTCCACAGGTCGTAAGCTCGGGGCCTATGGTAATATTAGCAAGTCGAACATCTGCCAGGTTCATTCTTGGATATGTAATGGGAACTCTACACACCCCAATTCCAACCGTAGTGATACTGAGGTTTGCGGACAAAAACTCGACTTTTTTCTGATTTTTTATCGAACTGAATAGTGTGGTGAGCAAACTTATCCAGCAACTCTCTACCTCTAATCAGAGCAACGTCGAAAAGTATATCTAGCTGATTGATACCTTGTTTGATAAACTCAGTGACATCAACTCTATACGTCCGATGGGCATTGTCCGATTTCAGTATGTCCTGTCCGTTGAAGGAGACGGTCGCGAATGTATCCAAGCCCTCAAATCGAAGGACACATTTGCTGCGCTCCTGCTGACCACTGTGGTGGAAATCAGCTCTGTACAGCCACTGCTGTTCCCCAACCCATTGCACGTCAAATTCATTGAGTCCCATGTAAGGGTCCGGTATTTTGCCGTGTTTCATGAGATCGAGGTGAACATTTGTTGGAAATTGGGATACTGATAGGAATCCATCTGTCCAATCTGGCACGCCAAATGCGCCAACCTGTTTAAAGCGCCAGTTGGATACTATCGGAGCTGATTTGAAAACAGTCATTTTGGAGAGGTGAACAGAGAGGTGTGCCTCTATTGGCATTATACAGAGACTAGATGGAAATATGACATTGTAGCGGTATGAGCGTAGCATTGAGGTACCATCTTATAATGTGTGTTCATCCTTCAGAAAGTGGATATTGGTATTGCGCGTCGCAGAACGAGGTGGTGCACAGGGCGTTGCACATCACTTCGGGACTATTTTCCGGCCTCCGGTCCGTTACTTTGCGTAGGTTCGGCGCCGTTAGGGAGCTTGCGGCCTGTGGAGAAACCCACTGGGCACCGGCCACCGGTTCTTCCTACGGTCGGTAATTAGTAACAGTCCGATCGTACAACGTTTGGCTGCAGGCATTCGCACCTGTACTTCACCAAAGCCGGATCTGGTGGCCGGGCATCGTCATACATCATATGCACTAACGTTCCAGAGTACTTGTCCAAAAGTTAGTGATTCTTGGAGTCCCACACTACCTACTTATAGGGAGGCCCTAGACGTGTGGCTTGAGATATAACTAAGGGATCGTAGGCATAGGTATCGTTACGAGATTAACTCTTAATAGAAGAACTACTACTTGGATTTGATAATAGAAAATCTAAAATATACAGACTAGCTATGGTCCTTTCTGACCCTTGCAGATATGACCATGTTCACAAACTGCCTTTGCAATGACCTCACTCCCTACCAAGATGGACTCTGCATCATCCTCTGGGGATAAACGCAGGTACTGTTTTACTGCTAGGGCATCAAAGTATGCGAGCCAGCCGTGCGGCATTCCCGCTTCAACCTGCAAATCCACGGAAACTCCGTCTTTTCTAGCCTCATCGACAAAATTAATCACGTCGGAGAATAGAACATCATTCCCACCAATCACCACCCAGGTAGGGGGCAAAATCTGGGACCATGGCAAATCCACTCGTGGAGGGGATGATGCAAAGTTCATAAGATGAGAAAATCTCAACCTACCGTCGCGTCCAAGGAGCCAATCAACGCATTTATCCATGTCTTCCTTCACCAAGCAATCTTTATACTTGTTTGTTTTAAAGGTGGATCCTGTGTTCTCAAGATTTACCCATAGGTAAAGCAAACCGACTCTCCCGGGTCGAGGGATACCTTGTTGCTGCAGGTTGTAAGCCAGTGCCAAAGCCAAGTGGCCGCCCGCCGACTCTCCCAAGACATGGACGCTACTTGGATCGATGCCTGCCTCTTCTATCAAGTATTTATAGGCTGCAGTCGCCTGGGCCATCTGCATTGGAAACTTTGCTTCTGGGGCGAGCGAATACTCCAATGTGAAGATGTTGAGTGAGAGATTCTGCTCTGCTTCAAGCTCTGCGACCCGTAGCAAGCTAACAAGCCCAGACAGTGCGGATCCGGCGACGTAGGCACCTCCATGTATCCACAGTAGAGTGATTATGGCCTCAGAAGGCGGCACTTTGGTGGCGTTGATTGTTCCCTTGCATACCCAGTATCCAACAAAACCCGGCCGGGACACCTTTTCACATATTGCTGGGTCCGCTCCTGAGAATCGGCGAGAGCTCCGCACAATAGCAATGTGAGCTTTTCGTTCCAGTCTTTGTCGAATTGAGAGTGGCATTTTTCCCAAGCTTTGATACATGGCATTAGTTGAGGTTTTTTTTTTTGACGAGGTGAACGTATATGGCTGCTTTATTTTCTTACCTCCGAGCATAAGCCAGGATAATGTCATCTTTTAGACTGTAATCGCTAGATCTTCGCAAGCGTCTAAATAGGCAGGTTGCCACAGTGCTAGGCAGAGCAAAAACAAGATAAAAAGCAAATGCCACAGCGTCACCCAGTGATACACCCCTGTGGTGGCTTCGGGTGTCCATTCTTCTCATTCGCTGTGTTATTGATCTGCTCTGTGTTTTTATGTGCTGGGAAAAATCCTCTTTGCGTAGGGAGAGTTGCGTAACGACATCGTTTTTATCTGTAATCGGGAACTTTGTCGCATATGTAGAGGAGCTGATCAGCGTCTCCTGTCACTACGGTGAAGAGACGAACAACCAGTTGATTACTGATGTGCGACATCTAACCCCATTCAGCCATTGGCCGGCAGCCCCTTACTAGCGGCAGATGGCAATGGCCGGTGGCCGGTCCCAACGCGATACGAATCCACCGGCAGCCGGTTCTAAACCCGCATGATGCATGGCCTGTAGCCCACGGAACAGTTGGAATCGCCACGAATTTATGGTACAGTACAGTATGACAATAAACGTATTGCCACTGACACTTTCACATTTTCACGAATCATAGAGCAAGGTGTCTATCAGTATCATCTGTCATAAGTACAATAATGCAATCGACTTTTCCTACTTGAAAAATTCTCTTGTCTCCAATACATTCTATAATGCACACGACTGTATGCAAAGTGCTGGTTTTTACGCTCACGTGTCATCTATTTAATGGGTAACTATCAAGGGTTCGCGATGACGACTGTCTTGGGATGGTGTAACCCTCAGGCCCGACCCTGCATACGCCGAAGTTGGTAGATTCAAATGGTTGTGTAGTTGCTAGGGGACTAAAGAGAAAGGCTGCGAGAACAGTGCTTTGTCGATATCGGTTATGGATTTCTACTTCTTCTCCAGGTTTCAAGTTCGTCTCTTAGAATCTAGTGGAATTGCTGGGGGGAAGAACGAGAAACACTATTCTTGTGGGAAGGACCAGGAACGGTTAAAGGGGCGCGTGGCGTAAGTTATGCAGGCTCTAACCTTCCCCCGGCGTTGCCTGCCAACCTGCTTACGATGTGTTTCTGTTTCAGTGCCTGTTGCCGCGTTGACCCAGCAAATGTAATTTTACGCCTGTGCGTTGGTATTGTGTTCTTTCCACACTTTTTGTCCAGTTCCAAACATGCCCATCTACTTCCGTATCCAATACTCTTGCTGTAATCCAACAGTAATATACAGTGGCACACCAAAAGTCTGTGATCACCGTTCTTCACCGCTCCTATCCCCGCCTTCCTAAAATAGGCTAGTACACAGCGCGTTTGAGAATTGCGGTCGTGTCTCTCTACTCCATACGATACTCTCTATATCCTACAATGCCTCGTACAAGAGATTTACCACAGCTCCCAGTGCCTAGGGGCCCACTACTTACACCTCCTAGGCCACATTCGAATATTACATAGAGTTTATTGGTACGGCAGAATCATGGCAGAAAATAGCGGTGAAGAAGGGTGGTCACAGACTTTTGGTGTGCCACTGTAGATGGCCTGTTCTACACTGGTCTTCCACTGAGCCGAGGTGCGGGGTCGACGTGGCTTATAGGCTCTCTATCTCACAACGAAGCCGGACGGGCTTCGCTTCTTCTCACCACAAACCAAAAAAAAAAAAAAAAACCGTATCTTGCCATGGAGAACATGGACACAAGTGAGCGTCTGACAGGTGCCGCAGCTGTAGCTTGCGTGCCTTGCCGCAAACTGAAGGTTTGTCTTTTTTTGTTTGGTGCTCCACAGAGCCGACTGACTATTTATCCATGGCTAACAGTATTGGCAAGATGCGATGCATTGGTGCTACCAACCCACCTTGTGCTCGTTGCGTGAAAAGTAATCGGGAATGCATTGTCCGCCTTCCAAACCGAAACCAACATCGAAACCAGCATCGCTTGTCGACACGACTCGGTTCCAAATCGCCAGCCGATCGGCCCCGCCGCAACCCAGAATCAGATCTACAAAGCCCAAACCTCGACCAGACTCCGCTGCCATCCATCTTTTCTTCCCCACCAATTACCATTGCGACCACTGAGAGCGACTACCGGTCTGGCGGCGATTCTGGCTCCTACGATGCGATTTTGTTGAATGAAGTCCCAGACTCCATCATCTTTGATCTGGTAGAGTTGTGAGTCCCCCCACATAGGAATAACGATGCCGCCGCTTGTCAGCAAGCATATGATTGACAATTTTTTGTAGCTTCTGCCAGAGATTGATCTGTTACGTGCCGGCTCTCGCATTGGAAGATTTAGACGACATTGCGAGTCTGATAACAAGTCGACGACCTCTTGCTTATGCAATGGCATTTGTTGCCTCAACTTTCAGCCTTGGCAGCAGATCAATACACCTCGCTCTGGCTCCGCACATGTCACAATTGTTAGTGCAGGGGAATCATGTCGCCCAGTCCACCCCCGAAGAAAATTGGACTCTTTTGCAAGCCCTGGGTGTGCTTTATTCCTATACAATGGTGGCTGTCTCTATGCAGAGTGCAGAAAGGACCCTGAGTCCTTGGGCCGTCAAGTCCGCAGTAGAGAGTTGCGCCATGCAAATGTCTCTTCATCAGTCCATAACAGATCTCCAGGCGCTTCTCAAAAAAGGATCGACGGATATATCAGCTTCAATTTCATATCGCCGCTGCTTCTACTGGCTTTGGCTATTCGTCAAGTCCCGCCACCACTCCGTCCTCACCAGGACCCCACCAGCCGTGCGAAATGATTCCACCATCAAGTCTACGCTGGAGCTCCTACTACGCCTAGAACCGCAGCCACCGGTGTGGAGGGTGCTGGCCGAAACAGCTCTACATCGGCTGTGGGACGAAGCTGCTCGCTCCGATACGTGCCTGGCCGAATGGTGGTGTGCGCCGCCAACCACTATGGATGTTACAGCCGTGCTGAAGCTCCTGCAAAACATCGAAGACATGCTCGAGGAATGGAGCTCAACCTGGCTGCCGCCTAATGACATGAGCGCTCCTGATTTCCCCGGCTCCGACCTTCTCAACCCATCTATTTTTGCCAATTCCATCACCGCCTTCATGGGTGTTTTAACACGCTTCAGCATGGTTTCGTTTGCTGCGCCCATTGTTTCGCACCAGCTAGTTCTCAAGACTGGCCTCACTACATTATCACCCCCCCTCCACACCTACCAGAGGCATCCGCTTTTCTGGATTGCGTGTTGCGGTCAGCCGATGCAGCAAGTAAATGCTGCGACATTATACTTAACATCAAACCCACAGATAGAGACATTTTGCGATATACACCCGACTACGGTTTTACCATGATCACCCTGTGCTGTCTACATATGATGTATGCACACCGCATGTGCCCGGAAAACCCAACACTGAAGACCAATTTACTTAAAGCCGCGCAGGTGGCTCATCTCATGACAGACTTGCCTGTCGGAAGTAATATATGCCCCAAAGTCTACGGGGATTATATTTTACTCCAACTGCGAAATGAAACTTCAAGCCCAGCATGTCCAACTGACAATCGCAATGCGGCCCAGCTCATTGCCAATCCTCAGCAAAACGCCGACTTTCATTTCTGGTCTCAGATGCGACTTCCTCTTGGTCCGGCTCAACCCCCGTTGGAGAATGATACTTGGACACCAGACGACAGGTATTCTGGTGGCCTATGGCCATTGGATTCTAATTTGCTTCCCATGTTCAATATTTTTCATGACACGATGCAGCAATCGAGTACAGATTCTCTGTAATGTATTCATTTACTTAATATACATCAAGCATTTGGCTCTGCCATCCAGTCGCTCCCAGCCAATAAACTCTCAACTTAATCTCTCTTCCAGCTGTGAGCCCCGAGACTCTCACCCTTGTAGTCTCCTCCGGCACAAGGTCTACGCCGTTATCGTCCCATTCAATCGCATCGTCCTCGTAGTCAAGATACACGCACTTCATCGGAACCGATGCGGATAGCTCAATGTAGGAGCCGGTTTTCTCCTCGATGAGTTTTGCAGTCATCTGTCCCTCGTCCATAGCAAACGGAACTTCCTTTAGTGGCTCGTGGAAGTTTACAAAACGAGCGATATCGTTCTTCCTTCCAATAGCGCCACCGACTGATACCTCCGGAACGGTAAAAAGATAGATGGCAAATGTCATCTCATTCCAATGGAATTGCCGCTCACCGTCCAAGTCGGAACGCAACTGTGTGCTTCCTAGTTCCGTGCTACGGTTAGGTTCAAGCTGGATCCGCGTCGACACTGTTTGTGTCCACAGGCTTTTGCCCGTCTTGACGTGCCATGCATGAATCTGGTAGCCGACGGAAACCGGCTGCATTGTCATGTTGCACGCCCATGCCTCTAGCTCCAGCAAACCACCGTTGACTCTGCGTGATAAACCGGCAGTGATGGGCTGATTCTCCCTTTTGAAGGTCCAATATGCCAGCTTCGGTCGCAAGTTCGAGTCTGCGATGGACCATGACGAGACTGGCCAACAGTCATTCAGTTGCCACAGCAATGCTCCACCACAATATTCCTGGCCAGGACCCCTCCATTGTCGTCTCCATGCTCTAAATGCGGTTGATATACCTTCGGACTGAATCAATTGTGAACAGTATATGTAGCCCCGCAGAGAATGTTCATCAAAAGGGATGTTGTCGACACCATACTTAAGAATATTCTCCGGGCCTCCATGGCCCTTGTTGTGCCATGTCATGTACTCTTCTGTAGTGCAATTTTGAGACGCATCCGGCGAGAAGGCGTAATCAGCCGGGTAGTACTGTTTTACAGTCTTCCAATGCGGAATTGATTGCAGGCCAAACTCTGTAACCATTCGCCCACCGAGCTGTGGATAATCTTGGTAGGGACGTTTGTCGAGATGCCACACATACCACTGATGGATATCCCCGTCTGTCATGTCGTTGCAGAAGGATCCGCCAAATGGAGATCCCGGCCAGTATGGAGTATCCGGGATTAATTCCTTGCACACTTCTGGGAAGCGCACTTCATAGAATAGTCGCGCCGGAAAGCCGGATTGCCTGATCTTGTCAGGATTCATTTCGCCTGGGTCGTATTCAGCTTTCCCCACATGCTCACGCGCAAGATGCGCAATTGCATAGTCCTCGTTGTTTCCACACCATAGAGCGATTGAAGGATGGTGCCGTAGTCGTACGATGTTTTGACGCGCTTCAGTCATTACGCTCGATTCGAAAGATGAGTGTGCTGGATATATGCCACATGCGAACATGAAGTCATGCCAGACTAGTAGACCAAGCTCGTCACAGATGTCGAAAAAGTCGTCGTGTTCATAGATTCCCCCGCCCCAAATGCGAATCATCACTTGGTTGGTGTCTTTGGCCAGTTGTATCCAATTGCGATACTTTGCCGTCGTTGCTCGGCATACAAACGAATCCAATGGTACCCAGTTTGAACCGGCAACGAAAATCGGAACGTCGTTGACCCGGAAAAAGAAGCTATTACCTTCTCCTTGGCGTAATGGCTGGTGAATAAGTTCGATCTTACGAATACCAAATCGCTTATTCATAGAGTCCAGTTCCAATTCTTCCGTAGCGTCCTCGAGGCGATTAAATATCGTGCATTTGACGGTATAGAGGTTCTGCTCTCCTAGTGTCCATGGCCACCAAAGTTTCGGATTCCGGATTCGCCTAGTCGTTGTGGTCCTTTCACCACATAGCGTAATAATGCACGATTCAATCTTGACGCCGTCCTGCTCAATGTCGATTCTCGCGTATCCCGCTTTTCCCTCCACCTCGACCGAGATTTCAAGTCCCGCTCCTTGTTGATCAGAGTCAAGACTTGTCCGGATCGATAAGTCGGTCAGTCGGGCTTGATATGCTTCCAGAAAAATTGGCTTCCATGGTCCGCAGTCCGTCAGTACTGGACTCCAATCCCAACCCTACCTTGTATTAGTTATCAATCTCAGCAGGCAGAAGGAACGGGGAGGTATTTTCTTTTTCTCAACACGTACAAAGTGATATTGTGCCTTCCTCGCAGCTAGACGCTTGTTTCCGAAATGAAAGCTGAACCAACTATGCTCAGCATGCCTCTCCATTTCCTCGGTCGCCATTTGCTTGGCGTTGTGAAAGATGATTTGCAAAGTATGCATCTCCTTGTCTGGCGTCTTGGTGGAACGAATTTGATCCGTTATGTTGACCCGATGGCTAACAAACATGTTTTCTGTTTCCAGAATTTTGACGTTGTCCAATATCACAGTCGTGAATGTGTCTAAGCCTTCAAAAACCAAATCAACTTGCTGGCCCGGGTTGCTGCGCAGCCTTTCAGGAATGGTAAACTGCTTCTCGTAGATCCATGTTTTGTCACCAACCCATTGTACGAGCTCCTCATTCTTTCCCACAAAGGGGTCCGGGATGGTATGATTGGCAAGTAGATCCAGGTGGATTGATGTAGGTAAAGGTTGAGCATTGTGCCAGACTGACGAATCCCCAGCCTCCGACTGCTCGCCTGCCTTGTACTTCCATCCGTCCGTTAGGGGGAGCCGTTCTTTTGCTATACCCATAATCGTTTATTAGGCGGCCCGTGTAGACTCGTTATCGCTAGAGAGCAAGAATGTAGAGATATCCTGGCACGGCGGTCTGATTGACACCGAAGGCAATTGCTGACTGTTTTATAGTGTTCTCTCGATTGCTGTAAATTGGTTTCTCGGTCGGCAAGAAATGATCTACAACCTCGGGTGTAATGTCCTTTTGTTCTTCCTGCTTCCTCCGGCCTCTTCTTCCGGCATTCTGTCCCTCTCGTGTTTACATATGCCATCAGTCTGGTATGACCGGCAGAAATTGGCGCGAAGTTACGGACCCGGCGGCCGGAATCAGACACGACCGGTGACCGGTGGCAGGTCCCAGCGCCTGCGCCTCGTTTGTCTTACTCCGAGCCGCCCACAATCAAATCACATGACTCAGCCGTTGACATGTTCACAGCGATGATGATAGATGACATTTGTCCCCAGACTCCTGTAAGGGCCGCTCCACATTATGGTCGGCCTTGCGTTTTGCGGGGTAAAATATGGGGGGTTTTGAGGCTGTATTTTGGCGTAAATTTTACTTAAAAGGAGGCGAGCTGTCGACTGGACCGCAACCGCCTTGGGGTAAAGTCAACCATTGTTTTCGCATTTATTACTCCTCTGAACTTTGACTCCGCATCGCTTCAGCAATCTTGTCGAGGACAAGTAATTTTCATCATGACTCACAAGAGTCAGACCACTGCTTTGGAGGAAGCTCCGTCTGTAATCATGTGTGAAAATGAAACGACGGAGAAGAACCCTACAATGATCCAGCCAGGGATGGATGATGCTCTTCAAATGGCCATTGATGGCCAAGACGAGACATGGACTGAGCAGGAAGAACGCCGGGTTTTGCGGAAGATCGATATGGTCCTTGTGCCACTGGTATGAACGTCCCTTTTAACTTTCAGTGCATATTGTGAAAGGCACCAACTAAAAACCCGAGTAGCTGTTCCTTGGCACGGTCGTAGGCTACGCTGATGGTCAGGCTTATGGATTCGCAGCTCTATTCGGCTTGGTCAAGGACCTCAAATTGTTCACTCCGACCCTTGTTGATGGGCAGGTGGTATTGGACACCACAAAGTATCAGCTTTCTTCTGGCATATCGTCACTCGGTGGAGTAGTGGTGAGTCATCCGAATAAATCTCCTGAGGGTTGCGCAAACAATTGACCTCGAGCCACATCTACATATAGGGACAATATCTGATTCTGTTCCCGGCCCAATTCTTACCGATTGGTATCGTGTATGGTTCTTGTCTAATATACATCGGGCTCCTGGCTACCTTGACTATTGTGTGCCAGAGCTTTGCCCAGATCATGGCTTTGAGGTATGACGATGGGCATACGTCGCCGAAATGCGTTGTTCGCCGATTAAATGACCAAGAAGTTAACGCACATGGCAGATTCTTTTATGGGTTCAGCCAAATAGTCCAGCCATTGGGCATCATCATAGTGGTTATGTGGTAAGCCCGCAACCCCTTGTGTTCAAACTTTATGCCCCTCATTTTGCCTCGTGTGAGATGCTTCTAATATATGAACTTAGGTGGAAGACGGATGAGCAACCCTTGCGAATCGGGCTTATGATCGCGGGTAATGCCGTAGGTTCCCTTTGTGGGGAATGGAATCGATTTCGGCGCCGTTCAGCTCAGCGGTGCGTACGCGGCTAGCCGATGGAAGTGGATTTATGTGATCCTGGGACCTTGTGCACTCCTTGTTGGTGTCATGGTACTGTTCTTACTTCCAGCAACTCCTATGAAGGCATGGTTTCTCACGGCACGGGAAAGACGAATCGCCGTACGCCGTCTCATGAGTAATAAGACTGGCATTCATACCCGAAAGTTTAAGCTACGTCAAGGTCTATCTGCGTTTCTAGACCCTCAGGTTTATGCTCTATGCATATTCTCCTTTACCTTTGCCTTTTCTAACGTGGCAATTTCAAGGTATACATTTCTGTTGCCCCTTGCTCTGTTTACTAGACGGACCTGAACATTCTCTTTTGTCCACGATAACATGTCGTGTTAACTTTTTCAAGCTTTGGCGGATTTCTTGTATCCTCTTTCGGGTACTCGCAGCTTCGATCCCTAGTTCTTTTCATGCCAGCATCTGCCATGGCACTGGTTTGCATCGTCTTGGCTGGGTAGGTCCTCTATTCAAAGACAAATCATGATCAAGTTGCTTTGTCAAAACTTGCATGAAATCTTCGCCGGATATTGTTGCTGACTATGGCAGAATTTTGGGTAATCGATTCCCACATCATCGCATCATCATCGCCACTGCATTCATTTTGCCTTCTTTGCTGGGAAATCTCCTGCTCTGGAAGTCAAGCAGGGAAAACAAAGCGGCACTTTTCGCAGGACTTTACGTGGTAAGTAAATTGCGTGGCTTTTTTACTCCTTCATATTCGGTCCAGACTGCGGTCAGTGTGCAACTTTGGAGATGAAGCGAGGCTAATTTAAGTGATACGCGCAATAGTCTACAACTTTCTATGGCGCTCTCGTCCAGCATTATTCTCTCCTCGCGGCAAATATTGGAGGACATTCTAAAAAGACCGTTGTGCTGGGTACCATCACAGTTATGGCCGCTCTAGGAGGTTTCAGCGGACCGTGGGCGTATAAGGGAAGCCAGGCAGCGCAGGGTTACCCGGATGGCCAGATTGCGACTCTATGTCTGTTTTGTGCGTCCATTGTCGCATATGTCATCCTTTGGTAAGTCATGTACGGCGTTATACTATTGAATAATTACTAATGGAAAATGTTATATGTATAGGTTTTATTATGGCTATCGTAATAAAAGATCCATGGCAGGATTACAGAACCAGTCTGACTCGGCTACTGACCCCATGATGGCTTTCATGGACCTTACAGACAAGGAGAATCCTACATTTCGTTATACTCGATGAGTTTTACTCTGGAAATCGTTTTATTCTCATCCCTATATTTTCTTAGTCCCTCTAGCATAGTCACAATTGAGTTACCTTTGCTTGTGTTTGTCACTTTCCGTATACCCTCCACCGCAGGTGACGAGGCTCAATGCACCAAATACGTAGTTTCTCAGTCGGATACTAGACAACCGACAGTGTATACCGGGTCTCATGCCTTCCACGCTCAACCGTGAGCCCTGTTCCATGTTCCACATATATGACTTGTCCTTGATTGACCCTGGACTGCTACCCCGAAGCGCAACTTATTACGTCCGGTTCCTGCAACGATTGGTTTGTCTTATATAACCAGTGCCAAATGCCGTCCTAACTTCAACGAGCCCGTTTATGAGGTTCACTCCGTTTCTGGCTCTTTTTTATTTGCCCTCTTGCCGTATTTTCTGTGATATGTCATACCCGTTACTATAAGCACGCACACACAATTTGTGACACCCAGTGGAGATTTCTCTGACAAGGAATTCTCCGACACGGAAATTTTACCCGCGATTTCTAAACAAATATCGAAACCACCGAGTTCGCGCTCGAATAGCGGAGCCAACGGGAACGGCATGGCACGAATCCGCTGTCACCGGCCAGAAACATGGGATATCAGCAGCGCACTCGGTAGACTCCTGCTACCGCACGCTTCAACGGAGAGCGGGGGCACTATGCACTTCCCCAGCATTCTGTTCAAAAAGATTACGGCGCAAGGATGGTGGTGGAGCAAGAATTTAACGATGAAGTCTGTTCACCAATCACATTCACCGTCAACACCAGGCTCCCGCCACTAGGCACCCCCCCACCACCGGCCGCCGGTGAGGCCACCGGCTACAGCCACCGGCCACCGGTTTGGGTACGGGCAGGCCATCCTTCCCGAAATCTTTCGCTGGACCTTGTAGACAGGGTCGATGGCAAAGCTCCGCTTCCCTGTGGCCGGGGGGTCATTCGGGCGCCTGAGCTACTAAAGAACAGAAGGACGAATCCAAAGATTGGAGATTGAGATACGGCCAACACCATCAACCTCACGTTGTGAATTTATTATACACTTTAAATCAAAATTCAGTTCAATTAGTCAGGAGTATCAACAAATCCCGTCCACCATGTTTGAATATCCGCCTGCCCGAAGAACAGACGTTGCCCAGCAATTCTCTACCGCCAATACTGGTTCACAGCATTCTCCGTCTCTAGTCTCTGTTCCTAATACATACAGTTGGCTGGAGGACGAAGACAGCGATGAAACCAAGACGTTTGTGGCCGAGCAAAACAAGTCTCTGAATAGCCATCTCCTGACCGACTCATCCGAAGCGGTCAAAACCCGGCTGATGACCCTGCTTCGCTCACAAGTGCAAGGGGAAGAAATCAGTCAAGCGCCTGAATCAGCAGGCGAATATTATCTGTTGCGCGTTTCCGGCTGCGGGCGCCCATTCCCTATTACTTTCAAGTTCAAGAACAGTGATTTGGGCAAACTCCTACAGCCGCTGCGCTCAGGTCCGACGGAATATGACCCTCAAACGGAAGGAATGGTGCATTCGTTTCACGACGAGGCCGCTAGCGGAGCTGGCAAGCTACTCTCTTCTGGCGTAAGCGGAAGTGGCAAGTACTGGGCATACTGCACAAGTGTTGAAGGCTCAGACTGGGGCATAATCAGAGTAAAGGAAGTTGAGACGGGTCGTGAGCTCCAGGAGGAGATTCGTGATACCAAGTTTAACAACTCTCGGAAGCCAATCACCTGGTTGGGGAACTCTGGTTTCTTCTATCAGTTCTGGCAGTTCTCTGAAAAGCGAGCCACCTCCCACCCCCAGCTGCGATATCATGCCCTTGGGACATGTCAGGCAGATGATGTGCTAATCTATGAGGAAAAGTCTAACCCAGGTCGTTGCTTCTGGCTGAACCTGACTGCTGATGAAAAGTTTGCAATCCTGAGTATATATGGCAGCGGACAAGAATGCCAAGTTTTGGCTTCTCGATTGCAGGTTACGGAGAATCGACCCGTTGTTGATTTTAGTGTCCAAATTTGCGATAATTTTGACTACAAATGGGAGTGAGTTTCATTTTGAATAAGCTTTTCACGCGAAACTCTTAGTCGCCCAATCTGACAAACAAATGCTCGCAGATATATCGGGCGCGTACTGCGAGGCGACCAGCAACTCTATACCTTTTTAACCGATAGGAACAATGGCGAGATTGTCGGATTTTCACTCGATGGCTCCACAACTGGCTCTACATTGCTTGTCGAAGGGGTTAAGCAACAGACATTAAAACTCGCCCAAGTAGTACGTTGTATTTCCCTTGAGTATCCCCTTTGTCAGATGGCTGTTTTGCCTCTAACTCTCACGATGAAAGATTGGAGATTGTTCTATTCTCCTCATCCGTTCCAAGGACGTTTGCGACCGGATTCAGACCTTTTCCACTGTAGATGGAGAACTTTCAGCAATCAATGCTCCCTTAGCGACAGTCTTTGATGTGCAATACAGTGCCGCGACCAAGGATATTTTCCTCATCGCTTCGTCATTTTCGCAACCTTTTTCGCTATGGCATATTGATGGGAAAACTCTCGGCTCGGCTCACGGGAACTCCGATCAACCGCAACTTGTGAAAGTCCATCCGACGACGCTTGCAAGCACTACAATGGGAGGAGTGTCTAGTACACAGGTCTTTTATACGTCGGCAGATGGGACACGAGTTCCCATGTTTCTGATCGCCAATGACTCGTGTCCAACCACGGCCGATACACCCATACTCCTCTACATCTACGGCGGCTTCGGCATCTCGGTGATTCCCCATTTTCGACCCGACTTTTTGGTCTTTATCAAGGCATTCCGAGGAATAGTCGCCATTGCCAACATTCGAGGCGGTGGCGAATACGGGCGGTCCTGGTATCGCGCTGCCTGCGGACAACATCGGCAAAGAGTTTTTGATGATATTCACGGTGCTTTGCAGCACCTGGCACATTCCTTTGGCACGCTGACAAGACGTCCTATCCTGATGGGGGAAAGCATGGGTGCCTTGAATGCCATGAGTGCCATTCTTCAACAGCCGGGCCTCGTATCGGCGGCTTTGTTAAACGCGGGACCATTCGACATTCTTCGCCGACAAACCTCGGGTATGGGGTTACGAGGCGTAGAGGATATCGGTGATGAGACGGACCCGGTCCAGTTTGCGCACATTCATAAATGGAGTCCCCTGGAAAACGTGGGAGACGGTCAACGGTACCCGCCTGCTCTGCTGACGGCCGGTGACCGGGACGACTTGGTAAAATGCGCCAATAGCTGCAAGATGGTTGCTACGCTACAGCATGCGCAAAGGCTGCTTGAAGGCAATTCTGCTGTCCACCTCCGAGTGATTAAAAATCTTGGGCATGGCGGGGCTGTGTCGACGGAAATGCAGGCTGTGATTAGTGTAGAACGCTGGTTATGGTTGGCAATAACGCTGGGGTTGAAGGTGTATTGATTTTGGAGAAATAGACGTCTTGGCCAAAGTCACGAGTAGTTGGACTTGACGAATGGCCGGATGCTTTGGCGAATATAAAGTACTCGATTCAAAATTGCCACATTATTCTGTTTTTTATGGTTTCGTGCTAGCGCAAATGTAATATGGCGAATATCAAGCAACTTACTCGATTCAAGACTGCCAGATTATTCTGTTTTTGATAGTTTCGTGCTATTGCGCAAATGTAAATATTTTGAGCAAAACACGCCCCCTTCTCTCCTAGTACAGGTATCCCACTACTGTTGACCCTATCAACGTGCCATTCCCCAAACGCAAAACAAGTCTTGAATACAAGAGTGGAACATGAAACCATGGCTCCTAGCATGTGTATTTCTCTAGAAACTAATAAGTTTCTGTGCGATGTGATGCGACTGGGAATGGGATTATACATGCAACTACACCGCAATGATGCTAGACGACCCATGGCAAAAAAGTCGGGCACAATTTCTCCAAAAAAAAAAAGGCCAACATTTACTGTGGCTGGGGAGGAGTTGACAAGGGATGTCGAGGATTTTGTGTTCCCGGGATATATGCAGACTGCCGAGAACATGTTATACTGGGCACGTATATGCATTGTTGTGGCTGAGGAACGGAAAAGGACATGTTGCCACTTCCGAAGGTTATTATAGTATAAGAATCCACGTAAAGCACGTTCTTTTACAGCGTAGTCAATAGAGACTAGAAGGTCTTGGTGTGTAATAGTTGGTCGTTCTTTAATTTGATCCAGTATATGTTGCTTTTGATCCTCAGATAGATTCCCTGGTCTCCCTGACCGTTGTTGGCTTGCGTTATCCTTTCTTTTAGCTTCTTGGGTAATGGTATATCGTATAGTTGAAAGAGGTATTTCTGGATAAAATCTATGTATCTTTTTATAGCCGTATTTAGCCTGTGAATGAAGCTCGCAGATACGTGCCCTCATCTGAGGAGGGAGCTCCTTTGACCGAGCCATCGTATACGTACCCTAAAAAAGAAGAGAAAATAGGCACCCTTCCATCCCAGACTTTAGGCACCCATTGTATGTATCAGGCATCATAGCTAACCCTTTACGGCTCTAGGTTGCCCCTCGCCTACCGATATTCACAATAACTACTAGCCTTAACTTGCCCCGTATCTTGCCATAGGCCAGCCACCGCCGGATCAACTCAATTTTTTCCATAATCTGAATGGGAGGAAGGCAGATAGGATGACCGAACATTTAGTGTGGCTCCTAATGAGTGTTAAGATGAGACTTTGAAAGCAGACGTTGAAGATATGCTGCGAACGAAAAAGAAACGTCACTAGAGAGTTCGACCTGAAGGCACGGCAGTGACGATACAAGTGAATGACTGGTCTCAAAGAAATCTCGAAAATTTCTGTAATTCCTTTAATATTGACTGGAAAGCAGTGAAGCAGTTGCGTAAATGGAGCAATCTTTCGCGCAAATGGCCAGTCCTTCCGAGGACCTGTAATGGAATTTGGAGCAGGCAGAGTCAAACTTACAGTATCTGGTCGCAAGATGGCCAGAATTTCAGTTTCGGTGATCATACACTTGGATGCCAGAATCTGAGTGACTGAAAGAGCTACCGGCTCCCAGAGCTGGAACAAGCGCTCCTCATAATGATAGCATCCTAGAAGTTTCTGAAACCTGGAGTGGCATACTTTATTGAGTAGTCGAAAGGTTGACGAGTCTGGCTTGGCCTGCGTGCGTTGCTCGATATACACAATCTCGGCCGGCTTTTGTCGATTCCACGCAACGGTTCCCGTTCGACCCTGAGTGATGGTCAAGAACGGCTCGTGCGTGTTCTATGGGTCTTGATTGAGGAGAGAGAGTCCAGCAGGTGGAGCCCTGCCGGTCAACGTGGGTGACGTCTCTCTGTCTTGGGGACTCGAAGACGCCACTGTGGCACCATCTGGTGCAGCAAAAACAGACCCAGCGATCTGCGACGGGCCTGCCGTGCGCGGTCCTTCTAGTGAGTCGCCGTACCTCTGATTCTGAGTTCTGAATTTTAAGCGTGGGGGAGGCATCGCTGACCTTGTTGGTGCTGACATTGTGGCAGCTGAGGATGTTTTCCCGTAATTTATACTGTAGATGAAAATGATTGCTGTGTTTCTAGAAGATCCCTCGCACCCTGGAGATTGATATGTTCTAGCCTGTCATGGCGACAGCAGTGGCACTAACGGAGCGCTTGCCCGCAATCAGTGGCGGGTTTCAAGGTGACTTGTAGCTTCTTTACTCACCCCCTGAATCTCTCCTCCCCTGACTTCCCTCTTGCTGATAATAATGTCCAGTCTTTGCATGGGGGTTTTGCATGGGGATACTGGGGCGCTTAGCGTGTGCTCTATCTCCATCTACTATCTTCTGTAGTCTATCCTTCTGGTGCGCGAATTCTTTGGCGATGGTATTGTCTACGTGGATCCGAGGTTAATTCGTCCAACCGCGGATGTTACATGTGCGGTGGTGGATATATATTTCGCACCAAGAAACCCGTCTAGGGTATGGAACTAGCTACGGGGAATCCGTTTCTCTTTGGTTCTTTATCACGGCCTGCTGTCCGTTATCGATTATTTGACATTATAAGTCTCTCTGTCCGTTCTATCATGAGCGACTCAATGTGTATTCCCTCCTGGGCGCAGAATGTATACGAGATATCCAACCTGGCCGCAGACTGTCCCCTTGGGATATGTGTATAAGACAATGCCTCGATCCTTTGCCATACGGGAATTTGCTCCATGCACTGTACCATTTGCTCTTCCCCAGCCGCACCCTCTTCAATTTCGATAACCCGCTCAACCACCCTGGCAGTAGAGATGCTATCCCAAGTCGCCTCCCGTATTTGTTGCCGTCGCAAAATACTCAAGGCCTCACGACGGACGCTAGGATGCCGGCACTTAGCCCCAATTATGTAAAGAACGGGGATAAATCCGATCTCTGGCGTAAAAGTCGACCTTGACGACCCCGAATACCGCTGATGCGCCGCCGCTACCTCGCCCGCTAATACGACACATTGCTGGAACTGGGGCAGGAAATTGTCATAGTCCATTTCTCTGCCAGGTCCGTAACCACTGAGGAGAGTCCATGCGATAGTATATTGTAAGCGCAGGAGTGATACGAGAGGGTCAGTTTCAAAGTCTGACTCAGAGGGGCTGCCTTGTTGCAGGAGATTTTCGAAGAGACTCGACCACGTTTCCAACTGCCCGAGAACGATGTCCTTGAGTGAAGAAGGTAACGGCGGCATCATACCCGTCGGGGACATTTGTTGCTCTGTGTTGCGCAGCCTCATTACCTGAGCGACGAGAATCTGGAGGTGGTCGGCAGCTTGGTCGAGTGACCAAAAGGTACTGTCGAAGAGTGAAAGATGGGACATGAATGTCTCTTGGATGTCGGCTGGAGTCCAATCGACCAGAAACATGGTGGCCTGCATGTCAAGGCGGCGAATCTGTTTTGTGACCTGGCAGATAATCGCCCGAACCCCCGAGGATTGGGCATCGTCGTAGGTACAGTTGTTCAATGTAGCGTTGTCGATGTTGCGTGAGAGCGCCACACCTCCGCGCAGGTGTTTCAGTGCTTGTACGTCGTCGCCCGCCAGATGATCAAAGCAGGTAAAGAGATAACAGACCAAAAGCGTGACAGCTGTTATTTCGGCGCTGTCACCACTTTCCGGGTTCAGCAGAAGTTGAATGGCGCGGTTATAGTGAAGCAAAGGAGCCTTATCCGGTAGAGGGTCTTTCAAGGAAGGCGGTTGATACACCCGACCGTTAGAATGACGATCCAGGTAGTTTCGGTGAATCAAGGCCAGAGCAATGGCAGCATGTCGCACTGATGGCACTGTTTGGGAGAAGAACATGAGAGTGTTCCGCCATGGTTCGCAAGGGCGGTATTCATTCAGATGCTTGATCGAAATATCCTTGAAAAAGCACATTGCCTCTGCCTGGGTTGACCCAGTCACAGGTAAGATCATAAAGGATCCGAGATTCTGCAAAACGAGGCCATGGTATTTCGAGTGCCATTGCTTTGACTCGTACGCACTGATCGTGGTACAGGGGTGGTAATTGTCGCAGCTATCTGCTCTGTCGGCGATCTCCTTGTGATAATGAGTTGCTTCAATCTCGGTCTTCTCGGTCTTCTCGGTCTTGAATGCGAGGGGCATTTCACTATAGCCATCGCAGGTGCGACCGGTAGAAAGGCATTTCAAGCATGAGGGCCGAGATAGATCGCATTTAACTCGTCTTATCCTGAGGGATGTCAGTTTTGAAGTCTTTGAACACAATTGATCGCTCTGTAGCAATACGTAAACTCAAGACATACTTGCAAGTCTTACAGCCTAGTCTTGACTTTGGAGCGAACTTGCGAGGCTTTTTTCTCCAGGCTTGATTGCCCGTCTTGGTGTTCTTGTTCTTCATCCCATCCATCACGGTGATGTGAGCTGTATAAGATTTGCAGTTCGCACCGTTTCAGGCAGAGGTCAATTTTGAGGCCACCACGACCCGTAAGCCACCACCTGCATGCGTTGGCTTCGAAAGGGAACTTATGGGGTGCCGATGAAATTTCAAGATGATGATCTGTTCGTCGGCTCGCATGCCAGTGAGGAAGTCATCGCCACATCCTTTGCGATGGACAGCGGAGTAAGAAAAGGTGGACTGTACGGAGTACAAAAAACGAAGCTTGTGGAAAGACTGGGCTGATGGGCTGGTTCGTAAAAGCGGGGCACTTTAAAGCGGACTTCTCAGTGATGGTGAAGGATTGGATAAGTAGCCTAAAGCTAGACCAATTGGCATTAATCCTACTAAATAGAGTCTAGTGCGTTCATGATAAGTATTGATTGGCTAGTTCGTACACGCGGGACCCCTAGTGCATATTGTGATAAGTACTGATTGGTTAGCTTGTACAACCGGGGCGCCAAGGAAGGCGAGCCTCTTCCTCTTCAGCTATTTAGGATAAGGAGGGGACTATATAAGTAGTCATCTTTGTGGGTCGGTGGACTAAGAATGCAAGTATCCATACAGACAAGAGCATAAATCTCAATTGAAACGTGGAGTAAAGCCTTGGACCCACCACTACACTTACAGGGGTAAGATCCTGCTCCTCGCACCCGCCATACTTGGTTATACTTGTGGTGATCAAAAAAATATTGATTGGCTGGTTCGTACAAGCGGAACGGAAAGCGATTGTACGCAAGAAGAGGTATTGTGAGTTGATGGGAAGAATGCAGCTGCCTATTGAAACCGTCAGACTTGACACTACTATCTAAGGAAATTCAACTGGTATAAATAGTTCCCAGATATCGCCATTGTGTCGGCTCTTGCAAGCAACTGAACGGAAAGATCAATGAGAAGCCCCCAGGGATTACAATGGACCGACTTGTGAATGTGCTTATCCTTTTCATGAGCTTGGGATTGAAAGCCGACAGTTTGCATGATCGGGGCATGGCCTACGGATTTGACAATGTGAGTCCGGGACCTTACGGCACCACATTGCCCAAGGGTTTTAAGCCTTCTGACGAGCCATCTAGCTTGAACCATCAGCCAACCTCACATGGACACCATGTTTCGATGCCTTTAATTGCTCTAGACTGGAAGTTCCTTTGGATTATTCAAACAGAAGTCTTGGCACGACGTCGATTGCCTTCATCAAGCTGGCTGGCAAAAATGCCACCGTCGAGTCTCCAAGCATTGTACTCAACCCCGGTAAGATCTCAATTCTATCAATTATGCAACGTTGTCTGAACTTCATTTGACTGGACTGACACTTCGTTAGGCGGTCCGGGTGGTTCTGGTGTCGACCTACTCCTCACATACCAGAATCTCCTCGGGCAGATGTTTGGAGAGCAGTACAACTTCGTCTCCTTTGACCCTCGCGGTGTGAACAACAGTGGCTTGCATCTCGACTGCTTCTCGGGGGACGCAAAAGCAAGATCGGCTTTCTATCGACTGCACAGAACAGGCGCCACCAATATCTCATCAACATCGCTTGAGGAACAGTACTATTCAAGCTCTATCTACGGCGAGTGGTGCAACAATGCTGTCGAGAACAAGTCACCCTATTCATATTATGTGACTACGCCAGCAGTTGCCCATGATTTGCTCACATTTACCGAAGCCGAGGCTGAGTTGGCCGGTCAGTCACCATCAAACGCCAAATTGTGGTGCTATAGCGTCAGTTACGGTACTGTCATCGGCAGCACTTTCGCTTCCCTGTTTCCTGACCGCGTTGGGAGAATGATACTCGATGGTGTTCTGAACGCAGAGCAATATTATAATAACTATTGGACGGACAATGTTGATCAAATGGACGAGGCCATGGAAACATTCTCGACCTTCTGCTATTCTGCAGGGCCTGAAAAGTGCACATTTTGGGGACCCACACCGGCTAACATCACGGCAAGAATGGATGGCATCATCCGTCAGCTTCAGAACCATCCAGTCCCGCTAAGCGGCGTCGGAGATCCAGACCTGCCGACAATGGTCACCTATTCAGACCTGAAGGCTCTTTTTCTTAACACACTCTACATCCCACTGGCAAGGTTTCCAAGCATGGCCGACATCCTACACCAGGCCGAGTGTGGGAATGTGTCTGCTCTTGCGGGCATGTATGACCAGTCAAACTCTATAACCGATGCCCGTCTCGCCATTACATGCACCGATTCGTATCGGAGGAACAGGCTTACTACCATAGAAGAGTTCAAGAGTTGGGCGAAGTACACGATTTTCAAGAGCAAATACATCGGTGATATCTACCCCATCTTCCTGGAAGGTATCTTATGCCGATCATTCCGACCGCAGTTGCCTGATAGCATGGTAGTTCAAGGTAGTCAACACTCCTTTGTCTCTTTCTCTTTTTCGGCATTCTATAAATATCGTCTTCGGCAAAATGGGTGACCATCTGCATTGGAAACAAAATCTAACCAGGTTTGATGCAGACGAAATAAGTGCACTAAACATGCCTACGTCCTTCCCGATTCTCTTTGCGAGTAATACCATCGACCCTATCACGCCGTTGGAATCGTACGTTTCGGTAAAATCGCATCGACATTGGGCATGCTACTAGCTGACATTATATCTTTGTAGGGCGCGCAAGATGTCTTCTCGGTTTGCCGGATCGGTACTTTTAATGCAAGAAGCCGTTGGTGTAAGTTGTTATCAATTCTCAATCCTACAGCCATCTCGACCAAGAGTCTAGGCTTACTCGTGGGATGTTTCCTTTGAATTCAGCATACGGTCATCGACCAGGGGGCGTCAAACTGTTACTTTGGACATATTCAGGCATACCTCCAAGGCACAGTTCCATCGTCCAACACTATATGCCCCCGACAGTACATTCCTTTCATAGATGCCCCCCCTCTTTAACGATTGTCAAAGACATGGGAGAAAAGTTCGGTCAATTTCAGGAAAGAACTGAACAGTGCCAACTAAGTGCTGAATTGTCAAAGTATGTGGCTCATATACACTCATTCCAAGGTAACCTTTTCATATCTGTTGTTGATTCCTACGCTCCTTTTACTCTTTTGTTATTAGATTGTGTATTATTTTGTTCTCCCTTCATCTGAAATGTGGGTAATCCATCTGACCCTACAATCATCCCTGTACTATTTTCTTTTGTGATTTCTCCCTATGCGTCCATGACCTTGGCTACCTACTATGTGAATCTGCATAGCGGAAGGCTGAGCTGCCGGATTAGTGAACAGATTTTCTTGATATGTTTGGAAATCTGGCAAGTATAGTTACTTGACTCCCGTACCAAAGCACTTGTTTGACTCGATCCGAATGATGCGGAGATGCGCTATCCATAACAAGCGCGAATTTTGGCTCCGGCCACCTCCTGTAGCGCTGCAGAAGCTTCTCCATGAACGATTCGAAGAACGCAGCGTCAATTGAAACTTCAAAAAACGAGATAAGATAAAACCGTCTTGAACATATACCGGGAATATTTGGTAGTGTTGGTGCGGACGAAATTTTGACACTTTTAACGAACTAATAACTATAGAGACCGAAACTATCTATGCTAGTTAAATAGCCCTATTAGACCTCGACCTAAACCTTATAGCTACTTAGGCTACTATTAAGAAACTATAGCGCCTAAAAGACCTATAAGACTACGTAGAATACCTAAGGTCCGAAGTCCTAGGCCGAAAACCTAACGTAAGATAGTAGTGTAGGGGAATTGAATGACGGTGGGACTTAGTTAAATCAGAACTCTACCGGTCAAATTCTCTATTTTACTAGCGCATTCTTCTATGGCCGTTATAGGCCGCTGTAGACGAATATGGGAGGGAAAAGGTCATGAGGATATAGGGGATAGTTTAGCGGCCTTGGTCGCATTTATGTTAGTTATTCTTTGCGCGGTTAACATTGGCTAGGTACCCTCGCAGAGCAACGCGGCCAGTGCGAAGTGCATCAGCACTAATTGAGGTCCACGGGTGGCCTTGCGTAGGCGAAGGCCCTCTACGTATTCCAGCCCCTTTTTGACTGGTCGGTCAATCAATCGCTTGGTCGGCCGCGCGATGACTCGTGGACCAGTTATCTGTTTCTGCCAGGCATGCCCCTATGGCAACCTTGGCTTTCTGTCGTATGCAGTATTCAGCCGCAGGGAAAAATCAAGGCGCACAAGGCTCGGGTATAAGGATGATTACGTACCAAGAACGGCCTGCACTGAGGGGCATTCAAGTGGGTATAAAGTGAGCCCTAAATCCCAAGAATCATAAAGAAATAACATAATATTCCTATACTCCCCCCCCTGCTGCAAGCAATCTCTTCAAATTAAATTCAAAATGAGCGACTCGTTATCTAAAGCACTGTCTGCGGTGACCGAGGCATTGTCTAACCCTCCATCTCCCGTTAATATAAATCTGGGGACTGCCTTTCAGCTGTTGGGGGCAATGGATAAGCTTCGTGTGATGCTCGAGCCACCTAATTTGGCAGTTCTCAATCTCAGCCTTGCGGTAAGAAGCGGGCCAACCTGTCATTATGAAAATTCCGTTTGACTGATTTCACGAACAGCCATATGCTTTAAGTGCGACTCGGGTTGCCCAAGGGATGGGTGTCTTCAATGCCTTTGTTCGCGCAAATGGAACGAAAGATCTGACGCTCGAAGAACTTGACGCTAAGACTAAAGGAGATAGGCAGCTATTATGTATGTTGGTCATCCCGAAATATGAAGCGATATCTAACAGTGTGTCTAATGTCATTAAGCTAACTATGATCATCGTAGTTCGTATCATGCGTCACCTATGTGCATGTGATATCTTCACCTTGGTAGAGGGCACAAAATATCGGCCCTCTCAACTAGCGTTGCAACTAGCGGATGGCTCGCCCGTCGGTGACTGTGTGAAGCATTTGTGAGAAGCCCGTTAGGATTTCCTTCAAATCCATAGACTAACACCATCCCTCTCCAGCTACCTTAACATGAGAGTCACGAGTTTCTTGAATGAGTACCTTGAAGAGAGGAACTACGCCAACCCAGTTGACGCAACAGATACGCCTTTCCAGTACGCCCACCGGACGAAGGAAAACCCCTTCGAGTGGCTTGCCCGCCACCCGGCAGATCAAGCAGCCTTCAATTCCGTAATGACCATGAATCGCAAGCTCATCGAGACAGAGTGGTATGAGACCTTTCCAGTCGAAGAAAAGCTCCAGGTCTCTGCTGATAGAACCGTCCTCGTTGACATCGGCGGTGGCATTGGCCATGATCTCTCTCTGTTAAAACAACATTTCCCTCAGCTTCCAGGAAAGCTTGTGGTACAGGATCTCCCCGGTGTTATTAAAGATATCCGAGAGCCCTTACCTGATGGGGTTGAAGCGGTGGTCTACAATATGTTTGACCCGCAGCCTTTGAAAGGTGCCAAGGCATATTACCTGCGCACAGTATTGCACGATTGGCCTGACAAGCAAGCAATCGAAGTTCTCAGAAGAATTCGTGAAGCTATGGTCGAGGATTCTATTTTACTCGTCAATGAGCTCAATATGGCGGGATCCAATCCCTCGCGCATTCAAACTGCAATCGACCAGGACATGATGGAGGCATTCTCCTCTCTAGAAAGAACAGAAGAGGAGTGGAGAGCTTTGCTCAACAAGGGCGGCTTCGATGTGGTGAAGGTTTGGAAACCTGCAGTCAAAGGTATGGTTGAGCTCGCTCTATATGAAGCAGTGCCAAAGCCTTGATGAAGATTCAAATTCGATTTGCGCCAACCTAGACCAACGTAGTACTCCGGGGTGCTAATTCTAATCTGAAATTTATCTATATTTGTTCCATTACCACTAGTAGAGTGCTTGATGACAGTTGTCTGCTAGCTACACTAGATCTCTCGCGTATTTTGTGTAGACAAGCTAGAATACAAAACGTATCATTGATGGATTTATTTATTTAGCTGAAGCCTCGTTTTGAGCAACTACTAGGTACTTCAATTGGGATTTAATCCCAGGAACACCCAGGCTAGGTCCTGGTATTATTATGTTTCCAATAAAATCAGCTTGAGGATTTCAACGCCACACCTGGGTTACTAAAGTATGAGGACTTCTGGGGCTGATACTGCGCTATATCAAAGAAGGAGCACGATGTGACCTCTTTGTGAATGAAGTTCTCCTGACTTGGTCGCGTATTCTCCCGAAAAGACAGCATTCAAACCTAGCGACGAATCACAAGTACTTCCTCTATCCCACATGAAGTCAAAACCGCTCGCTTGGACTTTGAATACTACTATCTGCTCATTTGCCATCGTTGAATCTAGTCCGTAAGTGTCCACCGGTTTCTCTGATGCCGTCTCCTTCAGTAAGCTGCTTTCCCTATAGCACAGTCAATAGTCACCCATTTTATTCCTGCATTATACACCCCACCTTCGCTCGATATAAGCCTTTTTTCAGAGCAGAATTTACACATCAGTTAGTTAGATATGATAGATACCCAACATCTTCTCGGTACGAACCGAGAAGCTTGAGACATGTTCACCTTCTGCCAGTGGGAACGAGCATGAGAATTCTAAATGCCGAGATTTTTTGATCACCATCCATGCCCTGGAAGATGTTGGGTTGAGTAACTCCTATCAAGCTTTCCGTAAATCCGTGTAGCTCTTCTGGTTAACCCATATAAGGCGACATTCTGGCTCTCCTTTTTCAGAATCCAATCTGGTATTACGGCTAGAATCATCAATGCAGGCCCGGGGGCGAAAGTCTGAAAGAACAAATATAGTTCTCATATTCTGCATTTTGATTCTAAGTCCTTGGCCGAGTAGTATTTTCGACCAGCCTTTAGATGCGAGAACTTTACCTTGAGGGAGTCGCTGACCTTCATAGATTGTTCGTCATGAGTGTAGTTATCTCGCCAAGTTAGATATAAAGGTTCTGAGCAGATAATTACAGATTGTGTTTACCACCAACTGTGTTTAATTTATCCCCGATAGATACGACTTAGAGGGCAAAGAGAAAATTTCGGACCATTACAAGTTCTTGCACCGGCTATTCAAAACTTGGTCCTTGACTAGTAGTATGAATCATACTATAAAAGACCATAATTTGACTCAGGGAATTTCGGTGCCATCGAATGTGTAATACTCTGATTATTGTTGATATTAGTGCTGTGGAGCGATGATTGGTAGAGAAAAGGACTTGGGAGGACAAGAATAGTATACACTCTATTAGAGATTCGTGTGTTATCCAACATCATGCGCAATTTATTCGCCCTGGTATCCTTAGAGACAGCTTCCCGCGGAGCTAGCTAGGTACGCAATTTATTTAAATTTCATCTAGAGTTCAAAGAACTGTTTTCAAAATACTACAGGTTTTGTATACGCTTGCTTTTCTTTTAGCAGGTATTGTGACCTGTCTTCAAACCCAACCAACCTGGCGTGAATATTTACGATTAAGACGTTATCAACAGTGTAATGCGCGTTCCTCTTGAAAGTCCTGTGTCTCTAAACTCCGTGTGCATGCAGACCAAGGAGTGTCCAGGAGTTTGCATGTCGGTTCCTGTCAAATGAGCCAGGTCTTCGGCGATGTAGATGGGATGTTTCATGGCCCACATGCGATCTTTTTTTCGTCTTTCTCACGTCTGACGAGACAAGATGTGGAAGAGCATCGAGAGATTAAGGTGTATTGATGATGTATCGGAATTGGAACTAAATGGCCTCTGCTAACTTCGGCATAAGAACCTTTGTGTTCTCATAGACGAGAAATGTGACCCAGGTGCTTGGCAAAACTCGAAGCAAATTCGGGCCCAGTCCTTTGTAAAAACCTGCAATACCCTCCTTTGCCCAAATCTGACCGATTGCATCCATTACCCCCCGGTACAGTATGTGAGCTTCATAGGTCTGTAGCCGCGATCTGATGACTTGATACGGATAAGTCACACACCCGGCAAACACTTTGGATAGACCGGAGAGGACCAGGAAATCCAGGTTACCAAGCTGTTTTGTCACCACGGCATCAGGTCTCCCTTTCGAGGACTCATTATGTAGCGCCCGGGAACGGAGAACCTTCAGCCTTTCGTAGGCCATGAACTGAAAGGCGCCGTGGCTGACTCCGAATAAGGAGGGAACCAATCCACGATAGAAACCACGCATGCCTTCAGTGCGGTAGATTTGCTTCACGCCAGACATGAACGAAGGATAAGCCCCAGGGGATTGGGCACCAGTCGCGAGCATGCGGGTTTTGATGACCCAGATAGGGTTGGTAAGAACAGACGTCAAGGCCCCTAAAATAAATACATGAGAAATTAGAAGATCAAATAGTTTTTAGCTGGTGAACACGGACCTGCTGCGCTCGAGGCAAGAAAATAATCAGAAGATGTGAGCATCCAGTGTTCTTGTCCTCGGTAGATGCGAATGGCGTCCTTGAGACTGCCATAGCATAAAAAGTACAGGGCCCAGCTTGTCGAGTTTCCAATCAGGTTGGGAGCCAGACCACGGTAGAAGGCACCGAGACCGCCCTCATAGGTGGAGATTTCACGGATAATGCGCAAAGAGCTGCCAAGCCGGGAAGGTGATGATCGATCGACTGAGAAATTAGCATTAGTCGAGTCAGAACCCAAGGAATTATTCAAATCAAGAATAGGGGGGAAAATGGGCTAGAAGCGGGACTTGTGCCATCATCGTACCTTGAAGACGGGTCTTCACCAGGTCCAGCGGGTGCACACAGAGTGTCGAGGCAACCCCAGCCGTGAATCCAGCTACGGTCTCCACAACGGATGAAGACAACCCATCCTTGCCAGTCATGAACACTGGGCTGGAATCAAAGAAGGTCGATGAATTGAAGAGATGCACTGGTGACAGCTGCTGCTGAGTTGATGTACCTGAAGAGTTACTCACAACGAGTGAATAATATGATTGTCGATATCGGAGAGCGATGGCAGAATGCCGCCATCTCCGATATCTGTTGGTCACGGGTCACCCAATCACGGGACTCAAGGAAGGACCAGGAGGGTGCTATATTATTCTACTGAATGGACAAGAGATAGGGTAAATTACGAAGATCATGGAGAGAGGCATATCAGACCTCGCTTAGTAGTGGCTCATACACATCGAATTAAGAATAGAATGGCAGTTTTTAACCCATAATCAATTAACATCCCATGTTTCATTTAAAAATACATATCAAGAGACTCAGGTGTGGAATTGTACAGCCCGCCCCCGACTTCAACCGCCGAAGAAAAAGAGGGCCGGTCATCGCTCTAGAGTGGGCGAAACGTGATGAAAGAGGCCAATGGATGGAACTCCAAGAGGTCCCTCAATGTGGCCAGCGGAATGGTCCTTTTGTGTCAGATGGATGCCCTGCAGCGCGACGCTTATGCCAGAGGCGAGAACAGCCTAATCAACCAGGTTAGGCAGAGGCGCTTGAGGATTCGTGGACTTTGCGACCTACTTGAACAGAGACGGCTTAGGCTCGCTGTAGGAGTAGCCTGTGCGTTGCGCATCAATAACCTGATCGTATCCGCATTGAATGACGACTAGGAGAAATTCGATTCCGACTTACCAAGGTAGACAATCAGAGGCAGATAACCGCTATCAGATCCAGTGTGTCAGCTCGGTGATGAGAAGGGTATTGAGAAGGTGGCAGCTGGATGTTGCGGGCAGGCCGGGGGCCTTACTAGTGGATCGCAACGCGGGAAATATCGATCACCTTCGAAACGCGCTCCTGTAGAGAAAAAGAGAAGACCAGATTAGTGATCATATAACTGTTACGGCGAGGATGCCGGGACGGAGGGCCTACCTTGGTCTCCTCGGAGAATTGAACCATGATGAATAGTAGGAGTGGAAGAGGTGGGAGGTTTAGAGAAGAGTGATCCGTCGAAAAGGAACGAAAGAGTTGTCAGCACTAGAGTGGAAATCCGAAAGATGAGGTGGGTTGGAAGGGTTGGAAAGATTGATGGTGGAAAGCGGAGGTTAAAGAACAGCGGGAGCTGCGAGAAGTTGCTCAAAAGTTTTCGGAGGTCGGGAAATCCAATGATCACCGATCACTGCCGCTCCCATTTCCAACCACCACTCAAGGCCTCCCCTTTCACCCTACCCACCTCCTTCTCTACTCTACCCCGGCCTCGGCAAATACAAGACGAATCTACTACTGAGAAGTTTTCTTCGTTCTGCCTGTCACAGTTTTTCGTTCGACCTCCAGATTTACCTCTTGCCGCAGCTGGCGTCGTCGCCGTTATGTCTGGCGCAAGACACTGGTAAGAAGATATTGTGCCTCGTCATCCCAGGCTTCCAATCGAAGTGCCCCTCGCACTAACAACAGAAAACCAGGGAGCAAGACAAAGAGGCCACGGTCTACATCGGTAACCTGGATGAGCGGGCTTCCGATAGCTTGGTATGGGAGCTCATGTTGCAAGCTGGGCGCATTGTGAACGTCCACCTCCCTAAAGACCGAGTCACACAGTCACATCAAGGGTATGGTTTCGTGGAGTATATCAGTGAGGAGGATGCGGAGTATGCCTCGAGAATTATGAACGGGATTCGCCTTTATGGCAAGCCTATTCGGGTGAACAAGGCCTCCGCAGATAAGCAAAAGTCAGTGGAAATCGGCGCCGAACTCTTTGTCGGAAACCTCGATCCCATGGTTTCGGAACAAGTACTGTACGACACGTTCAGTCGCTTTGGCAGCTTAGTCAATTTGCCCAAGGTCAGTGCCCCTTATGGTCTCTGTTCTGTGAGAGACACAGCCCGAACGAACGCTAATTCGAATATAGATTGCTCGGGATGACAATAATCTTTCCAAGGGTTATGGGTTCGTGTCCTTTGCCGATTTTGAATCCTCCGACGCGGCCATTGCCAATATGAACGACCAATACCTTATGAACAAGCAAGTTTCCGTACAATATGCCTACAAGAAGGATGGCAAGGGAGAGAGACATGGTGATGAGGCCGAGAGAACGCTGGCAGCGCAGGCTCGGAAACATAATGTTCGCCCACCAACGCAGCAGGTTCCACCGGGTCAATTCTCAGGAACGGGTACCGGTCCTTCTACTACCCCTGCCGCTATACCAAATGGCGATGCTTCTCGTCCTGTGAGCACTGGTCCACAGACGCCTGATCTTGGAATGGGGAGGAGCATGCCAATTCCGATGAATTATCAGAACGTCCCTCCTCCTCAGCAGGGCCGACCGGGGCCTCCTCCTCCTTCATCCCTCATCACTCCCCCGCCAGGCCTCCCTGCCCGTCCCCCGCCATCTCAGGTTGGCTATGGCGGCCCTCAAACCTTCCTCCCTCCGGGATTCAATGGCGCAGGTCAGCAACCAGCCTATCCCACACAAGCGGCCGCACCACCGCCAGGGTTCGGCCCTCCTGGCTTTGCGCCTTCAGCAGGGGCCCCTGCGGTTCCGGGGGCGCCCCCTTCGTTACCTCCTGGGTTCCAGCAGCCAGGGTATGGAACAGGTCGTTGAGCAACCATAGGTGGCGTTTGGTATGCAGCCATGGGCTGCATCATGTCGATAAATTCTTTTTGAAAATTGTCTTTGCGCATGCTACGATCTAAAGATTGAACACAAAGCGGCTACCTCAGACTTCAGGGGTTCGCTTGTACATAGCATGCCTCGACTAGGGTGGAGACGACAAGGCTGGCCACACGTTGGAGTCCAGATCACATTGACTGATCTGCGAGATTACATGACCCTTGTGCTCTCAGCGGGCTCCTCCGACATGAACAGACACGGGGAAGCGGCGTCCTGGACGCCAGCCGTTGCTCTAGCTAATCACCTCGCGAGGCCACTCCCTTGCCCAATCAAATGAGATATGATAGAAAGACATTCATGGAGGTCCTTGGGAAAAAAAAGTAGAGTGACGCAATAATTTAGATGAAACGCACTGTGAGTAACATGATGGATGAAGTGCTGCCATCATGATTTGGCCTGAGAGATGTAGACCAGAGGTACGATACCAGATTCTTCAGAGGTTGCAAGTAAGGGACAAGAGGAAAGAGAAGTTGAAAAGAGAGACTCAAACGAGAGAAAGTGCTATGCGTTTGTGTATGAGATCATGAGAACGAGACAAATTTGGGGTCTCGGGGTCGACCATCGGGGCCAATATTGTTCTTTGCGAATCGCTGTTCCGTGTAGATGCGACGGGCCTCATCAAAGTTGACCTTTCGAAGCTTCATGATTTTTTGAATCTCCCGCTTGGCTGTTTGATCCAATCCAGCTCGGGTATCCCCATCTGCAACATTAGCCGTAATGTCGAATTGCGAGGAACTCAAGCCGGCTTCCAAGTCGGCGGTAAAGCTGGAGGGAAGGCGATGGTAGATGTAATGAGGGACTGGCAGTAGATTGATCCATCGTGATCGGGTGAGATAGAGCGCTGGAGATTGTCGTTAGCCTTCATTTAGGGTAGATCCGAAGGGCCCATGTTTGTGCAAAGAAAGGTTGAGAACCGTTTGCGACATACCTGTTCCCGCGATGATGACGGAGAGTATAAGGGAGTAGAACAGGAAATAGGTCATGATGAGCGAGGCACAAGTAGGTCAAAGGAATCGAAGGAACTTGAGCGCAGGCCGACCGAAAGGCTTCGCGAAGCCAGGCGTTGGAAAAGCCAGGCGTTTGGAGGGATCGCAACAATGAAGAGGAGGCGGAACACCACAGCCTTAGGCAGTCGTCATCCGCGACGCCCGAACTCGCCGAATGGGGAAGGATTTGATGCCTGAGAAAATAGGCGTAAAGAGGTTTGAAGGCCCTGAGGCAAGAATGGAATGAGCTCCGATTAGATAAGGAGGATCCAAGCATCCAGGCATACAGGCATCCAGGCATCCAGGCATCCAGGCATCCATGCGGGCACTATTCCCAAAGCGGCCTGCTTAGCGAGGCGTCGAGTCGAGAATTCCATCACACAAGACGTCCCCGACCACCACCAGAAGGCGATTCACGATCCAATTCCACCGAATCCAGCATTCCCGTCACCATGTCCGTCCAGCGCGCCAACGTCTCCAACGACCTGATCTGGCAGATCACCCGTACGTCTTTATTTTCCGCCTCCTCGAATTTTTGGACGAGCCCGTGACTGACAGCTGTGGCATCATAGGTAACCAGAATGCTTATCTGGTTCGCCGCAACACTGGTGGTGGCTCCCAGTTCTCCCGGGACCCCCTGAACCTGGTCAACAAGCACTCCTTCAAGGTACGATGGTGCAATTGATGTTTTCGATGCCGGATTCCGGATTCGAAAACCCCCACGTCAAATGAGCTAGTAACGCGAAAGCTAACGGAGGGAATTTCTTATAGTACGCTGGCTACACCAACAACAAGGTATTCAATTACTCACCATTGCACTTGACATTCCTATCTCCCTGAAACCCCCAATTCAGGCATTCGACAAGACCTTAACTCACCACCATATGTCTCGTCCAGGCCGTCGGTGTCCAGTCCACTGAGAACGGTGGTGTCGCCGTCATCACCAAGAAGCCCGGCAACCCCCAGCAGCCCGCCCAGAACCAGGTCACCGTCACCTACGGCCCCAAGACCGGCATCCGCAAGTAAGAAACCCCCGAATGCCCTTTGCGCCAAGTCCCGTGAACCGTTGTATTTCCACTCTTACGTCTTTTGCGATACACGCGTGGAATCGGGAAAATTGGTTCTATCCAACTTGAGACCACCAAAAAGGCATAGTACTGACCGGAGTGCGTGTGTGTGATATCTAGGATCTACAAGGGTGTTGCCAGCAAGACCGCCCGGCACGGTTACCGCCCTGATGTCCGCGAGGAAGCCGTCGCCCGTGTGAGCGCCCTCCGCCGCTCCCACCAGCCCAAGAAGGAAACCCCCGCCTCCAAGCCTCGTGGTGCCCAGGCCCGCAAGGCCGCCGAGCAGGCCTCCGAGTAAATATGTGTCGCGACGAGCAGTGATGAAGGAGTCAAAACGATGGAGGGGCGAACGCGCATCTAAGGTGGATCGGCATCGGGCATCCTGAATGAACAAACCGTATGCGCGCGCCCAGTGCTGGAAACACGATGGAGACGGTCCATGTAATCTAGCAAATACACTTTTTTTCTTTTGCTCCGCGGGGGAAAATTGCCCGACCCCGGTTGTTTGAAGAAAAGAAAGAAGAATTCAATTTCTATAAGAGAAACCATGATCCTCGACATTCGGAGATACGGAAAAGATCTCATCAGCTCTGTTGCGGGTGTAGTAGGAGATGCTCACTGGGCAGCCGATTCGTCGGGCCGAATGGAAATCAGCCTCGGGCCTAACGGTCCGAAGGTGAATGTGGGCGCGTAAGCCAGACTTTAAGAACAAAGACTGGGGGGGGGGGGCGCAGTGGAGAGTTCGACAGAGGCATCGGTCTACTGGACCAGGTTCAGCGGGGAGGCATGATGTCGTTTGCCGTGGAATTAGAGCGCCCTTTTGGAGGGGATCCCGCCTTTTCCCGACGGCGAATGGACCAGACTGTCAAGGGTTCCGAGAATCACGGGCGTGATGAGACAATAGCCGAGATCTGTCCAGGGCAGTTGCCGCGAATTACTCCTGAGAAGAGCAAGTCGGAACAGAAGGGCCGGGAAGATTTGCCTTGCTGGGATGGAAAGGAGGAAGCGGAGGAGGGGACGGATGGTAATCATGGCTGGATTAAGTATTGACGAGACCGTGATAGTAACATCTTCATCCGCTAGCTATACGGGATCAATATCCAGACTAGTGGAGGTAAGAAAACAGAATATAGTTACAAGTATACCACAGTATACTCTTGTTGGACAAAAAGTAGAGCAGTTCCTTTGGCTGTCAAGATTATGACTATCCTCGCTCCTACGGTCTGCTCTATTCAGTTCCGTAATAGGGGTCCTAGGGACTAGAGTAAGTGGTCGGACTAAAGAACTGGGACTACTTCGAATGTGGTACTAATAGTACCAGAGTACTTAGAGTACCAGAGTACCATAGGGACAGAGTGCTCCGCCATGTAGCTGAGAACAGTTCTCTGGAAGTACTATGTACGAGATGTCTGGGGTCCGTACCGTAGTCGTGCGAGTTTGTACGGAGGTAGTCAGAGTCGTCCACATGACCTGCGGAGAGTTGCCAGACCGGGCAGCCCAATCCAGTAAAAAAGCGAGGAGCCACCAACTGGATGATGATGATGATTAGTATTATGATGATGATTATGATTACTAGGGTAGGAGATTGGATCAAGTAGTGACCGACCATTGATTCCTAAGGAATGAGCTAGAAATAATATAGAACGGGTCTCAGAATAGGTCGATCGATCAAGAGTGTACTCATCGGATCGAGTACACTTCTACAGTAGATAGAGAAGTACCGATTATAGAGCCCTTCCAGAGACCATCGAGGGGTCTAGCCTGACCAATGTACAGGACAAGCATCGCAAAGAGTCATCGAAGACACGATTAATATTAAGCACGAGACTAGCCAAATACCAACAATATAGTAATATATCAATCCTCATCTAACTGTACAGTAGTCAGTTAGTTAGCTTGTGAAGATGACGGACCACCCGATGGGCAACTCCGGGGTTGCCCCTCAATCCGCGCCCCTCCTCCTCCTCCTCCTCCTCGTCTTCCTCTTCCGAGTTCAAATAAATAACCCGATCCCCTCCTTCCCTCCTCTCTTCTCCTCTCCCCCTCCACAACCCCCTTCCCACACTCTTCCATCAATTCTTCACCTTTCTCAACCCCATCTCACATCATGGTCAAGGCTGGTAGGTTATCATGATTCCGGTTCTTTACCCATTGACTGACCCCGATTGCGCCCAGTTGTTCTTGGTGCCTCTGGCGGCATTGGCCAGGTGAGCTTACCCCAACGAGATCTCAACACCAACATCTCATGCGCTAACAACTATCCGTTCCTATCGTCCAGCCCCTCTCTCTCCTGCTGAAGGCCTCGCCTCTGGTTGACGAGCTTGCCCTCTACGATGTCGTCAACACCCCCGGTGTCGCTGCCGATCTGTCCCACATCTCCTCCGTTGCCGTACGTGAGAAGATCCTTTCCGTTTGCCCAATTTTCCGACTCAATTCCTTTGGGTGGTCTATATAATCGCAACAAAGATGCTATCTGGCCGAGAATGTCACCATCGCTGACTGTCAGCTAGAAAATCTCTGGCTACCTCCCCAAGGATGATGGCCTGAAGCACGCCCTGACTGGCGCCGACATCGTTGTCATCCCCGCTGGCATTCCCCGTTCGCACCCCCTCCCATTACCAATGATGGTGGAGCGTATGTCACTAATGCTCTGAAATCCAGGCAAGCCCGGCATGACCCGTGACGACCTCTTCAAGATCAATGCCGGCATTGTCCGTGACCTGGTCAAGGGCATCGCCGAGTTCAGCCCCAACGCCTTCATTCTGGTCATCTCCAACCCCGTCAACTCTACTGTCCCCATTGCCGCCGAGGTCCTCAAGGCCGCTGGCGTCTTCAACCCCCAGCGCCTGTTCGGTGTTACCACTCTGGATGTTGTCCGCGCCGAGACCTTCACCCAGGAGTTCTCCGGTCTGTCCGACCCCTCTAAGGCTACCGTCCCCGTCATCGGTGGCCACTCCGGCGAGACTATTGTTCCCCTGTTCAGCAAGGTCTCCCCTGACTTCAAGATCCCTGCCGAGCGCTACGATGCTCTCATCAACCGTACGTACTTCCTTTGCTTTTCGTCTCATGGACTCCCATAAGGTTCTTCTCTTGTCGAGTCGCAGCTATTGACCTTCCCTACAGGCGTTCAGTTCGGTGGTGATGAGGTTGTCAAGGCCAAGGACGGTGCTGGTTCCGCCACTCTGTCCATGGCTTTCGCCGGATTCCGGTACAGTCTAATCCCCGTCTGCTCATGCAAGTTCTATCACTAACCTCTTGCAGTTTCGCCGAGGCTGTGATCAAGGCCGCCAAGGGCGAGAAGGGCATCGTTGAGCCTACCTACGTCTACCTGCCCGGTGTCCCCGGTGGTGAGGAGATCGCCAAGGCGACCGGTGTTGACTTCTTCTCCACCCCCGTTGAGCTTGGCGTAAGTTGACCCAGACATCTCATTGGTTTTGGGGCTCGAATGACATCCGCTAACACAATACATACAGCCCAACGGTGCCGAGAAGGCCACCAACATCCTCGGTGGTGTTACCGAGAAGGAAAAGACTCTCCTCGAGGCTTGCATCAAGGGCCTCAAGGGCAACATCGAAAAGGGTGTTGAGTTTGTCAAGAACCCCCCACCAAAGTAATACTCTCCCTCCTCTCTCCGTGTCTCCCTCTCCATTCCCCCCCCCAATTGTCTCGGCCCATTATATTCCATGTCGGGTTCTTCGATCATTCCTATACCACATTTCATATCCGCCGACAGGCCCCCCATCTCATTCTGGCCTCGGAAATTGCAGAACCTCGCTAATTATGATTCTCGCGGAAAGATAGGCTTTAAGCGCGAGGCAATGAGATTATGAACGACCATGGAAGACGAGCGGAGGATTTCTCAGTCCAGCGACACGGTATTCCACAGATAGGCGAAAACCATGCGCATAAAGAATTAAGATTATTTGGTTCAAGCCTTTGTACTCGTTATTCCCTCCATTTTTTGATATTCGTTCCTGCGTAACCGACGACCACAGAGGCTTGTAGTGGTGATGGGGAGACCGTCATCAATAGAACGAAGGGAGGATATTCGGCGGATGGCACAAGCAGAACCCTGGCCGGCCCTGCCGGCGAGGGTCCAGAAAAGAAGCGCCAAGTCGCCAATGGAGCGATACAAATCCCCGGTCGTGGTCCAGGCCTGCCTGGACAGTATGTAACTCCTGGGTACTCTTAGATCTGGCTGCTCTCCTGGTTCCATTTCCAATTCACGGCCGAGCCTGCACCGTCTTAATTTGAAACGTTGCTCCTGGCAGTTCAGACGTCTCCGCCTGCACGGTTGTGTTGATGCCCAGGTTGGCCAGAGCGCCGCGAATAATACCGCAAGGGAACCACAGGTACTAAGATTTTTTGGATCACCATCGGTCAGCTTTTCTGCAGGTACATTACCAGCGGAGAACGAGAGGTGTCTTACTGCTTGCGCCATTGTAACAGCTTCAGCTCGCACGGCCATGCTCATCCGAGCAAATGGGCGGAATGCGCTATCAGTCAACACGTAGACTCCCTATCCAGTCTCAATTAGCGTCACGATGGCCCATCAAGTCCAGCCACGGCAGAAATCCCCGCCGCGAGGACTGCTTTGCGGTCTGGCGGGCCACATACTCGGTGGTTTGTTTTCAAATTATCAATTTGTTTTCTGAATAGCACCGTCCACAGGTCTTTGCAGAGAAACTTGATCACGTCGAGGTTATCGGTAAATCGGGGGCGATCTTGGGAGAACCTGGATCAATTGGGTCGGTGTTAGTGCAATTGTCCAGGACTGTACACAGATATTTCCGTATGCCGCCTAAAACAGTCTGAAAGTGGCAGAAGGCAAGCGGAGGTTTCCAGGAGTCTGCGATAGTCGAAAGCACACCAAGAAGATTGCGAGATTGCGGGGGATGTTGTGTTGTGTTGTGTTCACGCACCTCTCAGCAAGACCCTGTCCCACCCGGTAACCCAGCGACTCGAGACGGAAATATGTAGACTCTCGCACCTCCTCATCTTCGGGGTTATCATCTGTGGCTAGATCCTTGGCGAGACGTTCGGCCATTGGCACCAGCTCGATGAGTAGGAAGTCGAAGCATGAGGAGCTCAGGGCGCGGGCATTTGGATCGGAGACCGATAATGAGGCTGAGGCATCGAACGACATTGTGGGAAGAGGGAGAGAATATTCGAAAGGAGGCGGTAGTGGAGACGAGGAGGTGGAGACTGAAGCTGAAGATGCGAAGGTGGTTTTTGTCGTGGTGGATGTCAACAATTGGAGGGGGGAAATGTACGGAGTACACTGGACGGGAAGTGGTTTCACGTAGTCAGCCAGCGGAGTTGGAGAATTAGTGAACTAACAAGCTCGGCATTCCCCACTTCCAACAACAGCTCCGTCACTGACATGACACGACATGACAGGTTGATAATTACAGACTACATCTTTTGAAGAAAGCTTCAACTAATACATCCAATGGAACAACCTAAAGTCCGCAAAAGATGAAACCAAGTCAACATGTTGATCATTACTGACAAGATTCATACAGTTCAATTCCAGGTATGGGATGCTTTTTATTGCTGGCATCGGACAGCCACACGTGCTCAAGGAAAACCCGAATGCAAATCCCACGAAGACCAGGGGTACGCCAGAAACACCATGGCCAGATGCATGAGACATAAAGGGGGAATGGGGGATCAACAAAAGACAAGAAAGGATAGGGAATAGAAGGCCAGCCCAAATGAAGAGGTAGAGAAGAGCAGCTAAGACCACGCGAATCCGATGAATCACGATCCCATGATCAACACCCTAGTACGGAGGGGGTGGATAAGCTCGGTGATTCAAAGGGCTGTTAGCCACTGGCTGGTGAGAATCATGCGATGCTATCCCACGAACACCAAAGTTCAAGGCGGGACGTTTCACCGGAGGAGCTGGCGAGTCATCATCGTCGTCGTCGCTGCCAGTGAGATCGATGACCTGCGCAGCAGACCGCTTCTTGCTTGATAACCGAGCTGCCGAGGATGGGGTCGATGCCTCTCGGGACTTGGATTGGGCTGGCGTGCGCTCCAGCATGATGTTTACAGACATCGGTTCTTGTTTCACCGTAGAGACTCCAGGCTCGCTGATCTCGATTAGATCATCGTCATCATCGCTTGCGGGCGTTTGTCCGCCTATGTTCACTGTGTCTGCATCGGTGGGTGCGGCCCATACGCCATCCGGCTCCACGACGACGGAATCTACATCTCGTGACGTGGACCCGAGAATATCATCGACGTACCTGAATGGTCACAGTCAGTTGCCAAGTTATGGATCCACAGGGACATATTTCATCCAAACTTACTGGTCTACCTGCAACGACTCGAAACTCGTGGACTTGGAACATACTGGACAGGTCCAGGTGGGAGCCTGCTTTTGCAGCTGTAGAAAGGATGCTGCATCGAAGCACTGGTTATGTGTGCACACCACAGAACGACAAGGAACTTGGATTCTGAGCGTTGACAGCGGGCACTTGAGCGACATGATACTTGATGTCGCAACTATATCCGTGTCATCTGCGCGGTTTTTCACTATAACGGACATGTGTCAGAAGGCAGAGTCCAGGGTACAGAGGAGATGAATATTGTTCTTACTTTCGCGGATGACCTGCTCCTTTGAGATGATCTTACGAGATTTGAGTTGCGAGACAAGCTCGTCAACGGGGTGTTGTCGGACAAGGTTGGCAACCACGAAGAATTTCTTCAACAGAGTATCAGCAACACATTTCCATGACAAATTATAAGAAATCCGAAGATAGCCTCAAGGATAAAACACACCTTTGTTGTTAATGCATAAGTTATCACGATGTTGTTAGGATAATTTGCCTTTTTGCGTATATGGGCAGTGACATCGGCGGGTTGAGTAGTACCAGGTCTATTCTTTAGTCCGCGGAGATTGGCCTTGACTTCATCAAGGTTTGCCTTTAGCTCCACTTGATGGGGGAAAGCAATATCCGACTTGGTATACTGCTTAAGGCCCGAGTCGGCTGCACAGTAGACCATCACCCGAAGGTTGGGGTCGGTTTGCAGATCCGATGCCGTGGATACACTCAGGATGACCTTGAGCTCAACACTATCCCTTGTCTGTTCACGGACTGGTACATGTTAGCAAGATTGATCCGACTGTAGGTAACGGGCAGGGTGTGTAGGCTGCAGTGTATACCTTTACATTCCATCACCGAAGTGAGGGGAGTCAAGATCGTGAAAAATGGGCTTTCTTTGAAAGAAAGACGACCTGAAATCCTGTCAGTCATTACTAGTGACATTATAAAGGCAATAGGTGTCGAACCGGGTGAGCTGGAATGGGAAGCCATGGTACCTCCCAGAGATGCAGGCCGAGGTTGTGACGGTGCAGGCTGAGCAGAAGGTGGAGGAGGAAGCTGATAACTGGGCGAGGAAGACTGAAAAGCTGAAGCACCAGGAATTGCAGTCTGGTAAATGAGTCGCCTCAGGGCGTCGTAGCGGGCCCCATTACCCTCCGAATTGGCAAGGCGTTCAAGATCTATTGCCGCGAAATCGTCAGTGACTTGTCGATAAAGGAAAGTGCAGTGCGCAGATCAACATAAGCAAGGAATTTTGGTAGAAAACCAAGAAACAAGCCATAGAATAGGCAGATATATCATTCAAGGGAAAAGAAAGGGACCGGAACAGAGGGAGAGTAGCAGAGATAACGAACAGTCAATGATGCGCAGCTGCAGTGATGCCTTGACACCGGATACTGCGAGTCCCTCATTGCGTAAAAGATCCTTCAATTGTGGATTTGTGAGAGTCTTGATGAGAGCCACGAGATGTGGAATCTCAGACAGCTGGCCAGAGGAAGCCATCGTGGTCGACGGAATGTGAGTGTGGTGTCGTGCGGCTGTGATTCAAAGGACCTCGAATGGGCATCGCTCAGGCAGAGCGCAATGCAACCAAGCCAGATGTATAGGAGGTGGACATATACATCGCTGAGTCGCGACCCAGGCTTGGAATTGCGAGAGGGAGGGTAGCCTCGTGGAAACGAGCCCGAGTGAGGTTCTGGTTTGTTCGGCGGCGGTTGTCCGTTCCCCGAAGGCGCCTTGTTGCGGATGACATAAGACGCCCGCCTATCGCGATAAAAAAAAAAAGTTTCGAGCCGATGACCTTGTCGCAGTTCCCCCTCCAAAACACACTACACAACGGTTGTTACGGGCCCGGTGTTGATTAAAAAAATCCTTCTTAATATACGAGCAATCATATCACGATGGCCAAAAGTGTCCGTGCCAGCGTTTCCAAGCGCAACAGAGCCGCCCTCCGCAAGAATATCTTCGGCCCCATTGTCGATGCCCGCACTGAGCGACTGGCTGCAAAGCTGCAGGAAATCGCCTCGCAACCCAAGCCCGAGGCTTCAAAGAAGACCACCATGGACCTAGAGGCTGATGAGACTGGTATGTTTGCGTAGAGTGCTTGTTTCCTCCGGTGAACTTTTCTAACATGTTCGTCTTGTCCCTACAGCCGGTCAAAACGAAGATGCCGAGAAAGCCACTGCTGCCGACGAGGGTCAGTTCTCCCCCTTATGATACTCAATGCCCCTTGATATTGGTCTGATTGAGTGGCGATCTAATCGTGATACAGCCATGGATATCGACACCAAGTCCTCCAAGACCCGATCCCAGAAGTCCGGCCGCGTGCAGAAGCAGCATCGCAACCGCCGCACCCGCCCCTCCATCATGTTCCAGAAGCCTGGATCCAAGAACAAGAAGGGTGGCCCGAAGAAGAAATGAAGGGTGTCGGAGACAATGATATTTGACGATATTGCGGTGGGATGTGGGGATGCAGAATCATCCGCGGCGTTGGGAGTCCCTTGGGCATATATGTTTCTTTCTTGGTTACGACCCTAGTCAATTGCATCTGTAGATACACTACGACAGAAGTTTAACGCTCCAAATTGAGATTGTGTAGATGTAGCAGATCTGATCGAGGTAGATCCACTGGAATAAGCAACCAAAGAGGCTTTGTAGAATGCGGGCGAAGGCGGTGTGTGGTCGCGCATCGCTAACGCGACAACAACCAGACAGTTAATTCCATATCGCGATTCATCCAGTGTGGACCCTCTTCTACGGATCAAGTCGTGTCTGATGGGGGTGAGCATCATGCGTCTTTTTCGAGGCAGCTGGACTACGCTGCTGGCCAATATCTTGATCCCCGTGGGAATCCTCACCTTTTCCACTGGGTTCTTCCCCTATAAACCACTCCTTCCGGGCCTTGCGACATTTGACGAGGCCGATCAGGATGCCCCATCTGCAGTATTTGATAAAGTTGTATTTATGGTGGTAGATGCATTGCGCAGGTATGGATTTCATTAACCCGAATTGTCAAGTAAATCACCCGCTAATCCAGAATGCAGTGATTTTGTCTACTCGAACGAGTCTGGATTCTTGTTCACGCAAAGGTATGGGATCTCTTGCAAATCTGTCCAGATGATATCCAAGAAATGAGATAAGAGCTTTAATACTAAAAGAATTCTTTACTGACTTTGTTTTTAGTCTGATTCGAGCGGGTGTGGCTTTGCCCTTTACTGCTCATGCAAGCTCCCCGACAGTCACCATGCCTCGATTAAAGGCCATGACTACCGGCTCCGTTCCGTCATTCCTGGATGTGATCCTCAATATCGCCGAGTCAGACACCTCGTCGACTCTCGCTTTCCAGGACACCTGGCTAGCCCAATTGAAAGCTCGCGGAGATCAACTCGTCATGTACGGGGATGATACGTGGCTGAAATTATTCCCTGGCATGTTTGGCCGGGCCGATGGTACCACCAGCTTCTTTGTATCGGTCAGTGATCTTGAAAGGGACAATGTTCAATCCCATCGGAGGCCCTAGATGAGAATCAGCCGTCATTTCTAACCCTTTTTCATGCAGGACTTTGTGGAGGTGGACCAGAATGTAACCCGTCATGTTCCTACCGAGCTTGCGCAAAGTGACTGGTCAGCTATGGTCATGCATTACTTGGGTTTGGATCACATTGGCCACAAGGCAGGACCTAAAAGGTAATTGACTCATATTCTGTGTTGCTACTTCTAATCGACATGTTTGACATGATTTCACAGTTCGTACATGATACCCAAACAGCAAGAGATGGACTCAATAGTGAAGGAAGTCTATACCGCAATCGAGCAACAGCCCCACCTACAGTCTACTTTGTTCGTCCTTTGCGGCGATCATGGCATGAATGATGCCGGAAACCATGGTGGTGCATCGGCTGGAGAAACTTCCCCAGCCCTGCTTTTTCTCTCTCCTAAATTCGAGGCTTTGGGGGTTCGCCAAGAAAGCCCCGTTGAGGCCTTTGATGATCTCCAGTATTACCGCACGGTTGAGCAAGCAGATATTACACCGACGTTGGCAGGTCTTCTTGGGCTGCCAATCCCTCTCAACAGCTTGGGCATTTTTATTCCCGAGTTCCTGGACATGTGGGATTCCAGTAAGTCAATCCTGTATCTCGTTGAAATATTTCCCCTGCAATCATCCGAAGTACATCGGCTCACTCAGTCAATAGAGTCCCAGCGGCTTCAAATGTTATCCCGTAACGCTCGTCAACTCTTAAATACCATCCAAGCTACGTTCCCAGGCTTTACATTCAACCAAGAGGCCATTGCTGGAAGCTGTGCAACGGGAGCAGACTCTGGAATCGAAGGCGCCCAGTGTGCATGGTCTCAAGTCCTTCAGCTTTCGTCCGATGATATCTCAAATGATGATACCTTCTCCGCCCTGGAATCATCTCTGCTACGGTTCTCACGGATAGCGCAAGATATGATGAGCAGCACCGCCAGTAACTACAATATCTTCAGGCTTTGCCTAGGATTAGTGATCACTGGCGCTGCGGCAGTTCTCGTCTTTCCCACCACTTATTATGAATGTGCACGGTCGACGTACACTGGCGTGTTCCTCGCATTCATGATTCTTGGCTATGGGAGTATGATGTTCGCGAGCAGTTATGTGGAGGAAGAGCAACAATTCTGGTATTGGATTTGCTCCGGGTGGATGTTCTATCTGCACATGCGCTCGGAATCGTCGAGAACAGGCTCGTCAAGGACGACCAGTATGTTTTCTCTTCGCGGCCGTAAGTTGACTACGCTGGGACTCGCTGTGGCTCAACGAGTTCTTCGGCGTTGGAATCAGACTGGCCAAAAATTTGCAGCCGAGCCAGATATCGCGCGCACGTTCTTTCCGGCTCACCCCGCCATCTTTTGGGGTCTATTCATGATCACATATGCAGATGCGGGCTATCATCTTCTGCGAAGTCTTCCATCTGCTGCTGTGCTGAAGCTTGGAGGGTAGCCCTGACAGCCCTGACCTTCATGTTCAAGCTGAACTTCGTAGCAAACGACTCTCCCGAGCTCCTGGTAGGCTCCTTCTTATCAAAAACTTCAGAGAAGTGGCCGGAAAGTGTCTCTCTGGTTCTGCAGGCAAGGCTTATCTTCGGAGGGCTCATATTTTGTGCCGTTCTGGCGATCGTGGCCCAACATACGGTGAGCGTGAAGCGCAGTAAGCAGTCCTCTCTTCCTTGTAAATCCGTCCATTGATCCCATAAAAGAAAATATTGACGTGTGCCAACAGTCCCCAATACGCTCCTCCACGAGGCTCTTCATCTGTTCTTGATGACCCAATCTCGAGCCACCAACGTTCCTCTCTTCCTCGTATTCCGCATCGCTGCCATGATTCTGTCCTCGATGCGCCTCACAGGGATCGAAGTGACGATCACCACGTTGATCCTCCAGTACACAACATTCTTCGCATTTGGAGGCTCGAATGCGATCTCCTCAGTCGACCTTTCGAGTGCCTACAACGGAGTCGGCAGCTATAGTGTGGTGATGGTGGGAATTCTGACGTTCGTCAGTAACTGGGCAGGCCCAATCTGGTGGGTTTCTGCAGGCCATCTGCTTCGACCCCAACGAGGCTCGGAGGATCACAACGCGGCATCGCTGCTAACATTCCACATTGCCACCTCACTAATGTCCGTCATGGCAGCTTGTACTGCTTTGCGAACACATTTGTTCATTTGGACGGTGTTCTCGCCCAAATATTTGTACACGATGGCGTGGGCGACCGCCAACCATGTGGCAGTGAACCTGCTGGGTGGTGCTGGCCTCTCCTTTCTTCGATCTCGGAAATGATACATTCCAAGAATAGCGCAATAGACATCATCATATATGCCGAACTTAACCTGTAGAATGAGCAGATAGAGTGCCGCGCTACAGAGCCTAGAGTAGACCACTGAAGAGATCATCGATGGCGTTCTTCTTTCGCTTGGTCTTCTTCGACTTTTTGATGGCAGGGTCTTTGTCTGAGGTTGATTGCTCTGACTTCTTCCGCGACACCTGCGGTCTTGGCTCCAACGAAGGCACCGTGTCAATATCAGCGCGACTCACGCGTTCCCCGCGGTCCTCGGTGGGCGGAGCCGGCTGAAGTTTTTTCACCCGCGGTCGCTGCAGCGTCTCCTCCTCCAATCTTGTCCCCGTTGCCTTGGCAAAGCGGGACAGAGTCGCCATCAGCACGATTCCCAGTGTCGAGAACTGGTTCTCGGCGATGACAGTAGAGAATGCCCTGTTGCAATCGTCAGTCAGATTCTGCATCCACGTCCGTCGCCTGCGTCAAGTAACCCTCCCGCACGAGTAGAAAAGAGCGATACATACAAATAACACCTCGGAATCAAATGCGCAGAAAGATACTGCTTGTAAGAAGCGGGAATCGCGACACTCGCGTTCTGAGATCCTAAATCAATAGCAGTGCGCTTTAACCGCGCCAGCCACTTCCACCATTTTGCCCGCTGGTGCTGATTCTTGTTGCGATGTGATATCAAATGCAGCACGGCATGCACTGCCTGAATCTCCTGCGTATCCATGGGGCTCGAGGGGTCCGATGAGGAGCAAAGTCGAGCAGAAAATGGAGAAGTCCACAATTTTGCGGGTGGCTCCGCGGCGGAAGTTGCCAAGTCCGCCATCGATAAGGCGTTACTACTGCGGCCGAGGGCGAGCTAAAAAGTTAATATACCACTGTCCATGGATGCAACACCAGCATAACGCTCAAGCCGTGCATGATAGGTCAAAATAATAATGACTCGTAAAAAATACAAAGGACTAGATGCAAGTGAAGTTAAGATAACCGAAGAAAAGATCTGGGTCACGGCCAGATCATCTCAACAGGCAACCATAGCGACCGAAGCCACCATGAGTACCCAGAGATTGACCATGAAACCGGTCCCTGATCACTGGATTGAACAAAATAAAAAATGAAAGGAAAAGTATCAATAATGAGATCAAAAGATCCCAGAAACACAAAAGCAAAGAGATCTCCCACCCTTCCATCCTTCTCCACGCACCAAACTCCAACAGGGTTATGTTCTTTCCCTTAGCCACGGGGATGATGAGCCCGGGCTTTGGGCAGGTAGTCGTATGTCCGCCCTTTATTTGGCCTGGTCATCCTCCGCCGGGGCCGCTTGTTGAGCTGCAGAGGGTCGGCGGGGACCCCTGCGAGTGACATTGGGGGTAACATTACCCCGTTACATGCCTGTAAAGAGTAATCAGTGACAGGTTCACAAAGTCAGTATACAGGTCAAGGTTGACTGACCAGCGTCACCCTGGCTGCGCTGAACACCCATGGACAGGGTGTAGAAGTTGTTGACAGGAGGGAAGCTTGCCTCCGCCCCCTGCTTGGGTCCACGGGTGTGGAACAACTGGATTGAAGGTTAGTATCTGTTCTAGATAGAAGATGGAGAAGAGAATCGTTACCTTTGGCCGGTTGTCCGGCAAGTTGAGGATTATCGGGCTGTTCCGGAATCGCTCAACCAGGGTGCCGATTCCCTGGACATCTATCCAAGACGAATTGAGTCAATCATCGAAGAATACCATCAAGAATGGAGAAAATCCTTACCGGCGTAGGTGATTTCGGCGATTTTGTCGGTCCATCGCTCGAAACCAGGCCAGGTACGGCCAGCGCGGGCCCGCACGAACTGGAACCAGTGTCAGTATCAATGAGTCATTCAAGAATATATTCAAAAACTAACCGTGATGATGTCGGCGGGCTGAGAAAACTGTCAGTGAATGCTGGATATTGCCAAACGTATAAGAGGGCCAACTTACTTTCTCAAAATTGATGAACGCGTAGCCCACGCTACAAGGAGTGGTCAGTAGATGGCCCAAGACACCTTTCCGTCTCATCAACTTACTTCAGGTTTGCTCCGAAGTCTAGTAAGAGGTGAAATGAAATTAGTCAAAATGTATCATGAGAGATGAGGACGAAAAGAGATGGCTTACCCATTCGGAGATACAAATAATTGTAGCGCCCAGCGCTACTCTTGTCCAAGATGCCCTTGAGATCTCTCTAATAAAACAGTTAGATTTTTCCATGATGCAGCCAAAGAAGAAGAGGAGAGTGTGAACCAAGACCTACCCAGTGCATCTTGACGGGGATGTTTCGGCACATGACCTATTAACGAAAAGAAGGAATTAACTTTCAATTCTCCCTGTAAATTCTTCGTAAACGAGTACTTACCGCAGTTCGCTGGTCACGGCCGTACGAGATCTCGTTCAGGTCGATCTCGTTCTCGCGTTCGCGAGGAGATTTGGCAGGCTCCTCGCCTCTGGGCGTCAGTGGGGGACGGCGGCCAGGCTTGCCGCGGCTGGAGGGAGTCCTTGCGGCACGACGACCGGATTGTCGGGCCTTAACGCCAGCCTCATACTCATGACGGGCCCTGGTTGAAGTAGCAAAGTGGCCGCTGTCGCGAGCCATGACTTCAATGATTTGTCCCTGAACAGTGTATTTAGCATGCATTCCTCCATCATGCTTTCCAATACGTACCTCTGTGCGAACTCCATTGAGTGCCCTGATAGCGTTGACGGCTGAATTGAGATGGCGGTATCGAACTTCCAGGTCATAGGACCGAACCACGGCAGAATATTCCACGTTGCTGGATTCCATCAGATCGCAGGAATAAACAGGTCCAACCAACTCAAGGAATTGCCTCCCGAATAGTGTGACATTGGAAGCATTCACCACAGACTGGGGGCCACAGTAAAGTGTAGCAATGACCGTGTCATCAAGCTCTGTGGGCAGTGGGAATGCCAAATTGGTGGCGATATCGAATTCTTCCACCTCCATGTAATGAATCTCCCAGTCCAGTTTCATGTTTTTGAACTTTTCGTCCGCTTTGAGTGCATCATTGAGATCGCTGAATCCGATGTAGAATTGACCCTTGGTGTTCAGCTCCGAGAAGAAAGGACCAATGGTCGTTTCGTAGTCCTGAACCCATGATTAGATATCATCAATCATCGAAAATAAACCAGACGAAACATACCTTGAACTCCCTCAGCACAGCGAAAGCTTCGAGGTCAGTATCAACGTTTGTCACTTTGAAGCGGCGAGGAGGGCTGTATTTGAAAGATCCGAGTGGAGGGAATTGGGGAACCTCCTGGTAGATCTGAGAACCAGGGTCTCCGTGAGCGTGACCAGGCTCTGTAGGCACAGGATGAGCAGGATTAAATTGAATCCGGCGAGGGTGAGGAAGACCGGGTGGAGGGAACCGAGCGCCGCCATACCGAACGGCGTGAGCATAAGAATAACCAAGTCCAGGTGGGGCAAAAGTCGGACCAGGACGGTTCAAACTGGCGATCTGTTGAATATCCAGATCACTCCGTCCATGATGTGCAGCAGCGGGAGATGGCTGGTGCTGCGAAATGTTACCATGGCCGGTGTATGGTACAACGGCGCAAAGGTTAGGGTCGGCTGAAGCTGGAGCTTGCTGCTTCAAAGGGGCCTCAAGAGCTGCTGGAGCGGCCTGTGACGAGTTACCATGGCCAGTGGCTTGCTCAAGGATGAAAGGAAAGTCTTTGCAAAGCTCCAGGTGCATCGAATCGGCGATAGTAAGCGGTTCCCCGAGGCCAGATGGGATACCACGGCCCCACGACTGCTCCGTAGTGTAAGGATTAGGCTCATCCGCAGCACGAGCCATCGCCGGTGAGTAGACCTCCGTAGTAACAGGTGGTCCAAATTCCTTCTCGCACGTGGCCCACAAATCCTTGGGAATAACCTGTTCGGCGTAGTTGGGTTTACGCTGGGCCGAAAGAGGAACAGCCGGAAGAGCACACCAGTTTGGATCGTAGCTATAATTCATTTAGCCCTGTCGTCGCAAGAAGGATAATCCAAGAAGAAATAAAGGCAATCCGATGGTGGAACGTTGTATTCACATAGAACGCATGTATTGAACATGCACCATGTGTCACAATAACGGTTGAAGCACTTGGTAGACATGTTCAAGTGCCATAACATCCCATAAGGATTGTGATAGGATAGAGTCAGAGAACTTACCGAGAGAACTGTTGGGTGAACCAAGCAGGAGGGTAGGGCTTTTCCGGGGGAATTGAGGATCCCCCGGGGCCCAGTCCCGGAATATCGGGCATGCCCTTTGGATGATGGTCACTCATGATGAAATTGAGACGTTAGATCAAGAGCGGAATTCCTAAATCAAGTCGTTAGATGATGAACTGGCATGATATTCACGGAGATCTGGGGCAGTGAAGATGGCACCATCTTAACGAACTCTCGGGGCGTCTTTCACCAAACTCGGTGGACTCAAGGTCAACCGGCGAGGGTAGACAAAAAGCGCTTGATGAGGAGGGACTTTGTCGGGGACTTGACGAATGAACAAAGCATAACTTACGTGGGCTCGAAGAAATCTTGACCGTCAGGCAGTTGTTGGTTCGACTGTTTTGTTAACCGGGGAACACGACAACGACGCAGCGGGCGAGATAAAGCAGTCGAATGATTTGGTTCGCAAGAAATATGGGACAGGAAGGGGTTTAGAAGGTAGAAGGATAAAGCGAAAGAGGAGTTGAAGAAGGAGAAAAGGGATTGAGGACTGGGGATAGAGGAAATATTTATAGGAAGCTATGAGTCGCGCCGTTTCTGAGTATGAGTCGCCGATAAAATCCTACAAGGCAGCGATGTCACTTAGGATGAGTCGCGTATGAGTCGCCATACTCTAACAAAACTCTTGAAGGCAACGATACTCTCGGGACCCGCGTTACAGACGTTCAAGGGAGATCATTCGCTGACCAAATGTAGGACCCAAACGTTGCCCTCGACGATGCGATCTCCAAGGTCCATGATTGGCTTAAGAACCGCTCGTTGCCTGGGTATCCTGACATGCCACCAAGTTTGCCGCCGACGAGCTTATTCCTAACATCAACGATGCGAGATTCAAGACGGCTGACTGGGTCAATGAGCGCGGGATTGATACTGTGGGCTTGCTGCTGCCTATAGACAAAATAGCGCGGAAGAAATGATTGAAGGGGATTGTTGCAGTTTGAAATCTAGGAGTAATTCGCGGTGGATCAATATTCACGAACATCAAAGTCCTGGAAATGACACCCGGCAGGGTAGTGCATTGTCCAAAGAGGCGGAATGCTACAGGGTGTGCCTGCAATGGGGCAGAGATCTTTACAAGTGCCCTTCTGTGTGGATACAATGACAAGAACAGTTCCCGTTGATGATTTCTGTGTGATTTCGTATGATTGAAAAGCCCCGGGCAAGTCTCCAGCTTGGGCTTCATTTTATACTTCGGAAATTAATTAGTCCGGGGTACTAGTCCAAAAATGGCAAGGGGCTTTCGTCTGATGGGAGGAGCTGATAAGCGCCAGATAGTGACCCCAACGTCTGCCCACAAGTGTATGCAGCACAAGCGACAAAAGCATTGGGCCTGGAGGAAAAATGGCCTTGTCTAATGGCACGGGTGTATTGAATCAAGTCAGAATCTATATGCTTCTAAAAGGGCTGGGAGTCCTGCTAACCAAATAATGCTTATAGATCATCATCTCGCCTTCCGACGCAGACTACCTGGAGCAGCTCATCCCCTCTATTCGAGAGTACAGCGTCGGCAATCGGACCCCTCAGCTTCTGCAGTCTTTATCACGATTTGCAAGTGACAAGGAGGCTGAAATTGAGAGCATCTGCAACACTAACCACCAAGACTTCGTCTCCTCGGTCAATTCGCTCCTACGCATCCGAGAAGGCACCGTTACCCTCACCGCCGAGATTCTGGATCTCAACCAGTCCATCCAAACGAGTACAGAGCGTCTTGCAGAACAAAAGAAGGCCTTGGTGGAGTCTCGGAGCCATCGACAGAATATTGACGAAACATCACGCGCCATACAAGATTGTCTGGAGGTTCTGCGATTGGCAAATCAGGTCCACGACCTGCTAGCCAAGAAGAACCATTATGCAGCCTTGCGTGCACTGGAGGAGTTACAAAATGTCCATCTAAAAGGGGTAACGCAATACAAAATTGCGGAGATGATTCAACGTTCGGTGCCTGCAACCCAACGGGCCATCGCGGAAGCCGTCATGTCGGATTTGAACACCTGGCTGTATCGGATTCGAGAAATGTCGCCGTTTCTCGGAGAGCTAGCTCTGTTTCACACAGATCAGCGAAAGTCCAGGCTAAAACAACGCGCGGAAAAGGTTCCGTACCTTGAAAATTTCAACCTGAACTCTGCCATTGAGCTCGTGGCGGACGAAGATGAAGAGTACGATCTACTACAGAACGACGATCTTCAGGTACCATTTGCACCTTTATTCGAGTGTCTGCACATCCATCAGTCCTTGGGGCAGATGGACAAGTTCAGGATTGAGTACGCAAACACGCGGCGTCGACAAAAAGACCTTTTGCTTCCGGCTTCCGTCACGCTCGTCGATGAGGATGGCGCCAGTCTTCATAATATGTTGGAAGAAATGGCCGGATTTGCAATTGTTGAGCGCGCGACGATGAAACGCGTGCCAGACTTGAGATCTTCCATTGACGTATGTGGTTACCTTCCCCACAATATTTCTCCTCGATCGCTCGACTTTGCCCAGGATGGGCTTGCTGACGTGTATGATAGATTGACGAACTGTGGGATTCATCATGCCAGGCCGCGGTTGGCTTGATATCGAAGGCACTACACGAAGTAGACAACGCAGAGAGCATTTTGAAAACAAAAAATTTGATTGCGCTCTTCATGCAGACAATGAACGTAAGCGGATCCTTTTCCCTCTCGAGTCGATTCAGACAGCGAGGCTGATCGGCTACATATCAAAACAGACGTGGGGCTTTTCCACCAGAGTCTTCGACGACTTCCTACTGAAGCTGTTTGAAAAATACGCGGAGCTACTTAAGAGGCGGTTCAGCGATGATTTCCAAGAGGTACGCGGGGTTTCTCGAATTATGAACAAGACCTTTCGGTACTAACGCGCCTAGATCGTATCAACGGATGACTACATGCCCATGCCCATCCAGACTTTGGAAGAGTACGATAAGGTGCTCAACGTGAGCTGGTACAGTCCTGAAAAGCCACGGGATGAACAAGTGTATGATGTTCCCTGATCCACCTCCGCATGACCGTTAACGAACTAAATCATGGAGCAGTTTCCCTTGTATCCTACCATTCTCAAGAATGTATCCCTTGTGTTGCATCGACATTCGAAATTTCTTGAACCAGTTCTACTTCTTCGCGAATGACGACTTTTCTCATCCGAATGTGATTGATGATACCTTAAAGGACGTAAGTGGCTGCTATCCAGAGAACAGAATTTAATACGGATTCCTAACATCACGAAATTAGGCGTTGGATGACCTTCTCTCTCGAAAGGTCTGCGACACTCTGGTGGAGCGTCTTTCCTCGCAGTATCTTGGGCAAATTGTTCAGATTTTGATCAATTTGGAACACTTTGAACTGGCCTGTCATGAACTGGAACTCCTCCTGGCGGCTGCGAGATCTCAAAACTCGACAGGTACCTCCATCGCACTCAGGGCCACCGAGAAGTTTAGAAGCAACAAAAAGGCTGCAGAAAAGCGAATCTTCGAGGTTGTCAACTCCAAAATTGATGATCTCATCGAAACTGCAGAATACGAATGGATGGCACCCAACCCTCCCAGCGAGCCCAGCAATTACATGCAGACCCTAACACGATTCCTGTCCAACATTATGAACTCAACCTTGCTCGGGCTGCCCACGGAAATCAAAGAGCTGATCTACTTTGACGCGCTCAGTCATGCCGCAAACATGATCTTGGTAAAGCCTCCCTTCCCTGTTCATACCCCCACATTTTACCAGATACCAGTTTGACTGACTGCCTTCTAAGGCCCAACCTCTCGCACCCGAAGTCAGATCCATCAATCCTAATGGTGTCACCGCACTTGCCAAGGATGTCGAGTACCTTACACACTTCGTGGATAGTCTGAACGTTCCTATCCTACGTGAGAACCTCGACGAGCTACAACAAACGGTGCAGTTGATGCAAGCCGAGAATGCGGATGAATTCTACGACATCTCAACCAGGAATAAGAAGTATGGGCGGGTCGATGCCATGCAGGGGCCTATTTTGCTTGAGAAGTACGTTTCTTTTCAACCCATTGACTAGAAATAATCTGCTGATCGCTACCTCCCAGGTTGACTCGAACGGTACAAGTGCCGACCAAGGTGGACAAATTCGTGAATCTTTCCTCCCGATTCAAGAAATCCTCATAACTTGGGAGGCACTCATCTGCTTGTTGTGAGGATTTTGTGGTGTGCCGAGAATGCCTCGCGTATGGATTTCTAGGCGTAGATTTAGCAAAGCTTAGTCAAGCACGAAGCAACCTAAATTTAATCGTATCCGATTCCAAAGAAAGAAATAATGAATAATATCAACTCCAGTTGCGATTCTGGACCGAACCACATCCTCTTTCCCGGTTCCAACTACAGGTATCAGATTTGCCTTAATCTGGCAGGACATAGAAGAACAAAACAAGATGTCCATTGGACAGAGGAGGAAAGGGCAACACATGGAAAAAAAATCACAGACAACCAAGAAAAACACAGTATTCGCCGGAGAAGACACACGCATAGCTCTCGAGTCAAAATATTGGAAGACCAAATGTGCTCGATTTTAGTGGCTCACTGAACGACATTAGTTCCTCGCTCGGGTCAGGAAGGCGGGAGGGGCTTGGAAAAAGGGGATACGAACCTGCTGAGGGGGCATATGAGGGTAACCATACATTCCTTCGAACATCTGAGGCTGTGGCTGACCGTACGCAGCCGTTGGGTCCTGCTGAACTGCACCAGGGTACATGGCCTGTTGTTGACGATACTCCTGCTCTTGCGACATACCATGTTGACCCAGAGAACCGTAGTCTGCCGGGCCCATGTGCGGTTGAACGCCATGTTGGGCAGCGGCCATCTGACCCGGAGCCGCAGCAGGACCCGGGGCCGTGGCACCTGCCTGGCTAGAGCGCTTAGCATGCGAGGTAGCCTCCTCACGAGGAACAATGTCAATCAGGAAGTCGAACATGTCGGACTTAGAGAGGGCGGCGGCGATGTCGGATCGTTGGAGAGTACGGCGCTTGTTGTCTTCGGCGTGAATCCAGGCACGCATCGTCAGCTCAGTGATGAAGATGTCACAGCCCTTGGCAAACAGGATGGGGGCTTCGGCGGAAATCATTTTGACTTCGGGATCGGCCTTCATCACCTTCTTGATTCGAGCAAGGGGCAACTGGTGGATTTTGTAGTCGTGATTGTCTGTCTCCAGGTGGTTGATGACATGCTGCCAGTAAGTTGTCAAGATATCGCGAGCTGTACCCTGCAGACCTTGGTTCACCTGGACTCTGTGTTAGTGAGGGTCATGGTACCCAATGGCTCAAGCGAGCGACTCACATTGGCCCAGGTTCCGGTATACAGCTCAGCGACAGGAGCGTATCCTTGCGCAGAGAGCTAAATCATATTCAAAATCCAGTCAGCTTCGAGATTTCCCAGGGTCTTGCATCGATCGATCGCCAGAGGACTCGGATCGGGGCGGGCTGGGTAAAGGCATACCGCTGCGCTGGCACCTGGAACGAATAGTCAGCATGTAATCAAAGTACAGACGCGACAATGATAATAGCAGCATCGCATGCTCTCATGGGGAATTGGGCTCCAATCCGAAGCTATGCGATCACCGCCTCTAACTCTCCGGGAGGCTCAGTACCGTAGTGTCCGCCATTCCTGATATCATAGACAGGCTGTTGTTGCTGCTGCTGCTGCTGTCGGCCTTGCTGTTGGCCACTACCTTGAGGCGCCGGCTCCATGATGATACAATCGCGTTGCGCGCACGAGGACGATAGGCGGAAACGTAATCGGGCAGGTCTCGGGAGAGCTTTGGTGTGTTCCGCGAATGCGACGCGACGGGCGACGAGCTTGACGGAGTATACAGGAATTCGCGAAAGCGTCCGGAGCTGATGGTGCAAGTATGCTTGAATCAGCGATAGAGGTAGCGCGTTTTCCTAGAGTTGTTGGAGAGAGCGCGTCGGGATGGTGCCAAGCGTGTGAGGTGTTGCTCTTTCAGCTGTCTGACGTTCCTGGACAAGCCCCCGCTCCCAAGTTGCGCCCGTGTCGGCCCAAGTTCGAGTTCGAGTGCTGGACGGAGGATGCAGGTACAGTACTACACACTTTCTACGTACAGTTGAGCTCCTAGAGGAGAGTCTAATATTTCAAGGTTTTCACGTTCAATTGATTAATATTTGTCCATTAATAGGACATCGCTATCTTGTGAGGTCCTCCAGAAGTGCGGGACAAGTACCGGTACCTTTTGTCTGCCGGGTTCCTCTCAGTCAGGAAAGTATCTGTGACCTCTGCAATCACATGACCAGGTCTTCCCGAAAGAGAATTCTGGTAAAAGTTTGTCCGCGCCGACGGAGCATCAACAGAAAAAAAAAATTCCTATAAAGCCCACTTACCTCCAGCTCTTCTTCATTCTCCGAGACCTTCAACCCTGACTCGCAGGGATGGGTGACACAATTACAATGGGGTCTAGTGTTCCATCTCAAGAGGAGGTGGAGCTCACTGATGACCAGATTCAACAATTGTTGCTGGAAGCAGAGAACCGACTGCGTGGTTCGGATACCCAAATCGCCCCGGCCGACGATGTCGCTTCCTTGAGGTACGCTGTCCATGCAACCGATTAGCTAGAGGCAACTTGACTCATGTCTTTCTAGAATTCCCAAGCTGTCTACCAGCTCTACTCTGGCGCCCTACATGCGTCCGGATGCGGAGGACATTGCTACCGTTGATTCGGCCCAGCTCATCGATCCCAAGCAAAAGAAGCTGTCCAACTCCCTTCGGTCTATTGAGACCAAGTCTGCTACAAAGAAGGTTAGTGTATACCTTTGCTGTCCTATATTGCTTTCATTTCCTTTTTTCGTTGCTATGAGGAAAATTTTCCCAACGCCTAAGCGCTTGATGCGGCGTCCTCAGTCCGTCTTGGGCTGTGCTGCACTAGTGAGAGCCTTCATTTTCATAGTTACTCTGAGCATACACACAATCATCTTTTTGATTTTCAGAAACGACTCTGTGACGATCTTCATTCGCTAACTAGTCGACTCTGCAGGACAAAGCTACCGCTGGACCCGATTGGTTCAACCTCCCCAAGACCGAATTGACTCCCGAGCTCAAGAGAGATCTGCAGCTCATCCGGATGCGTTCGGTGCTGGATTCTAAGAGACATTACAAGAAGGAGAATGGCAAGGCCAAGATCCCCGAATTCTCGCAGGTTGGCACCATCATCCAGGGCCCTACCGAGTTCTTCAGTGGTCGTATTGCCAAGAAGGACCGCAAGAAGAACTTTGTCGAGGAGGCCTTGGCACTGGAGCGGGAGAACCGGCGCTTCGAGAGCAAGTACCGCGAAATCCAAACCACCAAGACCAGTGGAAAGAAGGCTTTCTACAAGAGTTTGCAAGCCAAGAGAAATCGGAAGATCAGATGAGATTAGCACGACCGCTCTACTGGCCGTTTTACTCTATGCATGGTCTGCTAGTGTCTATTCTCCAGCCGCTATACACACTGGGCGGCATTCGCGTGGCCTTGAAGTTCGAGACCACTACCATCTATGCCTGCCCAAAGACATTCACAAGACTTTGCAATACCAATTTCTGCAATCGTCAGTCATGGATCTGCTGATACGCGTGGGGACAAGATATCTCACCTGCATGTCCAATGCCGCATTGCGGCCAGCCTCCAAGACTTCCTCGTGTCCTGCCTTGCCCTCTTCGATGATGGCATTCAGCTCACCGGCGTCCTTTCCTTGGAGCAATTGCTCATCGCCACGGGGCACAGGTGCCAGCACTGCGTTGTTGGTCACCAGACTGAACGCCAAAACGCGAAGCCCACAGTGCCTCGCCACCACGATCTCTGGCACTGTGGACATGCCTACCACATCGGCACCGAGCATACGCAGCATGCGGCTCTCCGCTCTCGTTTCATAGCTTTGGCCGGTCAGTGAGATGGTAGTGGATGGATGCACAGTAAGAGAAATACTTACGTGGGTCCTCCAACAAAGGCATATACTCCCTCGTGCAGCTTCCTTGTGCTCTGGGCACTGATTACTTGCTTCCACGCTTGATGTACCTGACGACGAAGGTCCAGGTCATATGCGTCGGAAAGAGGTGGGAAACGGACTCCAAACTCTTCGTCGTTGGGTCCTCGGAGGGGATGAACTCCCGCTAGACCGGCGAGGAAGATGTGCTAGAGTCACTGTTAGCCATTTAGTTCAGATAGAATGGGGTTGAAAGCAGTCTTGCATCATTCAGCATGACAATATCGCCCACGCAATAGTCAGAATTCAGGCCACCAGCCGCATTCGTCACTGTCCATCATGATCATTAGTCCCATTCAGTCGTAGATACTTGGTAGAACTTTGTTGTGGACTTACACACGACTGTATCAACTCCCAGTTGCTTGAAGACTCGGATCGGGAAGGTCACTTGGTCCATAGAATGGCCCTCGTAGTAACTATCCATGCTTGAATTAGCCGACACCTTTTCCCATATCTCTCCCAGACACTCCTCATAGGATTCACTGACTGGGCACGGCCAACCATCAAGACAGCGGGAATCTTCTGGCCCAGCAGACCAAACACCAACTTCCCAGCATGTCCCGCAACTGCACCAGTTAGCTAATCTTGCTCTCCATCAACTCCTCCATTGATCATCTTCCATGTGCAAAGGGAGTACTCACCTGTCGGACGAGGGAAATGCGGAATTGACGCGTAATCATATTCCGCTCGACCTTCAGCATGGACTGTATCGGCCAGTCCTCCCAGGCCGGAGCCACATACAATAGCCACTTTCGGCGACTGCAGGCCCTCTGGCAGACGACTTCTTAGAAAAGCCACAGCCTCGTTGGCTCGATCAAAAGCGGAGATATCTGCTTGAGCCATGATTTCCGATCTTCTCTGACTGATATGTCTATGGAAAGAAAGGAAAAAATTGATGGCGAGGGAGAGGTGGGGGTGGGCTCTTCTGATGTTGCGGAGTTGGTGTGCGGTTTCATTGGCCCACCGTTGGAGACCCGATGTTACCCTTTGGCAGTTGGAAGTCTACTGATTGAAGTGTTTACTGGGTGTTTGTTTGGTAGGAATCTACTGTGTGTAATATAAAGTGCTCGTCAAACCAGTATATCCACCCTTTGCTCGGGTTTGTTCGACTATGAACGGTCTGCTCGGACTTTGTTGCTCGCATGTTGGTCACTATATATTACGACCAGACAGGATCCTATTTGGAACACCACCTACATCATGATATAAGAAATAGCCACAATAACCCAGTCAATTCACAGCTGACACATGCCATAACCCCAGAGAAACCATACAACCCCAAAAAACCGAGCCTTGGGTGATGCTCGTAGTAGCCGTGGATGATCGGGATGGTCGACAGTGAAGGCGGTCAGTCCGCATCACCTCCAACTCCGAAAAAAAACCCGCACCAAACAGACTGCAACCACCAGCGACCATGTTTCCCAGCACAACACGCTCCTTGATTGGGGCTAGCAAGCGTCTGTGGGTAGGTTGAGCACTGTTAATTGCTATCAGGGTATTGGATCTAAGTTAATCGACTCGACAACAGGCGCCTATCCCCATTCGCTCACTATCAACCTCGAGCCAGTCCAGTGCGCCATCCAGCGAGAAGGCGGCCACAACTCCCCAGGCCAAGCCTGAAACAACTGCCACACCCGTCGCGTAAGGACTCATGAACTACCGGAAGACTACAAGTGCTTGGAGCAGAACGGCTGATGGAATTGGCTTCATGCTACAGTCCCCCGACCGCGGAACAACCCTCCGAATTGCCCGTCAAAGAATGGTCAGTCAATCGCATCGTCTCTACCCCCATAAAACCGAAGAGTGCAGTAGCTCATTGTTATTCCAGGTCCGACCGGTTAGGAGCTTTCGGTGAACACGCCCGACTTCCCCGAAGTGTCCAGGCACTCTATCTGCGTCCCCTGCGGAGGAAGGCGGAACACGGCCTCCCCGTATGCGACCTCCAGCTGCGATCCTACAGCGTCCAGAACCTGGAGTTCTTCGCCGACTTCGCCATCCGTGCCGCCTACTACCTCAACCTCCCCGTCTCCGGCCCTGTGCCCCTCCCCCGTATCACCGAGCGCTGGACCGTGACCCGCAGTAACTTCGTACACAAGAAGAGCAAGGAGAACTTTGAGCGGATCACCCTCCGCCGCCTGATTCAGATCAAGGATGGTAACCCGCAAGCCGTTGAGGCATGGCTGGCCTTCCTTCGGAAACATGCATTCTATGGAGTCGGCATGAAGGCCAACGTCTGGGAGAATGAGAGCTTGGGTATGATGACCCTTGAATTGTCAACCTATACTGGAATCTCAGGACTAATTCATGGAAATAGATGCTGGCAAGGCACTGGATGCCTCCCTCCCCGAGGTCCAAAAGACAGTGGGCCCACACCTCGCACGTTTCGGACAACGACAGGACAGCTCTGTCAAAGAGACCATCTTCGATTCGCTGGACAGCGAGCGATTTGCGGAGCCCAAGAACCTGTAAATTGGGTAGAGGGGTTTGGTTTGTTGCTTGAGCTTTGCATAATTCGTGTGTGTTTTATTTGGGGAAACACCAGGGCGTCATGTAGTTTTATCTCGTCATTACCTTTGGCCTTTGGTGGCTCTGGCCAGGCCCGTCTGTATTCTACTTTTGATCATTGCCGTCTCCCAATGAAGAACTGGAGTCTGCTTTTTGTGGTGTCTTTCACCGAATTGGTCAGTCTGTGTAAACGTTGAAATTCAATTATTTCCAAAAGCTTAGAACGATCACCAAATAAGCTGAAATGCCAGATTGGCACTGAGCAGTTGACCAGACCGACATGAGGAACTCGAAGACGGTCACGTGATAATTGGATGTTTTGCGGCGCGGAGGCACGGAAGTCCACGAAGGATTGTGCTTGACTCAATCATCCTATTTGCTCTGCAAAGCATACATAAGTTCATCGGCAATGAGTGCCAAAGTTTACCATCAGGGAAGCACATCCCTGAGATCGGTGGGCGGGCGCATCAGCCGCATTCGCCCGAGCACCTCGATTCGGCCATCCTTATGGCATCGATCAAATAGTACGAGCACAAAGGCACCACCATCTCAAGAGCCCATCATCTTTTCTGGTATCCAACCAACTGGAGTGCCACATCTCGGTAACTATCTAGGAGCCCTGCGGGAATGGGTGAAGCTACAGGATGAAGCGAAACCAGGAACGAAGCTGTTATTCTCCATCGTGGATCTACACGCATTGACAGTACCGCAAGATGCTGCGCAATTGAGGCAATGGAGGAGAGAGGCATTTGCTACGCTACTTGCTGTGGGATTGGACCCAAAGCGCTCCACGGTCTTTTATCAATCTCAGGTGCGTGGTTGCCGGGGTGTTTCGTCATGCTGGACGTGGGAGGTACAGAGGATTGAATGATTCAATGGGAGCTCTGACGGAATACATTGCAGGTTCCAGCACATGCAGAATTGATGTGGATTCTGAGTACAGTTGCTTCGATGGGTTATCTATCACGAATGACCCAATGGAAGGTTAGTGTCTCATTCCCCGGAGAAAGTATTGGCATGGCTAGAGATGCTTGGAGTGGCCCGTTGACCGATACAATGTAGAGCAAGCTCCAGTTGCCAGAGGACACGACTTTAGAGCAAGCAGAAGCTCGAGCACAGCTGCGGCTCGGTCTGTTCTCTTACCCAGTGCTCCAAGCCGCCGATATCCTCGTCCATAGGTGGGATTCCCCGTCCATTGTGGAAAGACAGAGAATATCGCGAACTAAAATTTGATAACAGGGCAACACATGTCCCCGTTGGCGAGGATCAGAGGCAGCATTTGGAGTTTTCGAGGTATACAGCTAACAGCTTCAACCACCTGTACGGGCCAATCTTCCCGATCCCAGAGGCCCATATCTGTGAGAGCTTCCCTTTTTACCATTACAATAGCAAGAATTGCCCCGTCTAACAAAATACAAGCCCCCGCCAAACGAGTCATGTCCCTCAAAGAACCCACATCAAAAATGTCCAAATCCCACGCAGACGAAAAGTCCCGAATCATCCTCACCGACCCACCTTCCGTCATCCAAAAGAAGATCAAGGTCGCCCTAACCGACTCCCAACCCAACATCACATACGACCCAGTCCAACGACCCGGCGTCTCAAATCTGATCGAAATCCTGAGCCATTTCGAAGGACAGACATGCCCAGAAATTGCCGCCGAATTCGACGGCGCCAGCCTGCGCGCACTGAAAGAACACGTGGCCAGCCGAATCACCCACCACCTGACAGAGATCCGAGAACGGTACGTCTCTATCATGGATGATAAGACTGGGTACCTGGACTCGATTGCGCAGCAGGGCGCAGCAGCAGCGCAGGCCAATGCCAACGTGACTATGCGGAAGGTTCGGGATGCGATGGGATTGTAAATTTGAGAACTGAGACAGTCTCGTTTTCGCGTCCACTTCTCTCGTTTTCGCGTCCACTCGTCTCGTTTTCGGGTCCACTCGAACTATACTGTACTAACATTACTTTTCTGTGGTGGTCAGCCAAGACGAGTTGTTTCTTCTTTAGGCAACTTTGGCAGGCCGTATGTATTATATAATCGGATCTAGAGTCCAAGAACAGTAGAAAATCGCATCTTTAACCAGTCCACTCTCTCCTGATACTATACTGGTCTTACGTCATGGTGCCGATACGTCGGGAGTAGCCGGTGATGAACATGGCTTCCGGCGTCCCGAAGCGCATAAATTTGGGCCTATGCTCAATATTTCAATATTTCGGGGATGAACGAGACCAATATGGAACGCACTAGGGACTTTGTGCCTGCTTGGCAGACTAAGCCTTATAAATGTGGGGAGATGGCGGCGTTTCCCAGCCTCATGAAATATGATGTTTTCCAAGGTTGATTATACGCTTAACCTCAAAGAAGTCTCCAGCAAAACGCAGTGTACAGGAGAAGCTACATTGTTTGGGATATAGTAGAAAGAGGTACAGAGTGCAGAGTCGTTATTTGATTTGCCACGACTGGATATTTCATCTCGACCGTTCCAACCTTGGAAGGACCTTGGGGTAGACCCAAGATCCGCCAGTCGCTCGTTTGGTTAGTGGTTATGTAGCCGCCTGGTCCGTGGCTGTGCAGGCTTACTTGCCGCCGTGGCTATGCATCAACGAAACTGAACCTCAAGTAGGTAGTAATTCATGAGGTTCAGAAGGGCTATTATTAGTGGAGACTATGAACGGTGAGGATCATTGTGAATAATTGTATGGATGTGATCCACCTGCCATATCCAGTATGTAAGGACGTCCGGAGGGGTATAAGTGGGTATGCCTCAGTATGGAGTTTGTTAGGACTCTACAGTGTATATGCAGAGTGATATTCGATATGTAATGGCCCGCGCCACTTACACTGTAATCGAATGTATTCAGTGTTCATACAGTTAGCCTGCTTTGCTCTACGAAGGCCGGTTCGTCCACATACAAATTGTCGAAACAGATCCTCTCCAAGTCGAGATGATACGAGACATAGTTTAGAGATCGGCAGGACCAACGCAAAACCTCCGGCCCACGTGGTGAAGTCTGATAGTAGTAACTTTACAATCATGACATGAATAATCACTCAAATCCCGTCCGACTTCAGAATGAAGCGTAACGATGTCTGGATAAAGCAAAAAGCAATCGCGTCTTGGCTCTGCTAGTCACCAGACTAAACCGGAAACGGGCTGGCGGCGGTGGAGCGCCATCCTTCCGCGTCATCAGCAACTCCTCCGACCCCAACCACGTACGTTGCATACGTACGCCAGATGAGTTTGGCGTTGCTCCAGGTCCGTCAAGTTCTCTGGGGGACTGGCTCAGCGTGATAATGATGGTGAGAAAGTCGGTGTATGTGTGTATGATGCGCGGTCTCATGGAGTGTAGTCTGCACTCTGTACAATGGACTAACCTCCATACTCCTTTCTGCAGACGCCCATCACGCTGATGACGACAGCTCAACCTGGTGGGGCCCCTTTCTGGTTCCCTCTCCGGCGCCTTACCCGAGGTGTTGCACGTCGTCTCCACGGTCCTTTTTCAGCGCTTAGGAGAGACAGAGGAAAAGTCAATGGTCCACTTGTGGACTGCTGACTGGCCGTTGGGAACAAATGAACCTGTCAAATCTACCCGGCTGGCCCGAGGTGCGCCAAAGCCGCCCAGCGAAGAATAGTCCAGTCAACCAAGTTTGCTGTCTGGGGCTTGAGAGTGCATACGACATCTATCGCCTCTCCGGCACAGCCGCCGCATCGATGTCTGCGACCTTCTTAGACTGCATCTTTCCCGTCTTCTCTTCTTCTGACTCTTCTTCTTCCCCGGCTTTCACCCTCACCGTCCCACCTGAGAACCCTCCCCATCTCCCCTCAAACAGACCTCGATCGCATCTCCACATTCCCGCGATCTCGAATTTCCATTTCCGGCGCATTATTCGGGAAACGGCAGTGGTGAGGATCGCGTCGATCAGCAAAAAAAAGTGGAAAGGCGGCTTGCCGATCCCATACATTCCTACGGGGAGACTCGGTCTATCTCGGTGGACGGCGAACAAGCATGAAGAATTCTTGGCTTTGGCTGGCGACTCTCGCCATACCGGCGCTGGGGAAGCTGAACCTGGTTCAGCGAGATGTCCCCGCAGTCGTCGACATGAGTATTCAGCGCAAAGAGGTTTCGGATCCCGTGGCCCGAGACCGAGTGCGACGGATGAAACGGAGTTCGACAATTTCCCAGACCCTGGACAACGAAGTATGTCTTCAACATACTATACTCAACACCGCTTTCCATCCACTAGAACATTCTTGACATATAGCTGACAATAAATTATAGGAAACCCTGTACTTCTCTAATGTCACCTTGGGAACACCGAAACAGAGCCTGCGCTTGGTCTTGGACACTGGTAGTAGTGATCTATGGGTCAATGCACCTAACTCGACCCTCTGTAAAAGGAAGTCCGACCCCTGCAGCGACTCCGGCACCTACGACTCTAGTTCCTCATCAACCTACGCCTTTGTAAATTCCGATTTCAATATTACTTATGCGGATGGCTCTGGTGCGACGGGTGACTATGCCAGTGATACTCTTACCATCGGCTCGGCGACCTTAAAGAGTTTCCAGTTTGGCATTGGCTTCACGTCAAGCTCCCCGGGTATGTGAGAACCATAGTCGCCATCCTTGAATCTAAATGAACCACAGCGGATTGCTAATAATGCGGTGGTATAGAGGGCGTGCTGGGAATTGGATACCCATCTAACGAAGTTCAAGTTGGTGTGAGCGGGGGAAGTCCCTATGCCAATCTCCCAAAGGCCATGGTCAATAAAGGACTGATCAAGTCCAGTGCCTACAGTTTGTGGTTAAATGACTTGGATGCTAACACTGGCTCGATTTTGTTCGGTGGTGTAAATACTAAGAAGTACCACGGCACTCTGGAAACCCTGCCCATTCAGAAATTTGGAGGCGGGTTCTCTGAGTTTATCATTGCCCTGACTGCCGTGGCCCTCACCAACTCATCCGGCACTACCAACTACTCGTCCAGTGCACTGCCAGCGGCGGTTCTGCTCGACTCTGGCAGCTCCTTGACGTACCTCCCAGACGTGATTGTCGAGATGATCTTCAATGATCTAGGGGTCACTTACGATTCCTCGAGCGGAGTTGGATTCATGCCGTGTAGCAGTGGCTCGCAGAACATCAACGTCTCGTATACCTTCTCGTCACCTACCATCAACGTGGCCTTGAGCGAGCTACTCCTGGATGTGGGCGACTACTCCTTCAACAACGGCGAGCGCGCCTGCGCCTTTGGTATCGTCCCGGCTGGTGACAGTATGTCGGTTCTGGGCGACACATTCCTGCGCAGCGCCTATGTGGTGTACGACCTGGCCAATAACGAGATCTCCCTGGCCAACACGAACTTCAATTCGACAGGGAACAACGTCCTCGAAATTACCACCGGCTCCGACTCGGTTCCCGACGCTACAGCTGTTGCCAACCCGGTGACCTCTGTCGCTGCCGTAGGCTCCGGAGCTCGCATTGGCGGCCCCCCTGGAGGCACTGGCGTCTTTTCATCAGCCGGAGCGACCAAGAATGCTGCTATGCCCCGGCAAACGAGCATGCCCCGGCAAATTGTCCTCGGCTTGGCTGGTGCCGGGGCCTTGTTGGCACTCTGAAGAGTTTGATTTGGAGTGACATAGACATGGGGTTTGGATCGTTGCCATGTTAGAATTATTTTTGCATGTTCTTGCGGTGTATTGGAGTCTACGAATACCTGGTCTTTTTTCTGTCTTTAACCACGAGTACAAATTTTTCACTCATTTAACGTGATACGAAATTCAATGATTGTCAATATTTGCAAAATCTCCGTCTTTATTTTATCATTCCAAAGTCATGGTAAGAAAAATGATCTTCGTAATGTAGATGATCATCCGAAGCCGAGCCTGTCCCTGAGCTTAACCAACTGGCCAGTTAACGCTTGGCATCGGTCAACCAGCCTCCGCGCAACTTTGCACCCTCGCAAGATGCCTCGAATACCTACCTCACTACTTCTCAAGGCCTATCGAGAGAACTCTCTTCTACCCATCCTCCTCAAGGAATGCCGGTCGCTTGACTCAGCCCGTAATGAACTCCGATGGCTCCGAGAACGCGCTGTTCGCGACGTTCAGGAACACTCCCGCCAGGCCACGAGGACACGACAAGGATGGCGGACACGCCTACGGGCGATGTGCCACAAGCGCTCACGGGGAGTTCCATTGCAGTATATCCTCGGTGACCAACCATTCGGAGATCTAGAAATCCTCTGTCGACGAGGGGTTTTGATCCCAAGGTGTGAAACAGCGCTTCCGCAAAGGCGGCATATCGCCAATTTCAACGCGCCTAGCAAAGCTAACCATCTCCCAGGTCTGACACGGAATCATATACATATGAAGCAGCCAGACTCGTCCGCCAAATGGCGGTAGAAACGTGCAAAGATAGCCCGTCGCCATCTGGCAGCAAGAGACCGCTTCGAATCCTCGATCTGTGCACGGGCACAGGCTGCATAGCGCTCCTTTTGCATGCGCTCCTCGCGCCACAGTTCGAGCGTATACAGATTATGGGCGTTGATCTCAGTCCCATAGCATTGAACCTTGCCCAACGAAACTTGGAGCACAACATCGGCCTGGATGTTCTGGATCGTCGCGCGCGTGAGGAAATTCAATTTCACCGTGGAGATGTGCTACGTCGCAATGGCATCGCCAATCCCAGCACTGGTACCAGCGCCGGTGGTGACGCTATTCCAACCGTGGAAGAACTTCTATCCCAGCATACCACACAATCTGAACGTGACTCCAAATCATCGGATGGATCACCACTCCCCAAAATCGACCTCTTAATCTCCAATCCACCCTACATTTCACACTCCGACTTCCACAACGGCACCACGTCACGGAGTGTACGGCTTTTCGAGCCCCGACTGGCACTAGTGCCGCGTACCGATACCAACATCGATAGCAATGCTATCAGCCAAGAAGGCGATAAACCCGAGGATATATTCTACCGCCGGATCCTGGAATTATCGCAGGATGTACAGGCTAGCCTTACGATCCTGGAATGTGGGGATAAGATGCAGGCTGAGCGGGTTGTTGAAATGTTTCGGGGTAATAGCCCTGCACTGGGTGATGGCGGTGAGACTGATGGTGTGTTTACGGCGGAGGTTTGGCCTGCTACGGAGGAGGATTGCCTGGCTAATGGGTTTCATGTGAGGGATGGATCGAGGTGTGTTATTATCCGGAAGGGAGGATGTTAGTTGATGATGGTTGATAGTTGATAGATGGGCTGGTGTGGTATATCCCCTGGACATTGTACACCAGCGTCAGCGTGCTCACGATTTCATGGAGGTACGAGTATCATTGCATCAGCACCGATTTTAATCACACAAGGAAACATAGTCTTATATGGTGGAGTGCTGCATCACGGCTCGCCCTAATGCCACTGGAAGCTAGATATACGTAAAGCATGATCAAGCCTAGAAGATATCGGGTATAAAGTGCCATGTAGCTGAATGTTTGCAGGATCTACACAACCCATCGCACAGATCGAGTCCATCATCCTAGCATTAACGTGGGAGAGGGACACGGGCATTGATGGGTAGGAGCGTTATGGTACCTCGGGGTGTTGATCATTTGGTGCGAGCTCGTCGTGCTATCGGTGTGGTTGTGATAGATTAGTACATAGCTGCATTTAGAGTTAAGAGGTAGAGGGTATGATTTGGTCTAGGCTAGCCTGATGGACGAGGGGCGCGGTTTGGATGTAGATTGATAGAGTCGATTCGATACGGTTACATATTAACTTTCTGTGGAACTAGATTAAAGTTTCAGATCAAATACAGGACGATTTATAGAATACATGCAATGCTGATAAGAAGTCAAGCATAATAAATAGGAAGGCATAATGGAGAGATAATGGAAAACTTTCAATCGTCACAATGCATTCTGGTCGCCATGGTCAAAAAAAGTATGTACAAACAATGCGGCAGACCATGGACCACCCGGCCAGCTTTTTTTTTGGAAAGTATTAAAACAGAGTATGGGATGTGCATGGCGCATGATTAATGGGTAATGTACGTAAAAAAAAGGTGGAAGGGGATGGGAAAGTGGGTGGGCACAGATTACCGTGGCAGCCAGAAGCCAGAAGAGGATATTCCGAATCGATCCAAGAGAAGAGATCAAGGACACTTCCAGACATGGTCCTGAATGACAAGCTGGTGGCACACGCGGGTCACTGTACCACCCAAAGTATAAAAACAAGAGATCGAAGATAGCAGCAAAAAAGGCCACATCTCTCTCTCATAGGTTCTTCTTTGTCTGGTGGGAAGAAGAGTAGGTGCGGTCATCCTCACCTTCGACATCCTTGAGGATAGTCTCCATCTCCTTGGACTGGCGCTGCCACTCCTTCTCGCTCATCTTGGTCTCACGACGGAACAGCTCCTCATTAGGCTTGCGGTAGCTACCACCCAAGCGGTCCCACAGGGTCGTGAACTGGCCGTAGTTGTAGTTGAAGTAGAGGTGGTGCATGGTGTGGCACGCGGCACCGTTGACGACCGGGCTGTTGGCGACGTACTCGCCATCATGAATGAAGACAGTCCACAGGTTGATGAAACCGAAGAGGAAGACGTAGGCGAGCTTCTGCAGCGGGAAGATAAAGGGGAAGACGTGGTAGGGCACGCTCTGGGACCAGCCGTCGAGAGGGTGGAACGCGTGGGAAGCGAAGGGGGAGGGCATAATCCACTTGTGGTGAGGCTTGTGGAGAGTGCGATAGACGAGCGGGTGGTGCAGACCTCGGTGAATCCAGTAGATGAAGAAATCGGTGAACAAAATGAAGATCGGGAACTGGAGGATGCTGTAGTAGGGGAAGGGTTCCTCGGCGACGGTGTCGTAGAGCTTAGCGTAGCCCCGGACTTCGAGGACGAAGAAGGGTGCGGTCAAAAGGGCCATTGGGGGCATGGAAGACATGGCCTGCTTGATTTCCAAGGGGATTTGACCCTTGAGGAACTTGGGGTGGTTGAAGGTGGTTTTATCCCAGATGAAGACGTAAGACGCGGTTGCGACGACGAAGTATACGAGAAGGCCGAAGATCCTAGTTCAATCGCCATGTCCGTAATTAGTTTCTGATATGTCTGCGCGCATATTTTTCGCCCCCTCTCGGAGAGACTGAGGGGTGGTGGCGAAGGGGGTGGAAAGGAGTGCCTGGCTGGTATTGAGCGCATACCATGTGATGAGGAAAAAGCTGGTAAATTGGCGATAAATGTTATTCCGGGGCCAAGCACTGAGGTAGGCATATTTGGAAGGCTCCAAATGGATCAACTGTGTCGCCGGCTCATAGATAAAGGGCTCTGCGGCGCCAAATAGGGCCAAGGTGCTGTTGGCGGCATTGACAAAGGCCGGCAGGCCGACGGAGGAGGAGGAGAGGGAGGTCGGGAGAAGAGTCGAGTAGAGGCGATCACCAATGAAGGTGTCCCAGATCTCAAGGATAATATCCATGACGGGAGGAGAGGAGCGGTCGTTTGGAGAGGAAGAGAGAAGAGGTGGAAAGGGGGGAGGGGAGGAGATTCTGAGATTGTTATTTTGGGGCGGCGAATAATAAATTCTGCCCGCAACACACCAGCGCGGAACGGGGCCAGCCGTTGGGTTGGCTGCCGGTTCTTAATAATCAATCAGCACCAGAAAGTACGCCGAAGGATGGCGGGATGTTTCGAGACTGGGCCTGGCCCGATCGAGTTAGTCAGGGGTCAGTTGCCTGAAGAAGAAGGCTGCGAGATACTCCTCAGGCATGAAGGTATCCAGGCAGTCAGGCTACCAGGCCACGGGTCCCGGCCGGATGCGGCGATTGAGCCGACCCACTCGGACCCGAAGAATGATCCAAGCGGCCGTCGAAGAACTGGACGGATGAATGGACTACGAGGCAGAGTATCATATCACATCGTATGATAGGAAAGGCCGATTAGAACAGTTCACATCACTCTGCCAACAGATATAAACCCTTCTAGATCGATATGCTCGTTTTTTATCCGGTATTCAGGATAATATACCTCGTTTGCAACTAGGTCATTTCCTCCTCCTTTGTCCCGGTTATAGTAGCTTCTCCGGGAGTCTCCTGCATCGTATCCCGGTTCATGCGATCCGGTCCTATAATATTAATTATCACCCCTTTTTGTTTCGCTTCGTCCTCCACTCGGAACCACTCCGTCATCCATTTGGAGCGTCTCTCTACTGCGCTTCTCGGCTCTTTTGGCTCGCTTCTCGCGCCAACGCTAGCCGCCCCGTTCCCATCTCCACCCCCCAAACTCAACTCAACCTTCCCGCTGCCAGCCTCTTCCTCCTCCTCCTCCTCCTCCTCCTCCTCCTCCTCCTCCTCCTCCACCCCCTCTTCGTCTGACCTTCTTCCTCCTCATCCGATCTGCGTCCACCCACCCACCCCCAACAATCCCACCACCCTCGATCTATCCAAGCTTTCCCTTTCTTTATCCGACCATCTTTTTATCAACTTCATTGGCCTAGCTGCCTGGTGTCGTCCACCAAGCAGCAATCGCGCCTCCCAGCGATCGCAGTGTCAGTCAATTGAATTCATTGTTCAAGCTGCAATCTATCGTCGCGAGCTGTCGCTGATTCGGATATCCCTTTTCTAGAGATCGGTTTTATAGTAACCTCGTCTCTTGGACGTGATACCGTTACCTCGATTCCGTCAATTTAGCCATGTACAACGCCCACCGCGGCATGGTGCCCGCCCCCAACTCCCGCCTGACGGAGTTGCTCGACCAGCTGCGCCAGGAGTTTGAGAGCCAGTCTCGGAGCACCGGTGAATATGAACATCAGTGTATGTTCCCTATACCTTGCTCTCGCATAACAGTCCACTTAGCTCCTTGTCTACACTTATTTGGCTTTCTCCTCCTTTCCTACCGTTTCCAAGTGTCGCCCAGTCCATCAATGGCTGAAGCGCTCTCTCCTATGGGTCGCGAAACTTCGCTGAAACGTTTCTAACTGACAGATCACGCAGTAACCGGACAGCTCCAGGAGATGGAGATGATCCGCCAGAAGGTATACCAGCTGGAGCAGACTCAGATCAAGATGAAGGCAGAGTGCGTTTTCCTCCCCCTATGAATCTAGATTTTGTCTAGAACGATTCCCTTTCCCACTACAATCCCTTATGCACCCCCTGCGACCCTGGCGCAAATCACAAGAAGCGCTGTAATGGTGTAATGGGATGGGAGGCTCTTTCGCGATTTACATAATCTCCTGCGACTAACATTCTCCTCCCACTGTACAGCTACGAGGCTGAAATCCGAATGTTGCGACACGAACTCGAGCAGCGCGGTGTGCAACCTGTCTCTTCGCACATCGCGGCCGCGCCGCACACCGGTCCTCAGGCGCAACCACCATCATTGGGTCACGGCCCCAGCAACTTGTTTGGTGGAATCATGACCAACCAAGGAGGTAGTGGTCCCGGTCTTGCCCCTCCCCCCCTCCCAGGATCAGCAGCCTTCCCAGCATACCCTTCAGCAGCCTGCCTCGGCTCCCCAGCCTGGTGCGCCGCAGCCCCCGCAGAGCTTCCCTGGAGGATATCAGCCTGGTGCTGCTGTGAACGGTATGTTTGCACGAGTGGAGATCGGTTTTCAGGCTGGCTAACGTATTCGACCCCTCCTGTTTTTGGGGGTCGCATCTTTTACAGGCTATGGACCTCCCCCTCCTCCTACTGCATCCCCTGGCCCGGGTAAGGGTCGTCGCACCGCCCCAGGTCCGGCTACTCCCCAGCAGACCCAGATCGCGTACCCGGATCCTCGCGCCTCGCCTCAAATCCCCCGTCCCACGCCCCCGAACCAGTCCCTTGTGCGCGCTGATCGCCCGGGTAACATGCTCGCCAACTGGGACCCCGCGGATCTCCCCGCGTCGCAAAAGCGTGAGGGCTCCGATTGGTATGCCGTGTTCAACCCGGAGGTTCAGCGTGTGCTGGACGTTGAGCTGGTGCACCATCTCAACCATGACAGCGTGGTCTGTTGTGTTCGGTTCAGCCGTGATGGCAAGTACCTAGCGACGGGCTGCAACCGCTCGGCGCAGATCTTCGATGTGACCACTGGTCAGAATGTGGCGACGCTGCAGGATGAGAATGTTGACAAGGATGGTGATCTCTACATCCGTAGCGTTTGTTTCAGCCCGGATGGCAAGTACCTGGCCACCGGTGCAGAGGACAAGCAGATTCGGGTAAGCTATCCTCGGACTCCGTGATATCCCTGTTGAGCCCGAACACCCGATAGCTATCGGTATTAGGCGAAAGAGGGACGAGGCAATTCACTATTTTCTAAAAAGGGAGAATCAATAGCTGACAAAACTTCCAATGTTTTCATAGGTTTGGGATATTGCTGCACGCACCATCAAGCATATCTTCAGCGGCCACGAGCAGGATATCTACTCGCTGGACTTTGCCGGTAACGGTCGCTATATTGCCTCGGGCAGTGGTGACAAGACTGTCCGTCTGTGGGATATCCTGGATGGCAAGCTTGTTTACACCCTGAGCATCGAAGATGGCGTCACCACGGTGGCTATGTCCCCCGACGGTCACTACGTGGCTGCCGGTTCTCTGGACAAGAGTGTGCGCGTGTGGGATACCACCACTGGCTATCTGGTGGAGCGTCTGGAGAACCCGGACGGCCACAAGGACAGCGTGTACTCGGTTGCCTTTGCGCCCAACGGTCGCGACCTGGTCAGCGGTAGTCTGGACAAGACCATCAAGTTGTGGGAGCTTACTGTCCCGCGGGGCATGCACCCTCACAGCGGCGTCAAGGGCGGCAAGTGTATTCGCACTTTCGAGGGCCACAAGGTATGAATTCTCCCCCATGATTCTCTCTCTCTCTCTCCGATCGACTCAATTCGTTCATCACCCTTCATCCCGTCCCATGCCACCCATGATCTCCCCTCTCCCATGGAACGGCCGCGCCACAGGGCAACCGTCTGGGGGCTCCACTCGTCGACATTGGCTGGGTACTGACTACTGCGTACTATAGGACTTTGTGCTTAGCGTGTGCCTGACGCCCGATGGCCAGTGGGTCATGAGTGGCTCGAAGGACCGTGGGGTCCAGTTCTGGGATCCAGTTACTGGTAATGCGCAGATGATGCTGCAGGGCCACAAGAACTCCGGTGAGTCTATCGTCCGATAGTTTGGGATTTTAGCCGGGGGGGGGGGGATCGATAGTGTGCTGTCATATCTGTCACTTGTCATCGTTTCCCCCTTGGGCTTATCCTACTATCTTATCATTCTTGGATTCTCGTCTAGCGACATCTAGCGATGTCGTGCTCGTCGATCATTTTGGTTTCTAATTCTCCGCGGATAGTCATCTCGGTGGCCCCCGCCCCGACCGGCAACCTCTTTGCTACTGGCAGTGGAGACATGCGTGCACGGATCTGGAGGTAAGCAATCGCTCTTTAGTTTGATTTCCTCTGTCACCCTTATTCTCTCCCTCTCCACTCTTCTTCTGTTCCCCGTTGTCCCCTATCCCAGACTGTCGGGTCAACGATCGTCTCTCGGGGCGTCGCTGGGCAAGTGCGATCCAGCCCCTCCAGCGTTGTTTTTCTCTTCTATCCGCGATCGATCATTTTTTTTCGTTGCTCTGGTACTCTATTCTGGCAGCCTACTGATCCGCTGATCTTTTCTCTTTCGCCACAGATACTCGACGTACACAGGACGGTAAAAGGGATCGGCTCAGCCACGGCGCAATATGACTTTACTTGCTTGGATTCCTTCGTAGCCAGGTTGGGGCTTGAATTTGACGGTGTCTTTTATGTTACTCGTGTTTGTTGATTCTCTTCTTGAGTGCTTTTCTCCTTTTGATATCTTTGTTGGATCAGCCTTCTGGTGCCTTGTTCTTGGATAATGCACATGCACAGTGTCTATTCCTTTGTCTTGGAGCGTAGAGACCCAGTAATTGTAATTGTGTTTGGTAAAGAGTCTCCCTCCTGAGTAGACTACTTGGGCCGGCCCGGCGTCATCACATCATCACATCGTCTCCACGGGGTCTCGTCCAGTTCCAACCAACCACTGCCTCAGCTGGAAAGAATATACTATCCGTCTAACCCATCAACCCCTCGTCCGACTACGCCAAAACACCCAAACAACCCAGACCAACTCTCCACCGAAAAGACCCATTCAGGTAAACCAGCATGGACCGGGGCGCATGACCAAATGACCACGTCCCCTCTAGGCAAGTTGCACAAGCAGGGCGGAAGGGTGGAAAAATCAAGGCAGGACTTTCGACACGCTCTTCATACAAAATCACTCATCACTGGCCAGTCCTCCGTACTGGACTCCGTAGTTCCCCGAGTCACTGCTGTACTGTGTACTTACTGGTTAATCGGGACTCGGGACTCAACTAGGTACAGGAGCTACATACTAGACAAACCCAAGAGAAAATCAAAATCAAAAATAAAAACGATCAACAAAAACTAAATTAATCACCAAGCCCGCTGGCCCGACAGCCTGGGACAGGGGACCCAGCTACAGTAGACAGCACTGGCCAGTGCCGCCGCCCCGTCTGAATCGCCACAGAGCCGCGAGAGTGGTGGTGCCGTGGTGGAGTGGGACAGACACGACCTGTCGACTCCGCGAGTCGTTGATCCGAACCCTGGAGGACGATCAGTGATGTGCATTGGCAATGGGGGAGCAATGGAGTGGAGACTTGTTTTAGGGTGTGGTTTGTTGGGGTTTGGTATAACTTATCTATCATATCAATTTGGGTATATATTGTAGTATAGTACCTTATAACACTGTAGATGGAAAGGTTTTGAGTGTACAGGGGGAATGGTATAGGGTTGGATATATGTACATACACGGAGTAGGGGGGTCCCTGACACTGACATGAATATGTACAGTATTGTAGATGTACACTTGTCTAATAATGTCACTGTTAAGGAATCAAGTACATAACTAATCATCACCAGGGTGACTACCGGACAGTCCCGTACTCTCCGAGTCTCCAATATAACCTGCGAACCAGCGAACTACTGCTTACCTACTTCTACTTCTACGTTAGTTTGCTACCTAATACCTAATTAACTCATCCCTCTTAAGCTAAGGAGCTAGCTCAACGTGCTTGAGAGATTAATATTGTTTGATCAGCTTCCTCTCTACCAACGGGACGGTACCGACAGCTCGGAGCGCTAGGATACTTGGGCCACAGTTAGCGGCTGCCTGGTTGTGTCGGGAAACAGGCTTGTGGGTTTTCGACGTGCTATGGACTGTCTGGACTAAACCATTGACTATTTACGGAGGACAGAGTACTGTACTTTTGTTTGTCTAGGACTCTAGGAGGATGTCTGGGACGTTGGTTTCGAGTCCGGGTGGTGATCTGCCCGAGCTAGACGAGACAAGCAAAAAGAGCGTAATAATTGAGTTGGACTAACTTGTTCTGGAGCTGGAGCTGGAGCTGTCGAATATCTACATAGCTCTAACCGTTTTGTGATCGGTAAATGGGTATTATTAAATTTGATTATTCTGCGAAACGCTCTGAATTCCTACCAAGTCAGAGCTATAGTACGTGGGTAACTACGTAGAACCCTACTCCTACTGTACTCCGTACAGTTTGCACATTCACCAAGTTCCATTCCCCTTTGTCACAGTAGTATCTAGTTCGTATGCATGTACATATTATTATATGCACCCCCCTTAAACAACGACCGTATACCTATCTCGACCAGGATTCTCCACTACTCGATCGGACTCTACGCACGCGCGCTCTCACCCGCCGAGAGCCACCCCCATTATTGGCAAGAGTTCGTGAGCAAACTCGCCCCATCCCCCGATCTCCCCCTGCAGGAACCAGCAAGAACTGGACGCCTCCCTGATGCATCAATATGTAGTTGTAGACATGCAGGTTCGGGCCTGTACCGTCGATGAGGAAAAATGACAAATACAAATCTTGCCGGAGACGTGGCCTGTCATTTCGGGGAGATCATGCGGTATGTAGTTACTAGATTACGGAGTACTCCATTGTTCTGCATGGATAAGGATGTGTTGAAGCCTGTCATAGACTCATAGTCTTGTAGTCCCGAGGAGAAGGAGAATCATAGACGTGAGCAGTCTACTCTCAATCTGTCTGGAACCTGGGTACAAAGTACTACACTGTACAGAGTACGACTAATGGGTCTGGATGTACCATCCTCCGTATTTAGTCCACGCACGGAGCAACCCGCGACCAGCAAACCAGTGTGAAACCCAGACGCCCCGAGAAGGCAACAGACCAGACCAGCGACCAGCGAGTAGTAGGACTGTAGCTGTGTGTCCATACGACGACTATTGCATCTCCATCTCCGTGGTCCGTGGTCACTGGAGTAGCATACCAGCCCGAGCCAGAATCCCAGGAGATCGGCCCAGATCTGGGCAAAAAGGCCCCAATCTGGGAAGCTGAAACCGATCGGGAGGGTCAGCAAAAGGAATTTTCCAGGGCCATGGGCGGCTAACCAGGATATTCGCTGGGGCTTTACTCAAACTGGAGCTGCTGCTGAGGGCGGGGATCGGACGCTATTGGCGACTATCGGGTGGGTGCAGCCGGTCCGTAGTCCAATCACAGGATAGTCCAGGGTAAGCTGCAAATGTGGATTATTATTGTTCGTTGGTCCAGTACAATTCCCAGCTTACCAGCCACCGAGGGCTAGAGGGCAAATGTATCCCTGCTCCGGGCTTGATCCGGGTGGTGGAGGTGGAGGTGGAGGAGGGGGACCATAGGATGAAGAATGGAGTGTCATTGAATAAAACATAATAATGATGTGAAGAAAGTACGTATTAGGTGGATTGTTCTGGATATAGTTGACCAGTGAGATGCCAAAGGAAACGAAGCGCCCCCTCCCCAGTCGAGGCCCCCCCCCCCCCTGGGGCAGAAATCGGGAATATGGGGACTAAGGGGACTAAGAGGACCTGGGAGTGGCTCCAGACGAATCAAGATGCAGATAAAGGGGTCTCTCTCTCTTCCTCACCAGTCCAGTTTAGGGAGAGAGAGGCTGACTTGAAGCTGGGTTGACCTGTCGACTTCTGTCGAGTGCAGATCCCCGTCCACATTGAAAGCTCGAAGGCCCGGCCCGCCCTCGAGGGCAATGCAGTTTGAGTGATTGCTTTTTTTTTTATTATTATTTTTCTTCCATTCTGCTGAATGATTTTAGTTCTGTGAATGGAAGATCGAACAAAGGGTTATTAGAAAGAAAGAGGAAAAAGGAATGGAAAGAGAAAATATCGCGGGGAAGAGTATAGATGATGTGCTGCATAGGGTAATCTGTACATCCTCAAAGTCGAGAACAGTCATCATGAACCCAGAAGATCCAAGACTACTCCACCACCGACAAAGAGAGCTATCGCGAGAGTGGGAATTGGGAATTTGGAAAGGTCAAGGTGGGCCACCATGTCGCTGAGTGACCGTCAGTGGTCGATGGTTGACAGTCACGCCCCCAAGTCCTGGATTTAGTTTAGTAAGGACTTTTTAGTCGTCCAGTTGTGATTTTGGGGGGGGATTTTAATATTTACCTACTGAACTAAACCCAAATAGGCCACGAAATTAGCTAAAATCCTCGCCAGTCGCGGCTGCGATTGAATTCGACTGGGGGCTCACCGTGATTCTCGCCATCTGGCCCCCCTCCCGTCCCGTCCAGCAGGTTCTTCGAATCAGAGCAATGAACTGCTAATGGAAAAGGATTGGGCATGATAATAGAAATTGACCGACACCAAATTGCTATCACTAATCCGTTTGATTTGTGCGGGAACGAACAGAAACAATTAGAAAACTAGATCAGAATATTTCTCCTTTCTCGTGATACAGCAGGATCTTCCTGTCCGAAATGATGCGTCTGGCCAGTGGAGTCCTTTTTTTTCAGGTCGCCTCATGTTGATGTGTATTCTAATAGGATTATAATAAATTATTACTATACTATTATTATTTTGATTGAATTATTCTGATGATTTCATTTCTTACCATCTCCATATCCAGGGTACTTGGTACATCTTTACCACTTGCTGACCAGCGCTTGGGACTGTGTACCTGTTCCCTACTGCTGATCATCCTCGTTTCTCTCTTTTCCTTTCTTTCCACTAAAGAGTCTCTCCTATATCGTTATTCTCTTATTATTATTATTATTATTATTATTATTATTATTATTATTATTATTATTATTTCTGGAGTATCTTTTTCTTTCCCCGGTGAGATCGCCACTGCACGTCGGGGCCTCGAACTGCTCCCCTTTCCGGGCGAACGTGATACTGTATACAAAGACAGATCCTTTCTCGACTCAGTCTACTCGAGTCCACAAGCGCCTCTCCTCCACTCAACCGTTCAACCGGGACGAATGAACCTGAGCTTGGACTTCTTGATTTTGACTACTTTTTTGACGGCGGACGACGCGGGTGATCACCACTAGTTCCTCGGACTTTCTGGCTTATGCTGGGCCGACCCATCGAGTGGACTGTCTCTTTTTTCTTCAGCCCACCTGCAGCCCGTGGGAATAGTCGTGGAATCTGCGCCCCTTCCGAAATTACTCGTTCGCATTCACTTACTTATTCTCTTGTCAAAAACGTCTGCCTCGTTCCGTGGGAGATCCTATATAGATCGATCGGTGACCACCCCCCCCCCCCCCTGGATCGTTGCATCTTGGCTCTGCGAGACTTCCAAACAGCCTCCACATTGGATATATCTTTCTATATATCTCATCTGTCAGCCATACCCTGAATATCATCAACTGTCAGGATATCCCAGTATTGAGTCTGCGCCCAGGACCATCGGCGTCGTGCATTTGCCCCGGCCGAGTTGTCTATTTCTATACATCTCTCCCCCTCAGACACCTGGATTTCCTTCTTCTTCGGACATAACCTAAATCAACCTTGTTTCGAAAAAGAACTGAGATCTTCGGATCCTATCCCAGCAGACAGGCACGAAGCAAAAGCAAAAGCAAAAGCAAAATACAAGAACAACAACATAAGCCCTCCCGAGTACGTGGCTTGGGGCTGTCAGGCTGCCAGTCCGGGTTTCACTTTCGGGGTATCCCAACCAACTACCCTCTTCTAACCCCCCCCTGATCTGTTTTCTTCTGCTATTCATCTGTCTTCTATCTGTCCCACTCATTATTATGGAGACTGCCGAACCGGTTGCCTATGAGTTCCCTGGCCATGGTGTGGGCTCATTCCCACATCGTCGTGCAGTGGACTCGCCTCTATACTCCTACTATTCCCACCCAACTTCGGCCCCGTACACGCTGCCCTTCCAACCAACACCCACATCGGCCGCATATAGCTTTGGCTCGGGGGCCTTGAGTCAACCCTCGCATCCTTACCAATACTTCATGAACACCCAACCATCGCTGGGCTCGCCAGTACGCTTGTCATCAGACAACCACCAGCCTCAACATGCTCATCACCACGCCCACCATCACCAGCAGCAACATCAATCACAGCAGCACCATTCACAACAACAGCATCACCAGCCCCAACCACCCCCACTGCAATCACTGCCAGAAATAAGGCCTGCAAAGAACGCCATCAACCCACTCACCACGCGGACCGTCGACTATAGCCCAGCGAACAATCAACCCTCCTCAACAGGAGGCGATCCAGCCTCAAAGAAGCAAGGCAAAGAAGCCGAATTTTCAACCGAAGTCGACGTCCTGATGAAAGCAATCCAGTCCAAGCCCGGAACCTCGACATCACCGGTACCCATGCAGCAGTCCCTGCCACCACTGCAGCAGCTGGCACCACCGGGATATCCAAGCTACGCTGGCTATCCGATGTCACCGCCTCGCAGCTTGCTCACTAATGAGGGACAACTGTCACGGTCTGGCAAGAAGCGCAAGTATACTTGCACGTTGCCGAACTGCGGGAAGAGCTTTGCGCAAAAGACGCATCTGGATATTCATAATCGGGCGCATTCGGGGGAGAAGCCTTTTGTAAGTATATGTACCAGCAATACATCCCTTGGACCCCGAGAAAGAGGATGCATATCGTTTCCTAAATAAGGAGCTTGGGATGTTCTTTTAGAGAGAAGCAGAAGGGTATCATTCGCTAACGAGTATACAGATCTGCAAGGAGCCCTCATGCGGGCAGCGATTCTCCCAGTTAGGAAACCTCAAGGTAAGCAGATGCAGTGACGATTCCACTCAAGACAAGAGGCTATGACCCCCCTTGTCTCTATGTGAGAACAAACTAGCTCACCCAACCCTCGATCTAGACCCATCAACGACGGCACACGGGGGAGAAGCCCTTCAAATGCGAAATCTGCCACAAGCGCTTTGCACAGCGGGGCAACGTTCGCGCCCATCAAATCACCCACCTCCAAGCAAAACCATTTACCTGTCTCCTCGATGCCTGCGGAAAGAATTTTACACAACTGGGTAACCTCAAGGTAAGCCAAGCTCCTCTCCCCTTTTCCCTTTCCTCCTCCACAACTACAGCTACAACCAAAAAACCAGCCAGCAACTTACACAACTCTTCACAATATAGTCCCACCAAAAAAAATTCCACTCCACAACCCTCCGCGATCTAACCCTCCGCTTCGCACAAATGGGCGACGCAGGCCCCATGAACCCCGCAGACCGCGAACTATGGGAGTACTTCGCCGAACTATACAAAAACAGCAACAAGGGCATCAAAGGTCGTGGTAAAGATCGGCGAATTGCCACGACGAGTACCCACGGACACGGTCTTAGCCGTGCGCACGGGCATGGGCATGGACATGGGCCTATCCGCGGCGTTGCGGGGAGAATGTCCTCTATGGAGTCTGAGGAAGATAGACGCGTGTATGAAGATGGAATGGGGATGTATGCGGGTGCGAGTCCGAATGGGGGATCGAGTAGTGAGGGAGAAGAGGGGTGTATACGTAATATGAAGGGAATATGGTGAATATTTTCATCTAATAAGGTTGAGGTTGGCTCGTTGAGGCTTTTGGGTCATAGCGATGGGCTATGGAGTATATTGGGGTTCTGCGGGTTTGCGCTTTTTTTTCGGGTCTTTCTTATCTCTGTTACATCATCATGTATACGATGTTACGAGGGGCCTTGATTTAGATTCTGGACTTTTGTGTCATTGTGTTTCTGTTTTCGACGTTGTGGGTTGTTTTCTTGTTTTGTGATTTGTGATATCCATTTCTTTTGTGTTGGTGTTTCCTATTTGATATCTTTTGTCATACTCATTCCCTTTGTCTAATCCTGTATTTTTGTATTCTATCCAGCTAGATGGGGAGTATCCAAATCCAGCTCTCGTTGTATCACAATCTTGAATGAGTCTCAGACGGGGTCTTTCGATTCCACGGATTTGATGTCGGGTTGACATGGAGGTATTCATACACCCCATGAGTCATGGAGCTCCAGAAAAGGGTCGTCATAGTACAAATGGTCCTAAAAGAATTCCAATCATACTTTTTCAGGTTCATATTGTAAAATTTAGGAGGAAAGGCTGGTTGGGTGTCCGAGGATGGATCGTACGGGCTAGTCGAAGTTGAAGTGTAAACTAGGAGGAATACTTCAGCTAGTTCCAGTTCAGTTGTACAAGCCTACGCAACAGAGGTCGAATTTAAATTAAGAGATGTTTTTATGTTTCTTTGCTTTTTGACTAAATCTTAATATTATTTCTTTGCGGCAGCACGCAAAGACTCGAGTTTCGATTTGAATTTGGTAGTGTACAGATCCAGGGCCACCCGTGGTATGTCATGGACCAGAGGGCAATCGGACAAGAAGACAACGAAGACTATGCAAAACACAGAGATCGAAGCGAAGTGGAAAAAGAAAACGTGAAAAGGCGCAAGATCAGTGAGTGCTAACTTCGTTGCTTAAAACGTCCATTCGATCTAGTCATGAATTGCGAATTACCGCAGGTCTCCGAGTCCATTATTTCATTGCTCATCTGCATCGGCAATGTGAATGTCTCCGTCAGCCGCGGTATCCGCGGGATCCTCACGCGTCGGGGCGTGAGTGCCCACCGGGGTGGCATTGATTAGCGCATCGGAGATAAAGGCGTCCTCCACAGCAGCCTTTCGGCGGAAGACACGCAGCCAGCGGCGGCCCCATTGGCGGAGAATGGCATCTTCGGGCATATCACCAGACCCATCCCCACGCTCCATGAGCTCGTCATTGCTGCCGGAGGCGACGGAGACGACAGAATCCTCGATGAACTTGAAGAGATTTTTCATCTCGACGCGTTCACGGGACAGAGTCTCCTCGAGAACGCTGAGCTGTGGCTCGTACAGACCCTTCTGGACACGAGCAGCGACAATCTGGCGCATACGGGTTGTGACCTTGCCAACGGTGGCGGAGATCATCTCGTAGATGTGGGATTTGGAGAGGATGGCGCCAGCGGCAATGTGCTCAGTGAGGGCCCACTCCAGCACAGAAAGAGGGCTGATAATAGTGTAGTTGAGCAGCTTGTCGACAATGTTGATGGCAATGCCCGGCTGGTCAGCCCAGTACTCCATGACTGAGGTGATTATTTGCAAGCGGGCCTTCTCAGAGGCCGCGCCAATGGCAAGCAGGCGGTCCTTGTTGCGCTCGATGCAGGACAGAACGTGTGATAGAGACTTGGAGCCCACGAAGCAGATGGAAGTAACGAGGGCGTCTGTAGAGGGAACCTTGGGGTCTTCCACACCCAGGCCCTGCGCTTGCTCCTCGATGGCGGCAATGTTGGGCTGGAGCTCATCGTCGTTGGCCTTCTTGCGAATGAGCTGCATGAGCTCTTGTCCTTCCTTGGAATACGGGGTTGCTGTTGATAATTAATTGTTAGTGGATTAGGAAAACCACAAGGCGCACGGTGACATTTGTCTTCAAGCGTACCTTCGGAGGAATATTTGAACTCGGGTGTATCCTTCTCCTTGCTTTCTGTGATCAAAGGCAAGTAAGGCTCGGGCAGAGTACCCTTAATACGCTGTGCGAAGCTCAGTCGGATTTCCTTGTCCAGTGCTCCATTAATGAATGCCATCCTAGGATGAATGGGAGGAAGCTCGAGGTTATCGACCCTAGTTGTCACATTGTCAGCATTTTGCCATTACCGATCGCTGCGTCCTGCATCCCCTGGCTGAGTCGATCACTTACCACTCGCTCCACTTCCAGGTGAAACCAAAATTACTCAAATGATGAGCAAACCAATCCAGGAACCGGTTGCTCAGCTCCAAGTCCATGGTCTCCAGGTTGTTGTACAGGAACCGAATAGCACGGCCCAAGCTTGGCGCAATAGCTGCAGGGGCGATCTTGCAGCACTCAGTCAGAACAGAGTGATAGTATACAAGCTTGTGTTCCGGCGTAGGAAGTTGGAACAACTGTGAGAAAACGGCATCTACCGCAACATCCTCGGGCTTCCACGATGTGTTATCACCCGCCATCTCACGCATGCGGTCAAATGGTGTAGCACGCTTGACGAAGGTGTTACGGGTGTAATAGCAATCCACGTCGATAAGGTACTTAGCCGTAGCGACACGGTTGAAGTCAAGAAGGTTGAGGGTATCCACCAATGCATCTCTCATGAGAGAGGTGGCGATGTCCGAAACGGGAGGCACGGTATCGACCTCCTGTCCGGCATAGACCGAGAGGTAGACCTCTGGGAAGAGAGCTCGGGAGCCATACGGCACCGGGTTCGGGACGGTGATCTGCGGGAAAGCGACCTTGGCCACGACCTCGAAAGGCTTTGGCTCGTCACCCTCTGGTTCCCGTGCATCCTTCCATGGACGAGGCAGGCACTTCAACTCCCATCCTTTGCTGGATTCACCTTGAAGCTGACTCTGGAGAACACTGATCAAACTGGGACCGGCCGCGGATTCATTCTCTTCGGGACTGAAGGTGTTTACCAAGTCCACCAGGGCGTGGGGGTAGAGGCAATGATGTCGGTCTTCTCGAGAAGTGCGGAAGCTTGAGATTCGAAACCAGTGGCGGGGGATGCCATTACGTAGGGAATGGTGAAGAGGATGATTTTGACAAGCTCCAAGCCGAGCAACTATACCAGCAAAACGCGTCAGTACGAACATGATCGTTAGGTTCCAAGAGGCTAGTAGACTTACGTCCTCCGAGGATGCGGTCTGAAGATCGACCGCGCGAGCAAAGAGCTCCTCCAAGAGCGTAAAGATACCCTCACCCTCGAACAGTGGCTGTAAACATCCCAGGAAGCGGACGAGAAGCTTGACCTCGCGCCATGATCCAGAATCAATGTATTTCTGCAAAGCCCCAGCCGCCTTGTTCAAAAGTTCCGTTCCCAGCTCAGGCTTGCTGTTATACGTAAAAAGGGCTGTCGCAGCAACGAAGGGGATTTTCATCGGTTGTTCCAGGACGCTATACGGAATGGATGTGTCAGTAGGCGCATCGATGTTGTGTTGGTGGCAGTCAAGGGCAGGGTTTCGTACAGGTCAAGGGAAATGTTGATCAAGGTGTCGCGGAGCTCCTCATCCTCGTAGTTTTCAGCCACAGTTTTCGCGATCCCCACAACATCATCCTCGACTCTGCGAGCAGCCTACGTAATGAGTTCCAGCATCAGTAACCAGTCCCGAATGGATGTAGCACTACAACGCGCCTGGAGATTGTGAAGGAAGGTGATCCTACCGATTCCGCAATAGTCAGAAGCTGCCGACGGACTTGCACAAACAGAGGCTCCTCATATCTCCGTCGCTGAGGGCGGCGATCATAGTCCTCATCGTCTGGAAATAGCCATGGTCAGCAGCGCGTAAAAAAGAGCCCTTCCGGAGGGTTGCTCACCTCGATAACGGCGCTTGCGTCCGCCTCCACCACCGCCCCGGTGGCCATTGTTCCGGCGCTCGTAGTCGGCCATTGCGTGTGGAGATTGGGTCGACAATGGGAAGATTCAAGAGCTTGAGATTGGGTTGGGAGTTCAAAAAGGTTTCAGCGGAGGAGAGCTTCCCCAAAGGTCAACGACAGCTCGGAAGGAGGGATAATCCGGCCCGACCACCTGCATCAAACAAGATCGACAAATGTTTTGGTCCACGATGACATTGGCAATTGCCCACTTCTTTTACGGCCACCTAAATCAATACTTAGTCTCGGCGTGCATTTGAGTTCTGAATTGAATATTTATGGATGAAAGTCATCTTTGTTGTGCGCAAAATTCAGAGCCGATCTTGGGCTAGCAGCAGGTTCTGATGTTGAAGACCAGCTAACGCAAGCTAGTGATTGGAGCTTGATTGATCAGAAGATTATTTTGATTTCAACTGATCGATTGCATTGGCTCTATATGCAATCTGAAATACACATTGGAACACGTTGGGACATGATCTCTGGGCCTTGATCTTGAATTCCAAAGGGGCCTCGAAGGTGCTGTTTCTCTTCCTTTGGCAACTTCAGATGGTTATGAGAAAAGCTTCCAGCGTGCTATGATAACCAAGTCAAATATCGACTTCAAGTATCTCCAACAGCCTAAAGACACTGAGAATAGTACTGATTTTGGACTTGGCAGGCGTACGGGCTCACACAAGCCTGAGGGTCTGTCCAGCCTTGGCCACCCCAATGAGAATATTGAGTCGCAAAGCCACCAGCGCTTGTCGAAGACGCAGCAGAAGATGTGGTAGATGTCACCTATGTTGCTGATGAAGAGATTCCTCGTGAGCTCCCCCCTCACACGTTCTTCCACGAACCTAGATGAGATGCTTGCGCTTTTTTATGCATCTAGTGCATTTTGGTGGTACTTTTTCTATATAGGGAATATTACTCAAGTAATTTCCGGATCTTGAAATGTCCCGGTGCAGCGATATGTAGGCAATGCTGCCATATAATTCTGGTGAATTATACGGTATTTGTTTCCTGCGTACGATAATCGATCTAAAATATACATTGTCTCGGATGATAGCCTGGATAGTCAAAAGCATGAAAACTCGCATTAAATCTTGGGAATATATTCCGTCATATCTTCCTCCGTTGTAGGAGAACCTGGTCTAAATATCGGAATACAAGCTCACATTTGTACAGTTACCCCTGCCAGATGACCCAGGCACTGGCGAGACTGAGGATCCGCCGGACAGTCCCTCGGATGGACATGATTAGGAGAAACCCAGTTTTTCACAACAACTAGAAGATTCGCAAAATTCGACTCCACCCACAAACAAGAGCGATACACTCATATGCTGGGGTTCGGAGGCCGCTGAGGAAGTTTTGTTGAAGCATATTGCCAAGTTACCTGCTGCTGTACAACGACGGACCGAAAATCATAAACGCATCGACTTGGGAAAACTGCAGGAGCTGGCACCAATAATGGAAAAAGGCTCTTGCTTCAAATGATGACTAGCAGACAATTAAATGGTCAGTCATAGATCGATACAGAAGTAATGCCATCCTAATTTCCTTTGTAGAACTGTTATCTAAAGGAGCAAAGGATCTACAAGCCAGGCGGGGGGTCGATGATCACCCCGCTCGAATCGGAGTATAACAACTACTTGACCCAATAGAATCCCACCCAAAGAAGTGCTTACGAAGACAGACACCTCTACTAATCCAGTCAGATACCCTTGAAGCTTCACTTTGATACTAATTATCCTTGGCGTGGCTGCAGCTGCTTCCTAAGACGGCAAGTGGCGTAGTAACTTGATGCACAACTTGGACGCTGAGCCCGTTCAGCGCACAGTCACCAGGGTCTGTAGATCGGGATAAGGAAACGTGAATGACGTAGTTTTAATATCCTCCTTTGTTAATATTAATGGCAGGTCCACCTTTTCTATCACCTCTTATCCTTACTCTTACTGACTCGTGCAAATCCAGCCAGTGATGCTTCGGGAGCTATTCAATTTTTCCTATTCTCTTTCCCCCCTATTTCCTTAGCTCTTTCTTGCCTATTATGTCGGACTGCGGTGCCCCAGCCTCTACTTCCGTCGATGTAGAGCATGGCGAAGGTCAGGAAGGCTTGACACAATCGTTTCCACGCTCCAAGGAGCACGACTTCATCGAATCATTCTCCCGGCGACCGAGCTTTATGGACCATCTAGCGGACTCACGAGAATCGCAGTTTCAGGTTCAGGACAGAAGCGAGTTGGAACGGTACTTCGTATGTAGCCTCCAGACTTTTGCTCCGGGGTGAAAATTAGTATATAATAACTGGGGCACCAGCATGGACCACGGAATATGACCAGGCATTCAAAATGGCCAACGGTAATGAGGGTTCAAGGGAGTGTACTGCCTCAGATGATTCTACCGCTGTTGCTTGTTGGAGGCTGGGCCACTCTCATTACCTGCATTTCTCATTTCAAACATAATCGTAAGTTTGGCTTATGATGGACCTAGGGTGAGCTCATACTTATTGAGATGGGGAATAGTTGGTATTAACAATATCCTTTTAACCGTGCTTGGTTTCGTTGTGGGTCTGTCGTTGTCTTTCCGCGGGTCGACTGCGTACGAAAGGTATGAATATGATTCCCCAAAAAGGGATATTTTGATGTACCTGACATGCTATAGATGGGCAGATGGACGCAAGTACTGGGCTGGGCTTATTCAGACCTCGCGTAATCTGGCCCGCATCATCTGGGTACACATCGGCGAACGAGAAGGAGAGGAGAATAGCAAGGTGGATCTTCTGAGAAAGCTGTATATCCAGGGACCCTTCTGGAGCAAATCACATCTGCATTGATCACTAATCATTATTACAATAGATCAGCCATGAACCTCATTCTCGCCTTCGCAGTCTCATTGAAACACAAGCTCCGATTTGAGCCTGATGTCGCTTACGAGGACCTAGCAGGTCTCATCGGCCATCTAGATACGTTTGCTTTCGACGCGCACGACCATAGTGTTGTATTGCCGCATTCAAAAACGCCGTGGAAATCCATGGGAGAGTATCTTGGTTTCTCGTTCGCCAAGTCTAACCCCCGCAAGCTCATCAAGCGGTCCAAGAAACCACTAGGGCATCTTCCTTTTGAGATCCTGGTCCATCTCTCTGCCTACGTTGAGTCGTGCGTCAAGAATGGCACACTCTCCTTGCCTCAGTATCAGGGCCAAATTAGTAAGTCAAAGAAATGCAAAAGTGCACTGGGATCTTGTGAGCTTAAACAATCGCACAGTGGCTATGCTGTCCTCGCTCAATGAGATCTTGACTGGAACGGAGCGAGTGCTCGATACGCCTCTACCTGCGGCTTATAGTATCGCTATATCGCAGATTTCGTGGGTCTATGTGATGCTTCTCCCATTCCAGTTATATAACTTCTTGCATTGGACTACAATCCCTGCATCTATGGGTACGCCCGTTTGCCGTCTGATTGATAATGTCGATACTCAGACAAAATGAGCCTCACTGATGAAACCTTTTAAATATTAGTTGCCGCATACATAATTATTGGTCTCCTCTTCATCGGCAGTGAGATTGAGAATCCCTTCGGAGAAGACGTCAACGACCTACCGCTCACTACATACTGTCGCCAAATCGCCAAGGAACTTGATATTATCACCGCAACTCCACCTCCAAATGTTGAAGACTTTATGAGCCGACCAGAAAACTTGGTGCTCTTTCCCCTTAGTCAGGATGGGTATCCTGCATGGAAGAATAGGAGCAGGGCAGATATCCATGCTGCTTTACGTGCCAAGTTCGTTACCAATCCAGGCTCTGTGGATGGATCAAATATCTCTACCATGGGAACGAGTTTCTCAACACGAAAAACAATGGATTCCGTGTGATCAATTGGCTTGAAGCCAAATTATTTGGGCCCGATAGGCTGGGTGATGTGAAAAAGATCAAGTTGTAACTTAGATGCGACCCAGAGACGCTTAGTTGATGGAAATTGTCTTCGACTATATGCTGCCAGCACTTCTGGTATTCAGGTCGAGAGAAAGAATGTATGTGATTGAAAAACTGATATCTGGGCAATGCTGTTTTCTGGGGCTTTGGTTAAAGCTCCACACACTCGCCAGAGTCCTATTGACACAAGGGGTCGCAACTTGTACTCTAGGTTGGTAAGACTAACATAAAGTCAGTTGAGTAGTTTTGGCGATGGCTTCCTTTAGAGACGAAAGGCCTTCAAATTATCCAAGTGGAAAATTCCGAATCTGAAATTCTAGTCTTTATAGGAGGCGGCAAAAATATACGATATCGGAACACCGAGCTAAAAAGAAACCAGACCAACCGCATTCTTCAAGTTCCTTTGGAGCAGTCAAAAGAGCAATCAACGTCCCGGAAGCCAGCATCGAAGCCACTGGGATTTCCATATCCATTGATCCCGGTCTCCCATTTCGATCCTGCATAAGCCAGCGAGATAGGGTCACTGTCCGTCTTCCCACTAGTAGCAAGGAGCTGGAACTTCAGCAGACCCTGGACGCTCACTGTCCCAGATTTGAGGAATGACATAGACTGGTAGCCGATGAATTTCTGATCAACGTCATACAAAGTGAGTTCCAAAGCGTAGTAAGGATTCGGGTTCGAGTAACCGTTGCTTGCAGCTTCATTAACCTGATATTGGCGAATATGCAATCCACAAGACCCCTTGGTGTTGACCTTCTTGATCGAAGGCAGCGTAACTTCATTTTGATTTCGGCCAACGCCATAGTAAGCACCAACTTTTTTGTCCTTTGGCTTGGTTGTTGCCTTGTCGGAAACTGCGCAGGGAAAAGTACAGTCACCTTGGCGATCCTCACCGTCTCCCCAATACTTACCCATCTTACAGTTACTGGTCTTCGATTGAAAGTGCTGGTTTGCATACCAAATCTCAACGGTGTCTTCATCTGAAGAGGTAGCCCATATAGTGGATGGAAGAGAGCTCTTCACGTTCAGTACACCCTGCAGGTGAGTATAAGATACAATCCTACTTACCATAACTAGTAAAAAGGCTTTCAGATGTTCCCTTGGCCCCTCAGGACAAAGGTATCTCGGAATCATATCGGGGTCTGACCAGGGTCCGAAAGGTATAGGTTCATCATCAAAAATAGGCCCATAATTGAACTAAACACTACGAGATACTCTTTGTAGAGTCAGTATTGGTATATCATCGCTCCTGGGTCAGATATATCATATATCGGACTGTTGATGCACCCGTTCGCTAGGGTTTTTGATCACCCGGCTGTGCCCACTGCTAAAGCACTGAAGTGGATAGTGCTACTGTAACATGAGATTAATATTAGCTTAGCATCAGCTTAATCTTCTTGGCCCCTGGTCTTGCTTTGCCAGGTACTTTTATCTAGAGATGCGCGATTTCTGTAATAGCGTAGATATAACAACTTATGGTTTCTCTCTGTTTCGGGAAAATATCATGCCCTCGCAACCATTCCAAATTCTATTCACGATGTAGAGATAGCGAACGATTCAGTCTTCTGTTCCTGCTCGCTATATAGATACACGATGGGCCATCTATACCTTACCGGGTAGGAGTCTTAAACTGGTCAAGGACAATCTAGCCATGACTACACTTAGTTTAAGAATAATCAAAATATAGATAGTAAGCTCTTTATAATAACTCTAGCCATCACATAGCAATACCTAAAGCGATATGACAGGTTTGGCAGGTGGAGGCTCTAGGCTAGCCCGACCCACAGGCACTAGACAGCGCTCAACCATCCTGATGAGCCAAGATAGCCAATGGAGAGCAGAAAATTAGAAACAAAAAACATAGAAGAGCTCGGATTCGCATGTGGTCACCCATAAAACTAAGTGTCTAGCATGTGGCCTATGTGCGGCTACTAGTTGGGTAAGGATGCTTCGTTCTTACTGGTGGTCCAGGGATTGGATGACTTTCTTTATAGTTCAATCCAGCACAACAAATCGTTTTATCCGTCTATATACATTGAGATCATGGGAATATGTTAGAGATAGCGTATATGCGAGTGGACGTATCTTCGCTCGCCACAGCAAGTTCGAAGCGAGTCCTGTTATCCACATCGGCGACAGGCACAGGTCTCCATGATAATTGAGTGATTGTCTTTGAAGGGGCAATCAGCGGATCAATAGTAACAATGTGTTGGGCCTCGAGGTTCTCGATATCAATTCTGTGGATAGAGATGACGCCACTATCTTCTCCTGCAGCCAGAATGAAGTTGTTTTTATAAGGGGTGGGCAAGAATGCAACCGCCGACACTGCAGATGTCAAGGTAATCGTAGTCTTGCAGGCAAATGTATCTTCGGTCTTTTGCCAGATCTTGACGGACTTGTCACGACCGGCTGTGGCGAAGATACGTTCGGTGGTGGTTGGGGCCCAGGCAGCGCCCAGAATCATTCGAGAGTGGCCCTTGGGGTTTGTGGACCAGCTGGTGAATGTGGTTGGGTACTGTTCATTTCGAGCAAAGACGGCCCATTGGCGGTCTCGACCCACACTAAGGAGGAATTTGTCATCGTCGGAGAATGATAGGTCGGTGATGGTGAGGGAGTGTGCTGTCAGAGAAGGCTTGATCTCGTGCCAGTCTGATGTATCATACAGACGAATGACTGCGTGATCGACGGAGCTGGCCTTGCAAGCAGTGGCGATGAGTGTGCGGTCGTGGCTCACGGCAACGCCGGAAATTTCGTATCCGTGCCCGTAGAGCTTCTCGTGCTCGGGCCACAGAGTATATCGAGATAGTTGGTCTTCAAGTGGTGGGGAGTCGGTCGACAAGGAAGCAGGAGGAGCCGATGGTGCTGCACCGCTGGAGCCCTCGGTTTCTTCAACGGGGGCTTCATTTCCTTGAGCTTTATTGGAAAGACCCAAGACTGGAATCTCAGCTGTGTCTGGCATGTCTCCCTCAATCGCTTGTCGGAAGTCAGTCAATTTCTCGAGCAGCTCTGCGATCTGTTTGGGTTCATTGAAGACCCGAAGAAGTTTCTCATCTGCACCAGACACGAACTGTGCAGGCCCTAAAGTGTCAATACAGTTCAAATCGTATCCGTGAATCTGAGGGCGAGAAAACTCATGCCACGAGCGCTTGTTATCACGCAACCATTGAGCATGAAGGCGTGTAGTTTGGTCAGCACTGGTGGAAAGTAGATAGCCACCGCTGGGCTCCCATTGCACACCGTTGGCTGACCGCACATGGCCCGAGATGCCGAACTTCTGAACCCAAATATCGGCTTCAGAGTCATACTGCCACACTCTCCAACTACCCGTGCGCCCAAGGCTGACCACTTGCTTGCCGTCTGGTGACCAAAGTCCGATCCAGAAACCACCGGCACTGCCAGTTGCAGTAGTCGAACCCTTCTGCGTGCTAATCTCTCCCATTCTCTCCCCTGACATCCAGACACCGGATGCTGGATCTTGTTCCCAAATTGTGATAGTGTTATCGGCCGATGCAGTCAGCAGCTGTGATCGCGCCGGATCGGGGTTCCATGCTGTAGTGTAGATCCAATCTTCATTTCCGAAAAGAAGGGCTTCGAATGTGATCGAGTATTTTGAGCCAGCTGCTTCGAACTCGTGGGCCTTGTTGGAGAGGGTAGGCTCCATACCACCCAATAGAGGATCGTCTTCATCGACCTCGGCCGAGACCAGTGCTTCACCCTGACATAGTCGCCACAAGCGAATGTACTTGTCTTGACTAGCAGAGGCAAGCAAGAGATCATTGGTCTTTCCTTGCTTGTCTTGCGTGAATGAAAGCGATCGAACCCAAGCTTCGTGACCCGAAAGCACGGCCCGACGTTGGAAATTCGGCTTGTCGACGGACGATTCCGCTGCATAGATCTGTACACTCGTGGTAGTGCCTGCGACAGCCAGCACCAAAGGCTTGCCATTGTCTCCCTCGAGAACCCGCAAAGCCAAAGTCAGCGGGAAGAACCTAGGCTTCATAGTGATTGTCTCCACTGATTCGCACTTCAATTCGCCTTGCGCACTGATTCTCCAGATCCGTACTGTTCCATCTGCAGCTCCAGTCGCAACGATATCCGTTCCATCCGCCACGGCAATCGCGTTCACCGTTCCATCATGCCCCTTAAGGGACGCGACTTGATTGTAGTTGCGCAAATTCCCATATTCCTGTTTCCATACTTTGATTGTACGATCGACGGAGCCGGTGAGGAGGAACTTCGTCCCTGAGGCGGGGCAGGTGTAAAATCTAACGACGCTGACTTTGTCGGAATGGCCCACGAGTAGGGCATACACGCCCCTGTGAGAGTCATCCTAAGAAATATGTCAGCTCTGCAGCAATCATATAAGCAAAACCAGAACACTCAGTGGGACACACCATAGGCTCCCACAAGGCGACATTATTGTCCGCACCAAAGGCGAGCACGCCCGACTGAACATCCCAATCTGCAGCCCCCGGGTGCCGGTTCCCTCCCACGCTGATATAGTCAGTCGCAACAGACGCCATGCTTGCAAGGACTTGTGCGCGCTCAGACGTCCCCGTCGTGTCGGCGCTGGAGATTGCAGTGACGGAGAAAAGAGCTGTCGCAAAAGATAATTGTGGAAGCGGGCTTATCGATAAGGATCATTCTGCCCAGCCCCCCTCTACCGCCATCATCAACTTCCACCTTTCACCAGTCCAGTCAAGAGAGCTTGCGACGGTGTCATAGGGCCTACGAACACCAGGGATCTGTCATTATACTCTCTACAGCCATGTCTGACGGTGCAAAGGGGGCTGGTGGCCCATCCATCCCCATCACGGTCGAGTTCACGTACCGTCCCTCGATTTCTCCGAACGTCTTGATCTAGCAGAGTCTAACACGATTACTATAGTGGCGGACTTGAGTTACTCTTTGGCAATGAGCGAAAGCACAAGGTCTCAATATCCGCCTGCATGGATGACGGCAGCCCGACCAATCTCGCATATCTGCTTCCCTACCTGGTCGATAATCTCATGCAGGACCAACGGAAGGAGATGTTCATCATGGAGGATAATGTGTATGTGACATTGAGACTATCGACTACACCGAAAACTGACCAAGGTACAGGCGGCCAGGTATCCTTGTCCTGATCAACGACGCGGATTGGGAACTCGAGGGCGAGGAGAAATACGAACTTCAACCGGGAGATAACATTGTATTTGTCTCGACGCTGCATGGAGGCTAATAATATTTGCGGGTGGTACAAACGTGGATAATGATATAAGCAATCAATTTGCTGCCGAAGAAGTTTTCAGAAATGAGGGCCCGCCTTGTCAGACCATCAAAGATTCTCAGATCGGCTTTAGACAACGTCCTCGACGTGTTGTTGGGAGATTCTCTCCCGCTCACGAGGAGTGCGAAGTCCGCTTGGGGTCCTGAATCCGCTCTGAGGAGTCCCAGCCCCGTCTAGTGGGCTGCCCAAGCCCTGAATTGGCGTAACAAATCCGCTGGGAGGCACGGGGATCTTCAGATCTTCAGGCGACCCGGGGATAATCTCTTCTGGCAGGTCGGCAATATGGATTCTGCGTGCTTCATTCTGGTAGCTCTCGGGAATGATCTAATATAGTTCAGTTCGCATAATTCATCGAAACAATCAGAAGAATGACTTGTTCGTACCTCAATAATCTCATCGCGCGGGAATTCCAAGAACGGAATGTCGGCGGCGTTACAAGCCATGAGATAGCCATACAAGACTCTCAGGACGCTTTCGTGGGCGATGATAAGCAAATCGTTCTGCTCTCGCTCGAGCTCAAGAATCACGGGCTCAAGACGGACTGCAAGATCATGATAAGACTATTACGATGTCAGCCCAAGCTTAAACATGAACAATCTGAGAATCCCTACCTCGGCTCGAGGATACCGGTGATGATAGGGATCGAGCTCATGCTTTGCGACCTCATCCGGCCACTCTGCGCGAATCCGTCTTTCTGACATCTTCTCGCAGACACCAGGGTTGAGTTGACTCATTTGAGACCGCTGTCGAACCTTGTAACCCTTGTCGTAGAGATACTTTGCAGTCTCCACGGTCCGACGTCTAGTAGACGTCCATACCTTCAGTGGTCGTAATTCATAGCCCGTGTCACCCCGGGCGATCATATCCTGTTTCTCGGACTCTCGGTGAGCAAGCAGGCGGTCGGTCATTTTTCTGGCGTAATCATCACCCTTTTCCGATAGACCAGAATCGGACCTGTATGATGCGGAATCTTTGGATACACCGGCCTAGAGAAAATAGTCAGTCTTGGTCCAGCAATCTCAGGACTGAGGAGGACCTACCCGCACGAAGTAGGTTCGTCTAGATTTGATGTGGAGATTCAACAGATAGAATACGATGCGGTTGGAGAGATAGCCGAAGCTACAGTTGTTGACAATGAGGCGCTCTCCGGCATTGATCATCTAGTGACAAGTAAGTATATGCGGTCGATGGAACCTCAAGTGCAACAAACCTTGATGTAGTTCAGGTCCTTCTCTTCCATGGTCTGGAATTGGGGGATACGCGAAGAGATACGGGTCAAATAATGCTTGACAGCGTCCTCTGGGCTCCATGAAACATACTAGTGATACAATCAGTCCGGAATCCTCTCCATCTAGCTGTGCAGCACTTACATCGGGGGACGAGATCTTGACTCGACGAACGTTCTCCTCGATAATCCGCTCATCATCGCACCAGGACTCAATGAAGAGTGTCTATGTAATCATATGCTCAGCTTCTGGGATCATTCTCAATCTCATTAGGCCGGCATACCTCAATATCATGCTTTGCAAACTCTTTGGCAAGGGAGCGCCGACCCGAGGCCAAGGGATTCACTGCATCATAGATTGCAATTTGACCGTTTTCGTGACTCAAGAAACGGTAAATGTCCTCGCGGCACTTTCGTACAATTTTCTGGCGAAGCAGAACAGATGATGCCGATGCTGTATGCTGCGTAAGTATGGGCCGACTCCAGGGGCATGTATGGCTAGGGCACTCACCATTCACAAAGAAATAGTCGTCGGGCATGTCTTCACCAAAGGGGATAGTAGCCCGTCGATAGTCGCCAAGATGGAAAATTCTAGTTTTGACTCCAAGCCTGTCTCGATTGTTAATTTGATACCAAAAAGTATTCAGGCACGGAAGCTGTCTAGCTTCCCAACAAGGAGACATACCATCGAAGGTACCGAGCCAATGCCACAGACATGTGTCTGTCATGATTCAAGAATGTTAGCGTACCACATGTACCGTCATATGCAAATTGGGTGGAACCTACGTCTTTCCTCTGGCAGGCAACCCCACAGTAATGATCACGATGCGACCTGAGTGGAAAAGCCGGCCAGATTCCGTGCTATACAGCTGAGCTGGAGCCAGATCGGCCTTTTCCGGTAAATCATGAATAGCATCGACGAAGATTGAGGATTTCCGCCGAAACTGTGGCGAGTTGGCCACGATCTCTGCCGTACTGTACTGACGTCAGGTATGAATCCAGGGGAGAGGCGATGTACTTTCTGGCGAGCTTGGCCTTCAGGCTGAGAATCCAAGAAGCATATATGTGCTGCTTATCTAGCCATGGCATGATATCTCTGTACAGGAAGTACCAAGCACAGTAGAAAGCTGACTTACAGTAAGGTATCCATGATGGCGGGGCGATCAAGGCACAGGGCAAGGTCAAGGTCCTCAGTCCTAAAAAAAAGAATCAGGCAACAGCAATGCTACACTCTGGAGCAGCTGAGCAACCAAATAGAAGGGAAAATAAAGTGTTTAATCCAAAGGGCGAAGTCTTGAATCGAAAGAAAGTTGAAGAAATGATGGAAGCGCACTGGTGGAAGGCGGCATAGGCGGTATACGCGATAACGAGAGGTCTAGATATCGGGTGGATCCTCACCAAGAGAAGCCGATCGGGTTCCAAGAGAAACACCTCAGACTCATCAACGTGAGTCCGGAACGGGTTCTCTAGATATGGAGCTTCCAATTCCACTCTATGAGGTTCCTTGTCTTTACTTTCCTTGTTAAATTTGGCAGATCATCAATTTTCTTTGCACATACTCAATCCATCGCCGCGTCCGAGAATCCCCGGTCTGCTTACCTAAGACGACCCCGGCGGACGGCAGCAACCAAAGACGCACCGCAACTGGCATTTGGCATTTTTCAAACTGGAAAGTCTTCAGCTCCGCTTCCTTCAGTAACCTCAAGCCAACCTCAACCGCCCCGACTCCTCCGGGAACCCCCAGATACAGCCCTTCTTCCACAAGTCTATCTGGTCTGAGACGTTTGTTCGTCCCAGATCTACCGGGCTGGTCTCCATCCTCTTTCCTCTCACCCATTGTTCTTCTTTCCAACCTTCCAACCGAAAAAAAACCCCCGTTGACCGGCATCGCGTGACGACCCCTTCTATAACCCAACTCTTCTATCCTTCAAAATGGCCGACCTCACATCATCTCTGTCCATGCTCACGGACAATCCCGCGATGGCGATCGTGAACGATCTATACACTTCGTTCTCCGAGCGCCGGGCGTTGCTCAACCTGCCGAATCCCGGTACCGTGGACAACATCGCGCGCGAGGTGCAGAAGGAGGTTCTGCTGTCCAACTTCATGTTCGCAGGCCTCCGGGCCGACTTGACCAAGGTCTTTGGCATGTCTCCTCTGTTCCGAGTGTCCCATGCCTTCTCAATGGGCTCCTCGGGCAACCTGCCCCCGTACGCTTTCTCCTCCATGTACGGCAGCCCCAAGGTAAGAACAAGCTGTATTTCCGGATTTCTTTTACACAACAAGAGGGGGTTACTCGTCTTTTTGAATTAATGACTGATGGCCAATCTTCTCCTTTCTATAGGTCTTCATGCAAGGCAACCTCGGCAGCGACGGTACCCTCTCCGCTGTGTACAACTGGCGCTGGAACCAGTCCCTAGTCACCAAGACCAACGCCCAGATCATGCCCGGTGCCACTCAGGGTCTGATGCAGATTGACAACGACTACACTGGCAAGGACTTCTCCGCTTCTCTCAAGGCTTTCAACCCGTCGTTCCTCGAGGGCGGTCTCACCGGTATCTTCGTTGGTAGCTACCTCCAGTCCGTCACCCCCGGCCTGGCCCTTGGTTTCGAGGCTATCTGGCAGCGCCAGGGTCTGAACGCCCGCCCCGAGACCGCTCTGTCCTACTGCGCCAAGTACAAGGGAGATGACTGGATTGGTACCGCCCAACTGCAAGCTCAGGGCACCTTTGCCGCCACCTACTGGCGCAAGCTGTCCGAGCGTGTTGAGGCTGGCGTCGACATGAACCTTCAGTTCGCCCCCAACGCTGCTGCTATGATGATGGGTGGTCCCAGCCGCGAGGGTACCACTGCCATTGGTGCCAAGTACGATTTCCGTGCTTCTTCCTTCCGCGCCCAGGTCGACAGCGCTGGCAAGGTCAGCTGTCTGTTGGAGAAGCGCATTGCCATGCCAATCTCTTTGACCTTTGCTGGTGAGATTGACCAGGCCAAGGTATGATCATGATCCTTCTCCTCGTTCCTGCTTTTGAATCCATCGTCCACCTTGTATGAATTGATGCTAACTGTCTTTCCTGCAATAGCAAACGGCCAAGGTCGGCCTCGCTGTGTCTCTCGAGATTGCCGGTGAGGAGTTGATGGAGCAGCAGGAGAAGGCTGACCCCAACGTGATGCCTCCTCCCTTCTAAACTAGTCAAACCCTTCCCTCCCTCTTTCCGTCCGAGATTCCCACCTCTTCAAAAATCTTCTCGAGGTTCGAGTGCATTCATCCCTCAGTGTCTCTCGAATTAATCACCCTTTCTACCTCTCTGTTTTAGTAGTTCTTCCTCCCCCCTTCCCCCAATGTCTGGATTGACATGGCACGTCAATTCCATCTCCCTTGGTCTATCCCACCTGAACCCGGGTAGCTGGAGTAGGCGGCATTTGTTTGGCGCCATGGAGAGTCCCGCATGACCTGTATAGATTCACAACGCTGTTTTCTTTTTGCCAATGGTTTCTTTTCGCTTCTATCTCTTCTATCTTCTCCCTCTGATCTTCTTTTCATCCTTCTCCGTCTCCGCCAATATCTGATGCTCGCATTTCTCTGGCTTTCTATGTCTTGGTCCGTGGTCTTATGTGTCTTATTCCTTCATTTGACTGGTCGGGGGCTTCGTCTTTTCGTTCTCATCCTTTCCATTCGAGGCTATGGTGTTCTCATGTGGCCTATGGGATTGCGAGAGGTTTTTTGTGAGGTAGGAAGTTGGAGGAGGTGCATGGGTTGCGTCTGGAGAGATCTCTGGTTTTTCGCATCATAGACGGACCAATGTAAAACAGTCTTTGAATCTTAATTGCAGCGCTTTGCATGTATAATGTTGTATCCCGGTAGAGTAGCGGGCCTGTTTTCTGCTAGAACTTGAGCAGCACTTGTTTCACGTTAGGTTCTGTATGGACTGACGAGCTGAGCTAGTCTCATGAAATACTTTATCCAAACTCGAGCCATGAAATCGAAGACCACTACCTCATATTTGCAAATGCTTGACTTCTCTCTACGTCCTTCACAGACTTAATCATCTCCTCATTCTTTTCTCCATCAACAGTACATACAGGACATGTATATCACCTGACCAACTCCATGACAGAGATCAGTACTTCTTCAGAAGTACCAAACGAGCAAAAAAAGAAAAGAAATAATTGTGGAGAATCCCTACTGTAGTGGGTTCTTGCTGGACACCATCCACCAGCCCTGTACAACTGAGCAAACCGTTCTATTCTGGTTCAACTGCATGGCCCAGTGTCATCAACATCCATCACTGACTTCCAATCACCATCTCTTACATACTTATCCTCATTTGTATTGGTCTCTCGTGGGAATATGACAAAGTAATATTAATATACAGGTGTTATCCGCGTTATGAGGGATTATCAGAACCTTGCTCACTGGTCATCAGTCTTAAGTGCAGGCCACTTGAATAGGGAATGAGCTGTTTTTGGTGCATAAGCCCCGGGCGTTAGGTATTTGAAGACTTTACTGCCGAAGTTCATCATAGCTTGTTATCATAACTGCTCTTCTGACGTAGGTTTTAGTATATATCTTCCCATTCTCAGACCCATCAACCATGAATTGACGGTCACTACTTCCTATCCAAACACCCTGTAAACACACAGAAACAGTTCCTACAATATGAATCAAATACCACCTCTAATAGAAAGCCCCATATTCCCCGCCATAATTCTAAAAGTCAAAGATGATGATGCCTAGATTAGGTATTCACGCTTCCCCGCCCTCCTCCCCCCTCCGCACATAATCATCGTCATCATCATCACCACCCACAAGCACACAAATCCCGAAAGACACCCCCTCGCACCGCCGTCCCCTCAAAATCCCGAATTAAATCTGATAGTCAGCGGGGATAGTGCGGCCCTGACATTATCCTCGCAGCCCGTTAGCCCGGTCATTTACCCGGGTTCGTCGACCTGCATGGGCGTCTGGTGGAGGGGGGGACACTAAGAGGTGACTACTGCAAGTACTGTAGTTGGTACAAAACCACTAGGTAGGGTTTGGGTTGAGTATCTCCGAGGCTGGTGGTTTTACTGATAGGGATGGCGAGTTAGATACCACCCGCTTCTTGGAATGATATTAGAGTGACTAAAGGTCTAAGGACATATCAAACGGTACTGGAGGTAATTAACTCTCTGATATTGCGTTCTCTACAGTATATGATGTTTTGTAGCATTGGTTTGATTGACGACTGTATAGGAAGTAGGTATGTATCTCTCCCCCTCCACAAACTCACGGACCTCCCAGCACCCCCCGCGCCCCCCGTAAAAGGAAAGTGTAAATTATAGTCTATAGTGCTGTATGCGTAAGTCGAGAAACCATCAACGACTACTTAACGTTGGATCGGGCCTGACTGACTGACTCGGTTCGCAAATTGGGAGGGAGCGAAGGGTTTATCTAAATGATTTCTTCACTGTAGTTGGTTACAATGGAAGTGGACTCTCATTCAAAGAACTCAGTTCCATCCAGTCGTTGACTCGTTACGCTAGTCGAGTCCCCGCAGGGGTCACACCGTGCTGGACTCTGGTTGCTCGTTTCCTTGAAATTGATTGTGGGTAATGGTCCACTCATAACTTCCGAGGTTGTCGGTGGACTGGATTCACGGACTACTGGCTGGGAGCCCGCTTCTTTTTGCCTGTGCGGAAATTGGGGACTTACAGTGTGGAAAGGTTTCTTAGTAAGGACTGTAGAATGGATGCTCGTCTACTAATAACGTGATGATAGAGGGAGGTACCAAGGAAGGGGTTTGAGTTGTGAATATGTTCATTAGTCATTCATTATGTTAGTGCGGTGGAATGTGGTTGTGCACGTACAGTACTCGACTCCAGTAAAGGACAGGAAGATACACAGACAGCATTTGAAAATTACTTCCTAAGTTTCACTAGCCGGTGCAGCTCCTCTCTAGTTGCAACAAATAGATGTGCTGTACCAGGCGTTAGACACGGCATAGCTTATTTCCCACACCAACAGCTAACGTTAATCCGAACCCAAACAACCCGCCATCCCTATAGACGCGCTGAACGAAAGGGGACCATCTTATTTGGATCGTCGCGAGAACTAGCAGATCGCCGAACCTACAGTAGCGCGCGGCCCAGCACGAACGGCAGAGCAGAAAC